GCTATCTGTATTTATAATTTTTTTTCTTTAGGAAAAACAAAACTGCCCAGGACGATGTTTCTGGCCTCCAGAAATGAGCGGATTTCATTGGAACCGGCCAGAAACATACTGGAAACGCACCGGAACGTGCAGGAAAACGCCGGATATAATCGGACCCTGGAAGCAGGATTCCGGGACGGATTTTTCCGGTGATTTCCGGCAGGAACCAACAGGAACTTGGCGGAATTTACAGGAAAAATTCGTAGATTTCCCGATCCGGAATACTGCTTCCGTGAAATTGCGGGAACCGGCCGTTTCCCGGGCCGGTTGTTTCGACCTGGGTGTGCTGCTAATATCCTTCAATTGAGCAATGACTATAACAATGGCAAAATAACAACAGATGAATATTTATTAAAAACAAAAAGAATTATTGAAGAACAATCATTTTGAACAAGATAAAATTAATTTGATTTAAGATCTTTTTTTTCATGTTTAATTAAAATAAAAACAGAAGTAAAGTTTTCAAATACTGACAAAAGAATGAAATTTCTAAGCTTTTCTTGTTTTAAAGAAGATCAACTGATTATTTTCTAAAAGAAAGTAACGTTCTATACTTGTATTAGAGTCAATTGCATCATTAAGAGACAAATAAAACTTGAGTTTTCCTGTTTGCATGTGAATATTTGATGAATATCAAAATAATTGAATTTTATTCAAACATACTAATCGTTGCAACGTGCGATGAAATAATTTGTTTTTGTGCCATTCAAAAGACAGCTTGCTTTTTGCTTCAAATCATTCTATATACATTTACTTTCAAGGTTATGCTGTTCGTGATGGTAGCATTAAAGATAATATTGCTCAACGAACAATTAAAAGACGAGTTGAATATCATTTTTTTTCGAATGAAATTATCAGGAGGAAACATCCCTAAGTGATCTGCTTCATGTATCTTCGTATTATGCCTATATGTAGAGGATCATTATATTAGAATAACTTATAAATGGTTCGTGCTCTCATTGACATTTGGCCGAGATATCGAATTTTTAGTGGATTTTTTCTGTAGGAAGTTAGCTTTTTGGAGCAAAATCATATCGTCGAGTATCGACCTGAAATTTTGTCAACATGAAGGTCTTGCTAAGACTAGCTCATGTATAGAGTTTTATCATTTATAAGAAATTGCATCTGTGAAATAAAAAGCTTTAAAAAAAAAGCACTTTTCTATAGAAATAATGTAAAACATGGATAATTTGAAATAATATATGAATGAATTTTCTTTTATTCTTCAAGCATGTTCAAAAAATTTATTAAAGATGTTTATTTGTTTTCTTTTGATTATCTTTTATGAAGGTCGATAATTCCGGAGACCGGATTTCATCATTTATTACTTGGAGATTAGTAATAACTTTTAAGCATTCATACAATAATCATATTCGACGGATGACCTTCCGTGATTTAAATTGATTCCCAGGTTGATACTGAGACAAAGCTGAATATTATATGACTGTTTCTAACTATCTCATTATATTCTTTAGAGTTTTTAGCTCAAAATCAATCATAAACCATTAATCTCAATATAAAAAGAAAACAATTTTCACGATATAGAGACCAGAGCTCCGCGGGACGCGGGACCGTCCCGCCAAATCCCGTCCCGCGGCGGGACCTGGCGGGACGGGACAACAGGTAGCGAAAATCGCGGGACGGGGCGGGACTGAAATCCTGTCCGTCTGCGGGACGGGACAAATCAATTTACAAAAACGTCCCGCGAAGTTAATATGATATATCGTTATCACCCATTGTCCTATATTCATAGCAGTTGTGCGACATCTATAAATTGAACAAATTCATGGGAGAAATGGCTATTATGAGCGATCCAATAGCTTATATTCTGATTGTTGATGAATTTCAGATGATTTTTTCGATTTTTTCGATTGTAAAATTCAATTCTCGTTTGATTAATATCATATTAATTACCTTTTTATTTTCAGAAATACACAAAAGAATCATCTAGTATGTCTTCTCCTGAAATTTTATCACTACTTCGTACGACTCGTGATTGCAATTCATCTCGGCTCAATTCATCGATCTCTTCTCCTGGTGACTCTAATAAATTCACATGTTCTCAAATTCAGTTGATGCTCAAAACGAAATCTAGTCAATATACTATTATAGACAATACAGGCAAGCGTACATCGAATTGCTGGAATTCTTTTGGTTTTCCAGCCATCATTAATCATAATGGTGATTTTCAAAGAGTTGATGGCTTTGTTTCATGCAGAAAATGCTTCGCAACATATTCATTCACGTCGAATAGTACCCGATTACTCAATCAGCATGTTTGTGAAGCTTCAGAAGAACGAAATAAGAGATTAGAAGTGAAATCAACTCCTTCCGCACAACGAAGACTAACTTCATATTGTTCAACAAAAAGAGTAACTTTGAAAGAATCTGAAATTTCAAAGATAAAAGATTTACAAGCTCAATGGGTGTGTCAAAGTATTCGTCCATTTTCCATCGTTGAAGATAGTGGACTACGTCGATTGATTCAAGAATGTATCTCAATAGGTAAGAAGTTGATCACAAAATTCGAATAATTTCTACTTAATTTTTCCTTTCAGGAGTTCGTTATGGAAACATCAATGTTGATCAAGTGTTAAGAGGTGCAGATACAACTGCTACATATGTTTCCAAACTTGCTGATCAACACAGAGCTCGTATTAGCGAAGAAATACGCGAACCTCTTGAAAATGATGCTATAACCTTTTGCCCCGATATGTGGAGTGATCCTGTTCGTCAGGTTTCGTATCTTGGAATTACCACTACGTTCGTCAACGATCGATTTGAATTTCGCTCATACGATCTTTGTTGTTCTCCGTTTGAAGAAGACGATAAAACTGCTGAAAGTATCCTAGTAGTGAGTATCTTTTTTCAGCTTCTTACTCGAATTATTTCTATTTCTTAGGCATTGCAGAAGGCCTTGAGAAGGTTCAACATTGTTGATTTATCTCTTCTAAGATTTGTGAGTGACCGAGGTCCAAACTTTGTAAAAGCACTAAAGAATTACTCTACCCATTTTTGCTTCGCTCATCGTCTGAACAACATCCTGGTGCTATGCTTTTACCAAAATGAATCAATAAAGGCTCAAACAACGTGTTCTTCTGATTTAGCGAATGATGATGGATTTACTTTAGAAGATCCGACCAATTGCTCTACTTCGGATGCTGATATTGAAGAAATAGTCTTTGTTGATATATCAAAAACAAATGTAAAAGAACTACCTGTTTGTGCTAGAGACGTTCTGAAAGTTTTAAACAATTGCAAAGATGTTGTTAGATACGTTAAATTAGTGAGTCTTAGAAAAACAAACGTTCATTTATTTTTCTTTTCTTTTCATAGAACGGGTTGAACAAGGATATTCAATCGAATGGTGGCATTAGTTTATGCCAATCGACCAGAGTTCGTTGGCTCTCGATAATGCAACTACTGAACTCGATTGATCGTTCGTTCAAAGAAACGAAAAAAGTTCTACAGGAAAAGAAGAAACCATTTTTAATTGATCGAATGATAGTGAAACGTCTCATCATTTTACTACACCCTTTCAAACATATTATCACAGTGATACAAAAGGGAAACGAACCATCGCTGTACTTAGTTCTTATTTGTGTGTTAACTTTACGAAAGTCTTTGAATTCCTTCGAAAACTTGATCAAGTTCCACAAAGAACATAATGAGACGTCAACAGAAAAAGAAAATGAAAGTGATGATGATCAATATGATCTAGAATCGAGGGAATCAGATGGTAAGTTTAATCATTATAACATACGTGCACGTTAATTACAGTTGAAGTGAAAATATTCTTTACTTTCAGGTATTCGTTTCTTTCGACTTCGCCTAGTTGAATTACTTGAATCCATGTTTACCTTGGAACCAATCCATTTCGCAGCAACGTTTCTTCACCCGCGGTATCGATATCTTCGAAAGTGTACGAGTGCTGAAATTAACTCTTGTAAAGCTTATATACGAAAACAAATAAAAGAAATAGCCGAACAAGAAAAAATAAAAAAGATGATTCGGAACCGATGCGCAGAACGAACAACAGATCAAAACACTACTGGTGAACCACCTCTCAAGAAAAAAAAAAGATTTGGTCAAGAATACGAATCAGGCGACCTTAGTGATGAGTATGGTGAAGCAGAAGATGAAGTCGAGAAATATTTATCAATGCGCATCGATCCTGAACTGATCGTCGATAATCCTCTAATATTTTGGAAAGCAAACCAGAAACATTTCCCTCTATTGTCGAAAGTGGCTCGTACGATCCATTGTATTCCTGCAACTACAGCTGCAGTCGAGCGTGAATTTAGTGGAGGTGGACTCGTGATGTCTGAACGTCGATCGTCAATCAATCCAAACAATGTCGACAATATACTTTTTCTCAGATCAGTTACTCAATGAACCTGAAACTCTTGTTGAATTTTTCTTTTTTTTGTTAAATTATTTAGATGTAAATGTAATATTTAAAAAGCTCGATAGTAAAATAAATTATTCACATTAAAAAAGAATATAAACTAGCTGCACTTTTCCAACTGTATGTAGAGAAAAAAGACTTACATACACATAGCAGAACGAGACCAGACGGGACGGGACGGGACGAGGCGGCTGAAAAGCGGGACGGGACGGGACGATGTAAGAAAAATAAAACGGGACGGGACGGGACGATGTAAGAAAAATAAAACGGGACGGGACGGAACGGGACAAGGCAACTGCGGGACGTGGGACGGGACGGGACAACTTTTTGGTTGTCCCGCGGAGCTCTGTTACGTAAGCTTCACCAGGAGTTGTGAATGGCTGATTTTCAGGTCAAGATTCAGCAATAAATGTTGTACTAGCTATTTGTCGTGAATGAGATTGACTAATTACCAAAATGGTATACATTTACTAAGGTCACTATGTGATCGATTGTCATCGATAATGAACATCAACATGACGATAATCAGGGAAGAGGGCCGAATGATGGATGTCATTCAGATCATCAACATCAATGACAATAGAAAAATTCATTCGTTGTAAAACAGACGCAACACTAGAAGCAGTCAAAATATCCACAAATGTTCATTCTTGTCAATAGTGCCATTTGAACGACGCCACAAAAGTAAATGTGTGCACGGCTTCCATTCGAGGTGACAGTTTTGCATCTGATATATCAATATGCGAACTAGTTCAGCCGTCATTCAGTTTTACATGAAATTGTTGCAATGGTTGTGTTCACATCAGGTCAATTATAGTGGTTGTTGCTGAACATGCAATACGAAGGTACTGTCAGTGGTGCTCGTATTGTTTTTAAACGTCAATTGTATAGAAAAAAAGATGATTCCATGCCAAGATCAAGCGAACGAAGAGCAGGTAAACGTTGAAGAACCTTTTTCGTGAAGTCCTCTAAACTCCATGACACAAGATAGTCGTGATTCATCGCACCGGACTATATCAAACAAATGAAAGTACAAAGAATCTATATAATATAACGATTGAGAATTGAACTTTTTTCTTTTCTCATTCAAACTTCTGACAATAGAAATTCGTTATGAAAAGAAAAAGGAAACGTATGCGAAGAGTAAATCTTTCCAGCTTTTGGACTATGCACGAAACAGCCAACTTTCTTCCGTAGGATCTTTTTTCGTAACGTACAGCTGGAATTTTCTCTCGTAAAACTAACATTATTCTACTGCGAATTAAATATCTTCATCTTTGCTTTATTAGTATCTAGTTCTAAAAAAGAAAACACAAGTAAAAAATCAATGTATAATACTACTTTGAAGATATTACACTCCTATGGAAACAAACAATACGAGTTTACTTTTATGAGCTCGGATATATGTATTCAATTGAACTGTTTTAAAAACTATATTCTAGATGCTATTGACGTTTTTTTTGTTGAAGTAGTTTATTATGAAACGTACCATTTCCATGGCACAGTCGTATTTGCGCAGTTGTTATTCTACTTTCTATTGATCATCTATTAAATGTTGAAGTATCGATGTGAATGACTGTTGTATTGGCATTTGCTTTTGTTACTACGAATATTCTCTCACTTTTGATCACGATACCATACTAGAACAACTTCCGATTTTTATAAAAATATGTTTTTCGAATGACTCAATGTATCCTTAGGTGATTATCCATAAATATTTGATCACTTATTAAATAGTAAAAACATGCTTCATCAAATATTCGTATTTCAATTATGAAAACCATTTCCAGGAAAGTTCATAAATCAATTGAATCATAGTTTTTGTTCGCTCGATGAATTTATTATTGATCTTGTTGGTATGTATGGGGATTAATCAATTCATGAATAATCGCCCTATCGATTAGTTATAACATAACAAATCAATTTTTATGGTGCAAACAGCAGTGACTATTTTTACAGTTCAACGGTCTTGATAATATAACTGTCAGTTTCAGATCGATAAATATAAACAAAAGATAATTTATTTAGATCTTCTCAATTATTACTATTGTTGGCAGATTCGGCTGTTTACTTTTCAACGTCCGTTGTGAACAACTTGTTATTCATTGCTGAAAATGCATTCTTAATTCTAAAGATGAGCAGTTCACATTTTATCTTTATATCAGTAATAGAAACTGCCTTTCCGTTCGATACATCGAACAAAAGGAAATTATATTGAGAAGTAAAACGTAGGTGTACACAGTCATCATTATCGTAGTGGTCGAGCTTACGTTTTTTTAACAAGTGCTTAGAGTGACTCGAGATATTACTAATTGAAATAATCTGACAAGAAATCTTTTCATCTGGTATTTCTCATCAAACTCAAATCTGTTTGTGCAATAGTGGTTGTACGGATAAATGTCAATACAATAGTTTCAGTCTTGTCACGACCGAAGTGTTCCCCTTCAATCGTAAGACGGAACAAACGAATAATACACGCTCCTTTCTAGTATAGTGGTATACAGCTGCCCGGAAAGCAGAAGGCATTGGTTCGATTCCATCGGAGGAAGATTATCGTTTTGTTCCGTTCTGTTGTCATACTATCACGCCGCTGTCTCGCTGATAACTGAGTTTAATAATGTGAGAGAAAGAAATACATAACAAGTCTGTATGAAATCATAGGTAAAAAATTGATAAATCAATCTTCTTGTGAAGCATATTGTCTTTTGCTAGAAACATGCTAATGTTTTATCCAACCACTTCATGAAGTAGAATAATACTGAAACATTTCTTTGTGACTTAATAAAAAATAAAATAAAAAGAAATATGTTAGTTTGATTACATCTTTTTATTTGATGCGTTCAATAATGCAAACAATGATTCAAACACTTAAGCTGTAATATATTATATCTCAATCAACATGAAAATCATTCACTATTCTTTACGCTGTCTTATAGAGTCCAATGGGGGAAAACATGGATATTATTTATGCATGACAGATATATTGAGAAGAGAGAGAGAGAGAAATGTCATAAGATGTTTATTGATTTACATTATTCAACTGAACGCTTCTTTTTTGAGCCAAAATCATAGAAACGTGTTACCAAACGTTTCTTCGTACCAAAATCATAGAAACGTCGTAAACGATTGTATTCATCATTGAATTCGTGTAAATCATCATCATTGATGTTAACCGAGCGAGAACCAAAATCATAAAAACGTTTGTGAGCTAGTGCACGTTTCAGACGCATATTGGCGATGGATGATTGAACATTCTAAAATGATAAAATTATGAATTGATAGTTACACATATGATAATCATCTTCCTACCTGATTGTTATTAATCGAAAAAGAACAAGTCATGGTCAATAAAGCTATATAGCCAATAATTAATGCGAGCAGTATACTGATCGGCTGCATGGTATTCGCTAATATACACTCAAGTGCTGACAAGAAGATTAGGAAATGTTATCTAGAAGAATATGCGAATAAATAACAACAAAATGGAATTATCGAAATTAATACAAAGAAGTCTATACTACTTTATTTATCCTTGGATTTTTGTCATTTGACTTCTATAAAGTACTTTTCCTGCATACTCACTCGAGCTTTTTGTGTGTATTTTTATGACTGGCGGCAGCATTAACTCTTGCCAAACGAGAATGCAGTTTCATTGAATAGGAGAAGATTTATTTTTTTTTGGCGAATCCATCACTAAATGCAATATTCTATCTCAAGTCATTCTTGTGTAAAAAAAGGAACTGTTTCCAAATGAACGCAAAATAAATCTGATCTTATTCTTATGCATACAGACAGACCAGATAAAAGATTCAATAATGATAGTGACAAAAGAGCAAAAACATGTTCGAAGCTAAGAGGCGATATAGCACTATCGATAATAATTAACAATCGATCGTGAGAGAAGAAAGAAAATGATGGTAGTGATAAAAAAAGGATACAATTTGAGCTAGGACTCCTTTGTTTTTTTAGAGCATACTTCACTGGATAGAGAGAATAGTCGAGAAGAAAAAATGCCAACACTTGAGTGCATCTTTGTCAGAACATACTCTGGTCGTTGGCTTAATTGGGTTTGCTTACTCATAGTTTGGATTGTTCTTTCGGAGTGCCATCGTTCTAGTTCAATTATTTAATTCGTTATCACTCTTTTGAAACTCTTCAGGGCTTGAATGATATCGCTCTAGGAACTTACAGATCGAGCAGAGTTGTTCTACATTCTCATCGTAGAATATTTGCTCACTATTTTTGATAGTAGAAAAAAGAAGTGCAAACAATACTTACATCATTTGTTATTAGACTCATTGTAAACGAAAATCATACTCACGATTCAAAGAACATCAATACTCACCGACATATTATTTACCGTTGATAAATTGTGTCGCGATGATTAATAGTATTTTCTTTTCTTCATGTGGATTTTATGCAGATTTTCCTCTATCTTTTGACAAATGTGAATGTATGTGGGAGGAAAAAAAGTGTTGTCTTCCTCTGTTCGTTTTCTTTTACTTTGTCTAGCTTTCTTTCACTCATTATAGATGCATATATATATATATAGAGAGAGAGAGCGAGAGAGCGAGAGAGAGTTTAATTCTATGCGTTTTGTTGATATATTTCCGCTTTTAGAATATTAATTAATTTGTGAATACAATTCTCCCACATAAGTTCAATCCCGTGTCTTCTTGAAAGTTTTGAAGAACTTATCTCTAATAAATTGTGAAAAGTAGGCAATGAGCTAAAACTATTCTCTCTTAGGACAGGTCTAGCGTTTATTCTCATACATCAAAGTCGTTGTAAAAATATTTTCTTTCACAACGAAAAACAAAACTCCGGTGAACGGAAATACGTTTTGAAGACAAAAGATGTAACTCTTCAAATCATATAAGTGCATGATAAGAATGCGTAACACCTAGATTTTAATGATGCTTTCTTTTTAGTATTAATTAAAATTAAAAATATGCCTTACTCGATAATAGCATTATTTCGATTGAAAGAATAGTTAATATTTTTACAGTCCATTGAACAAACACTACTTTATCCCTATTAACTATACGAAGAGAAGGAATCATGAGAATAGCATAGGATAATTTTTAAAACAAAGCTTAGATTTAGTCAATCATTTGCTGATCGCTTTTATCAAAGAAATTTCTTTGGTGTTATTTAGTTTATAGTAAGTCAATAGTCATATGTCGTAATATTTACAGACAGTCTCGAAATGACTAGTATTAGGACCCAAGTTTTTTTTCTCGACAGGCAATCTGACAGTTGAAAAATTCAAATTTTCTTTTTCACAATCCGTACTTACATATTTTCAGATGGCAATCTCAAACTTGAATTATTATTGCTTTCTATTTAATATCAATAAGAAATAAGAAAAGTAAGTGTATGGTATTAATTCTCATGTTTCACATACAATCTAACATTAAACGCTGGAAAATAAAATTTTCCTGCCATAGAATTTTAGACATCGAAAGTGCTTCGTCACTCATTTGAGATTATAGTCTTATCCATTATTATGGTATTTTATTAAATCTCAATGAGCAACAGAAAAAATAAAAGTCTTGTAGTAACAGGTCCTTTGCAATAGTCAATGTGACACTTAGTCATTAAAATTTTCTTTACACGAACACTGTTGACATGAAAAGGTTCTTTGTGAATCAATAAAGATTAAAATATCATGTCTATACTGCTTTTTGTTTTTAATTTAATCTCTATAGGGAATACGAAAAAAAATTTTTCTAAGTTTTTCGATGAATATGAAATAAAGCATGTACGAATATTTCCCATTTATTAAAAAAAATTTTAAAAAGTTATCATACACTACGGCTGGATCAAACTGATCTTTGAGAATAAGTTCTTGAGAGTGAGAGAGAGAGAGAGAGAGAGAGAGAAAATGTGACTTACGCGAACTATGCCAATATGTTAAGCATTTAAAAAAGCGAAAAATATAATTAAATGAATGAATATCAATGATGAATCGACATATTGACAAATCAAGGTTTTTCGGTTCTGTTGAATTAGATTATACAGCAGTGAAACTCCAATTGAGACTAGTGCGTCGTTAGATCAATTATTAAAATTTCGTTGAGATCCAAGAATAAATGTAGGAGAAAAAACAATCCCTTTCGACCTAAAGAATAATCATAATCCACTAATTTTGCTTATCGATCATTGTTAAAAGAGGATTATCAATTCTTTTAAAAACAAACATGATTAATAAATATGAATGTAAATAGCTCAATAATCTATTCAAGAAATTGAATTGCGTCTGAAACAACCATTGGAGACTCAAAATCATTTTATCATTATTATCGATCAACAACCATCGATATCGATGACAAGAAATTCATCTCATATGAAAACAATTAACGAAAAAAATCCACGGACAACAAAAGAAATTTCCAAGTATGGCTTTCGTCAAGGATGCGCATTCACTAGATCTTTAAGTAAGGCTAATCGTTGATACAAACGATAATTATTGCTTCGATGAATATCGATTTAACCATCAATGTAGTCATATTTTTTAGCAAAACAAAAATCGCGCTGATAGTTGTCTGAAAATGCATGACAATGCAAAATGAGATATTTCTAGTTCGATTTCTCCGAAGAAAACTCTAGCTAGTCTCTGGAGAGTAGTCTAAAATTATCGACAAAATCTGAGAATTTCAGGGAATATTAACTATTCATAGGCTTATTCAAACAAATTACTAGTGCATTTTGTCTCTCCGTTTTGCCAATTATTATGTTTATCACCTACGTATGTACGCAGTAGAGATCTAAAATCGGCACAAGAAGCACAATTTTCAATGTATAATTTCACCAAATATAAATAAAAGAATGAGGAATAATTCGATAGCGGGCAAAATTCAACTAATAGCGATAAAAAAAAGTGCTCAAAACGAGAATTTAAGAAAACATCATCGACTGAGAAAAATTCTGTTAGCAATAGAATAGATGTAAACATGTCAAAAATTTGGATTAACAAAGGTTGATTAATTAATCATAACTCGTCTTCTCGCATTAATCCATCTCAATTGAGAAAATTAATTAAGATTACGTTCTAAATCTACGAGACAATCTCAAATGCAAGTACACATTTACGATTTTTATTTGATTTATGTTCATTCTTCTCGGTACGTAGTGATGCAGATAGCTTTAGCCAATCGTACTTGTCATCTTCAGTAATCTTTACAATCTCGAATGAGAGATTTATAAAAAGAAAGCTTTTTTAATTTATTTACTGTATTCTGTTTTTGAAGTTTGAGTGTAGATTTTCTCATAATCTGATAAATACTTCGTGTTTGAACTGGAAAATTTTATTCGACGTATCTTTATAGATAAAGCAAAGTTTTATGATGGAATATAAATTATTTTCTGTCATCTTTGCAATTTAGTTCTGTTTACATCTTCAAGGTTAGGATTAGGATTTAACCCATGGTTAGTATAAGATTCGACTTTTCTGCAATCAACTGTAATATGTCAAGAGCAGCTTAATAATGATCTGACGAAAGTTTACGAATGTTATCAATTTTTATTTCCTAACTGAGTCGATTGGACAAAATAAAGTTCAATAGGATCTCTTAAGTTGAGCACTGTAAAATGTTTTTTACTTCTCAAATTGTTGCTGGATCAGTATCTGGAATTCCTTTTAATGTTAAATAAGTTCATCAATTTTGAATCCTATAAATAGTATTTATCGATAATAAAAAATAAATATTTCTATTCCATTACTCGTAAAATATGTCCAGCATCTTAACTAGCTATAACAATACTTTTGCTATTGCTTGATCGCGAAAATAAAAATGTAATATTATAAGCAAACATTCTAGCTTATTGAAGCATTTTGTCTGCTTCAAATATATCAACGCTGTGTTCGAGGTGTCTTAATCGTCACGTGTCGAACATTATATTGTATTTGCTACAACTCTCCTCGAATTCGTAAAGTTTCTAATGTATCAAATGTAATTTCTAAGTGGTCATTATGACCATCAAAAACAGAGTGTTAGCTTATTTCAAACGGTAATCCATCATACCAGGATGCTGTTTCAACTTTAATAACAATGAGTCGAATTGGCACCGGCTTCCTATCTTGAGGAGATGTCCTCTCAATGTATGATGTATAACATATCTGAACTAGATGGCATTCGAGTTTCACTCGACTACGAAATGCGGTGCGAAGTACACGAGCCGAATTTTCGAAAGTAGCGAGAATAAGATTTAAAAAATAAATGACTCACTTTAAGATTTATTAGAATCGTTTGTTTTTTTGTTGATTTCCGTATAGGAATTTTGAATAAAAATTTCGCATTCACTATTCTTAAATCAACCATTTTGAAATTCATCACGAGGAGATCTTTCTGAAAATGTAATAACCAGTTTTCTAACGATTTTTTCCATTGAACGATTAATTATTTTCATGAATCATTATCTTGAATCGGCTGCGAAGCAATAGACTATTGGTTAACAACTATTGATGACGTCAATTTAATTATCGTAAAAGTCTGAAACGATAAATATCTTTCAAAATCGTCATTTTGGGAGGATATTTCTGAGAGAACCGAACTTCAGATTGAAGATTCGAAAACAGGTGTTATAAGTTCGATCTCGATACTTCCATCTGACGTTTTAACTACTTTTCTACGATTTTGTGTTCTCGAGATCATCGCGTCACAAAACGACGAAGAAGATGCGTACGTCAAGACAGCAAAAGAAAAAGAAAACTCGCGACGGGCTACATGAATGGTGTGCTTCGCACTGCATTAATTATTATCAAATATGAAAGTTATGAGCGATAATAAATATGACCTTGAAATGGTCCATTATACTCTTTTATCAGCTATTGATAAACATCCAACAATTAAGAAAAATTCATTTTCATACATCTGGAAATAGGAATCAATAGTATAATCGTTCCATAGTTTAACAGATAATGTGATTATTTATTAATACTTCACACACAAATGGAGCTGTTAATAAATCTACGGAAAATCTTCTCCATACATTACATCCGGTTCATCTCCGATATCAAAAAAAATGATGAGCAGCTTTGAAGAAACTAAAAGTGTTGGTCACGAAATAATCTCATTTCTTTCAAATAAAAGATGATTCACTTGAGAAGATGCAACAATAATGCGATCTTCCATTGTCTGCTTTACTTGCTGAGATTTTTCTTCAAGCTTCTGAAGGGAACGCTATTTTATTGATAATTTTTGTATTGTTTGATTCCACGTATTCCATAAATAGAAGCGGCTTGATGCTCAGGTAGATTGATTTTTTTGATAAAGATCGAAATACTGAACAACAATAAAGTGGAAAGTTTTTAAAAAATGAGGATTTCTATAGTCGAAAATTCATTTATTGTTCATAGTATATTGATGAAAACAAGAAAGATTCAAATCAACATTTAGATGATTTTATATTCAAATAAATCTTCACATTAATCAAGAGAAACATTAATGTTCTATGAATGCTGTAAACAAAAGAAGAGTGGATTAACTTTAGTTCTGTTTTTACTTGGCAACTTGTTGGTGACATAGAAACACTAGAAGAACAATAAAAAGATTGTATCGTAACTATAACATTTTGCATTTTTATAACAAAAGTATACGAAAATCAATCAAAGATGATGAACAGTCGAGCCAATTCCAGACCCTACAATCCTCATGTACTTATTGGAAATTGGCATGAAGATAGAGTTATGGAAGAGGTATAGATCATTATTTGAATGTATATCCTCTTCGTCTGTTCAAGTTATTTAGTATTTTACTTGGTTTTCTTTAGGAAGTCTTAAGTGACTTTCTTCATAGACGTAATAATGGTCAATTGGCATCACAGAAAATGACTGAAGTTGAACGTATGTCTCAAGCGGTATGAACTAATTCAATTAATTACTAAAGAATCATAGGATTTTGTTCAAGCTTCCTTTAAGTATATCTGCTGGCGATGGACTATTACGATTTGGTCACCAAATTCTTCTTATTAACACATGGACACATGCTGCAAAATTTACTGGTGAAAAATCAGAATTAAGTTCTTGTTTAGCTACTGGTATTGCTCATACGGAGTCGACCAATGGCGGAACTCGTGAAGTAACAGCTACTGGAACAACAATGGGACGCCCTATGCTTCGTACAGTTTTCGTTATTCGACGGTAGGATAAACTATTCAATATAAATCAATTTTCTATTCATTTTTATTCTATAGATCTAATCTATCAGTCGATTCCGAACCTGTTAAGTACGGTGATGAAATAGTACTTAACGATGTCAATGGAGAAGTGAAATATTCCGTTTATATTGTTTTATGAAATATTCATATTTTATGTTATGATTTTAGTTATTTTTAACTTGTGTAAAAAGTACAACACGTGCTGGACGAACGTGCGATGTTATTTTTACAAATAATCCTGGTCGAAACAGTGTTTGGATTGTTATGCATCCAACTATACATTTACGCATGGAATTAGATGGATCAGAAGTGAAAATTGATGATAAAGTTGTTCTTGCACATGCATCAACTAACAAGTGTTTATCGATCAATGAAGAACATTCAAATAGGTTAAAAAATTGAATTCTAAAGAAAATCTCTTGATTATTTAATTTATCTATTTAGATCAGCCTATGGACGAGAATACGAGCTTATATGTGAATTATCAACAGCTAGCATCGCATCATATAAGTCGCCTATACTTTGGAAATTTCAAACTCAATCAGCATATTAATATGATGATTTTAGTTTTCATTTTCATTTCTTTTTTCTATTCATGAGCGTGTGTGTTTGTGTGTCATCGTATTCTTTTAAAAAAATAGACGCACTGTTCTGTTTAACAACAATACAAAAACAAAACAAAAAACAACATGCAACAGAGAGAAAATCAATTAAGGATGAAAATTATATTGATTAACATAAACTAAAACTTTCATAATTGTAATTGAATTTAAAATTTTGTTCGTAAAAATTTTCATTTGAATTTCTAATTCAATTTCTTGCAATGGACTTAATTCTTTTAGAACCATTAAATATGCATTGTGCGGAGAAAAAATTTTTATCTGAAAATTATCAACAGTTGTTTGCGATAGATTCTTATGTGAAGCATTGACATTAATTAATCGTAAATCAAATTCAGCATGTTGATATATATTCAATTGACTATTACGTATGCGAAAGATTTCTGTTGGTCTACGTATTTTAGCTAAATAAATATAGAAAAAATATAATTTAACAATTCAATTGGTGTTTTTTTTAGTTTTCATACGTGGTATCGATATAAATGAATAAACATATTTCATAGGTTTATCATTTGTACAACGTAAATTCGTATCATTTTGATGTTCGCTACACCATTGTGTACTCAAATGGCAACGGCTATCAATAGCAAGAAAAAACAATTTTTTTTATCGTGATCAAACATTTATATTACTTATTTGCAACTTTTTCATAGCCTTGATGACATTGAACAGAATAGCAACGAAAATCACCATGAAGATTTACACAAACATCATTAACAAGACAATTATGTGTACCGACTTGGCATTCGTCGATATCTTGACACTGGCGTCCTCGTTCGATTGTAAAACCTGATGGGCATATGCATTTATATGACCCCAGTGTATTAACACAATGATATTGACACAAGTTATCAATCATTGAGCATTCATCAAGATCTAAATAGATAATATTTTATCAGCAACGAACAACGCAAAAGACAGAAGGAGCACGTTAATATAATCGATGAATTTGTCAATAGCACTCTACACCGATTCTTTTCTCTAGCTTCAGTTTCAGTAGGACAAAGAATGAACATGGATGAGAATGTTGCATTTATGTGTTAATTAAATCTGTATTGATCAAATTTGAAGTCTTATTTTTTTACAGTTTAATTCAAACACGGTTCATTCAATCGTGATAATAATCACTTCAATTGAAGAGAGAGAGAGAGAGATACAGAGAAAAAAACCCGATAATATTTCAGTCTCACCTCGGCATGTTTGTTTATCACTGTTCAATCTATAACCTTCATTACACAAGCACTGTGAGAAAGAAAAAATTAAAGAACAACATTTAAAGTTAATATTGATTTTAATGGTTCTTTCACTTACGTAATATGAACCTTGAACATTAATACATCTTTGTTCACACGTATTTGGAGATATTTCGCATTCGTTAATATCTAATTATAAGAAGAGAAAAAGATTACATACTCTTAACCGTAAATATTTATTTACCTTCGCAAAAAGCTCGTTCTGCTATCATTTTATATCCAGATATGCAATCGCACTTTGAAAAGAACAGTCAGTAAGTTTATCTTTTGATAATTTAAAATATTACACATACAGCATATGATCCTGGAGTATTTCGGCACAGTGAATTTATTGGACAGACTGAATTTCCTCTTGCACATTCATCATCATCTAATAGGAAATATTTCGATATAGGAAAAATCTTTCAAAAAATATTCATACCAACACAGGTACCATATTTTGATGCGAACCCAGTCGGACACTGACACTATGCATAGAGGAAGAAAAATAGAAAATATAATTGATTAGAATCTATATTCTATTAGCTCTTGACAATTAATTTACATCATTAAATTAATCTTTTGAAAAGAGGATTTCAATTCGAATAATAATCCAAATTTTAATGAAAATTTTCTAGTCTGAATCTGATGGCAACTTTGCTTTCTCTCATTAGCATACTTCATCTGTTTGACATTAGGCTTTGGCCGTGACCTTGAAATGATAGAATCTTAATCGGCTGTTACTGATTAAGTATATCCAATGGCATCGCTTTCGAATCTCTGTGAATTTAGTTTAGAGTAATAAGAATGTGTCAAGCTCATTTTTTTAAATTTTGAAGAATCAAAATAAAAGAAAGAAAAATAAATGCGTAGTCACGTAATGAAAACTTACATAGAACGAGCCATACGTATTTTTACATGTTGCTGGTGAAAGACACGTATGATTGCCAATAGCACATTCATCGATATCTATTTGATCAGATACATAGAGAGAGAGAGAAAGAAATATATATATGTTGTAGGCAAAATTAAAATCCAGTCAAATTTGAAATTTGACTAGGCAAAATTAGAATTAGAATTCTGCCTAGGCAAAATTCAAATATCTTTTTTATAGTTAAAAGAACGCGAAGAAAGAGAAATAATCTAAGTGTGAATAGGTTTTTTTATTTTACAGTACTTTTTAACAAACATTATTTAGTTCTAATTTTTTTAGTTTTATTTTAGATGTAGAATTCACTATTGCCAGTATATTTTTCGAAATTTGTTGAGATGTAAATTAGGTATAAATTCGGTTTTTTTATTTCAACTAGTTTTTCTTCTATGGAATGAAAAACGCCGCTTCGCTCAGCACTACGACGCTTCGCTCGGTACTAAAAAAAATCTAGAAACCAATTTTCAAAAAAATTCGCTTTTTCTCCGAGTTTAATGAATTTGTATAAAATTGGTCCGAAAGTCCGGAGAATTTTCGGGCCGGGCCGAAATTCATGTAACCCGCTGAAAGTAACTTGAAGTCCAAAAGTCTACTGTTTCCCCTTGATTTTATGAGTAAAATGAACATTGACAATTTTGATACAGTTCAGAAAAGGAAAAAATTGATTTGAATTCGGAAAATAGACGTTTCCATGTGCCTATCTTTGAGATAACTTATTTTTCAAAAACAAATAAGTCGCTTTACAGCTTTATACGGATATAACTATAGGATAGCAATGAAAATCGCAATCAAATTTACAGTAAATGTAATAATTTCCTTGTCATTCAAAGTAAATTGCTTATTTTCGACACATTTTGCGTCTTCACAGAAAAATGGTTTCGCGTAAATTTAACGATATTAGTGTGATAATCAGCTATTTTCATGGCTGAGTCGACAATAACTCTACTGAATTATTGCCAAGGGTAAAAAGATTACACTTCGTATTTTAATCGAAATTAGATGTGTTTAAAACATCAATTCGTTTTAAATCTAGCTTTGATTCATCAAATATTTATATTACTTAGATGTCGAAAGAAAAATCTAGATAAAAATAAAAGCCTATCATTGATTGAATGATCATATTACTTTAAGTGTTTTATATTTTCTTATCATATTTCGATTTCGATTAAATAGAAGATTGATGTATATTGATTTTCAACGAAATCCCATGTAATTATAATTCAAATAATAACTCAAGGAAATCGGTCTATTAGTTGAAAATACTTCGACATAATTTGATTTTATACAAAATTCTCAATTATACGATTAATTAAAATTCTTTTTTGCAGGACATATTCTAAATAAGAAATTAATATTCGTTGATAATAGGAGTAATCTGTTTTATGAGACTTTTCTATTGTTGTGTGTTGTCTTGGAGAGAAGCCGATAGATAATTATTGCCAGCACATATTTGTACCAAGTATGTTTTGATGCAACAGTACAAATGAAATACTCTTGATTTATTATTAAACTATTCAGCTTTCGCCTTCTCTGCGTTACGATATTGTATATCCTTATCTTATACATCATCGCCAATACTGTTCGTAATCTCTCTAGACCTATCATCACTTGCACTCTATTAAGTGCATACGATGAAGCATGATTATTACAGTGAATCAGTGAATTTAGAACGCTTGATAGTAAATCGTGATTTTTTTGATATATTCATTTTCTAAAGAGATATTTATTCTATTAATTCAATCTATTTAGATACTCGCAGTTTAAGTCAAGATGAAGCCAACACATTAAAACAATGGCTACTCAAACAATTTGGAGATAAAATCAAGAATGTTAAAGTAAATAATTGTCTTTCTTTTTTTGAAGGAGATCGATTTATAAACGTCGTTTCTAATCTATCATAAATTTCAGTTTATATGGGATTTCTTTGCTACTGAAGTTCAAGAGAAATTACTTTCATAACTAATTAAATCTAGCTTATCAGTATATGGATGCATTTCCACTTACAACATTGACATGCAACTTTGCAGCGTAGATAGAGGTCTCATATGTAACAAAGGCAGCGAGATAAATTTTCTGGAAGCAAAATATCCATTGTACAGTTTATCCTTGATGAAAATTTCAGCTCAAATTACTCAACACTTATATAACTATTGTTATGAACGAGAACGAGAATCAAATGTTATTATAAATACTTTTGCTCAATGTTCTCTCAATATCTCGTATAAGAAAAAAACACAATAGTATAACGTTTTGATTGATTCCGACAGTGGGAAGGAAAGCATAAAGGAAAGCTTAGAGACCTATATGATTACTAATTTCTCCAGAGATGAATTCACTTAACTAATACACTGTTGTGTCTTGATGTCACCAAGTTTATACGATTTTGACTGAGCTAGTTAAAAACAAATCATCTTCAGAAATTGAATCAAGTGGTACGTGATTTATTTTTGTTCTCGAATTATTCACTTGGGATATCCCGAGGGTTTTTCAGTCAAATAAATAAATTCATCGAGGAAGTCATTAGAATAATGAAAAGCTAATTCCTGATTTTTTGGATATATGTGGACAACAAACGGAAAGACAACTAAATAATATACTAGTAGTTGTCTTAGCTGAAATCTAGAGAAGAAAAATTTAATTCAGTATTTTGAAATACATAGAGATCGATTTGGTTTCATCTAGTTTTTCTTGTTGAATGTAATCCGTTCAATGCCAATAAAAAATGATGCAGCCAAAATAATGAACTGTACTTATATAATCTGTTTTACTCCTAGAAAAAAGACTAAGAATGGTTTAATTTAGTATTCTGCATTGGTGTCAAAGTCAATCAAAACGTCATTTTTTGTTTTTCCTTACATGAAATATTAAAGAAACCAACGAGCCCAATGACTAATATAATCATTTGATTCTCGTCCTCATTATATCGATACTTAGCAATAATTCAGTCGTTCGAACTGACATTTTCACTACTAATAATATGCGTAACACATACGCATATATAGGAAAACTATTGATGACCTCAATGATAGCTCATCTTGCCCTTCTCTAGTCTAACATAGAATTACTGTTTGTTTTTTTATCACAAATATAGATCAATACCAAACTTGATCAACATCCATGTATAATAACAACAAACGAAATGGGTGCTGTTCGTCATTTCTTGAAAACCAATTTACTTCAACGAAATAAGCAACAAGAAATTTATAAACTTCTTCAACTTAACTTTGATATAAATCCAAAGCATATCTTAATAAAAAAACTTTTTACATTACATAAATCAAATAATACTGAATTAGCAAATATGCTCGCACAACAAGTATGAATGAAATTTTCTGATTTCTATTTACAAAAAGAAAATTTTTTATTTTTGTTTTAGTTGATCGATAATGCATTGGTTACAGCTGGTCTCGTTGAAGATCCACGTTTAGTACTTACTGGTTTAAATAAACTGCTAGAAAAAGTACTTGAAAAATACTAGAAAATTGAAGAAAAGTCAAGCAAATTTAAGATCAAATCGTTTTTGTATCTTTTTGTTTGCGTTTTTTTCTTTTGAAATAAAAAGAAAACCTAGTTAACAATTATATCAGACAAATGTGTAGGCGTGAAGGCATTGCAAAACAAAAATAAATTATATAAAAAGAAAGAAAGAATATTAGTTTATTGTATTGTCATTCTGATGTATTTTTTCGTCCCAAGTAAATGAAAATACTTCAACACGCGTTGGAAATTTATATTTTTGCATCGATAATATTCGACGCCAAATTTCACGCATATTATTCATTGAACCAGGCTAAAACAAAAATTTCAAAAATAAAACAAAAATATATTCCAGATTTTTCTTACAAAATGTCCAAACATAATGGTATAAAACGACTTCGATGACATAAACCGTGTGTGCGCTAATTGTTGTGGTATTGTGTAAAGCGACCCGAGTTGAGCATATGTTACATTAGCAGCACTAGCAACAGCGCCAGTTATATAATAATCATCAACCCAAAAGAAGGGAACATAAAGACTAGCATTGTACCTAAAAAATATATTATTAGATTATAAAACAACGAAAACTAGAAAAGTATTTACATCTTAGCAGGCATATCACCAGTTAGAATAAAAGCTAGAACATAATAATAAAAGAAAAAATTCATCATTTCTGTAAAAAAAATTCTTTTTTTCTATCTGAGAATTCAAGCAGAAATAGACCTTACTATTTACTGGTTAATATGTATGTTTGGATCTTTTTTTTTCTCTCGGAATAACTCAATTAGCTATGGTCCATAAAAATCCCTCGAGGCCGTTTTAAAAGTCATTCTCAAATCATATGAGAAAAGAAAGCTACTTATTGTAATTTTCTTCTTGTTTTTTTGATATATCAAAATATAAAATTTACCTGATCCACTACAATATGGCGGAAATTTATCCAATGGAAAATCTTCTTTACTTAAATACCATTTGGATTTACTAAAAATATTAAAATAAAAATAAAAATATAAATATAAATGTTTTTTTTTTCTTCTTCTCACCTATCTCTCATAACACCCATAGCTTGCCATAATAAACAAAGTATTGTAGTATGTTTATTTAGATTATTTCTATCAAGAAATTTTAAGTGATTGATCAATGTAAATGTATTAACAACGATATCATCGTCAACTTTTAGAACATATTTAGTTTGTGAACAATATACCGATATCCATTTTAATGCCATAACACCTTTAAATGTTAAATTTTTGTATGCATCAATAAAATCTTCTTGAACAATGTCTTGATACATTTCATTTTCATATTGAATAGCTTTCATTACAGTATTGTCATTTGTTTTACCGATCATAAAAACGATGCGTAAGTCAGGAAACAATGTTCTTGTGGCCCATGTTTCACGTATAACAACTCGACGTTGGTAATTAGTCGGACCAGAATGAACATAAACGAATAGATAAACAGGTGAATTACTATTGTTACATACGGAGTATCCCGGATTTAGTAAATAAGAAAAGTTATGTGGATTAACAATGTGATCACGTGCATGATACGGATTAATGAGCGATGTTGTTTGTGATGCTTTTGTTGCTGAATTATTATTAGTATTTGAACTACTGAAGACATCGATATGTAGACATATCAGAATAAGAATTATAAATTGAAATTGCATGTATTATGTAATCTAGAACAAAAAAGAATCATAAATATATGTTTATGTTGTTTGAGAACTTTTTCTTGTTGTTGCCCTTCTTTATTTCTCACCAGAACAATGATTTTGATATATGACACCAGTAGCGCTGTTTGAAGTATGACTGACTAACTTTTCATTCTTGTGGAAAATGCAATTCTCTTTGTGCCTGATAGTTTCTATTATGTGCGTTTTTCTAGGAAATAAATAGATAGTCATTTATTTTTCATCATTATTCTATTTAGCATAGACGAGTATAGAAAAGGAGAAAAGAAAATATGCCAGAAGAAAGAGTATAACAGAGAACGAAGAGATGTTTACGTGGGCCAAACTAGACTTTTAGCTTCAATTTCTTCTTCTTCTTCTTCTTCTTCTTCTGCTTTATTTTATTTCTATTTTTCTCACGTCAACCCGTCCTTCATCAAACATTTACCATGTTGAAGTATGGAATTATTTCCATCATGTCTTTGTACTCTTCTGTTGTCCTTTTTCAAGTGATAAAAAAATTAAAAAAACACGCCTAACAGAAGAGAAAGTCGTTTCAATCCTTGTGCTGGCATCTGTTAACATGATGTATGCGTTTATTTGTGGTCGGTTTCTTCTACTCTCGACAGATAAAGGTTGGAAGTGGTAAAAGGTATATATATATTACACGCAATCGCTTACAGACAACTATGACTATACAAAAAAAGAGCAAGTTCAAGAGTGTGTGCATCAGTCAATAAAAGAAAGAAAGAAATAAAAATAAAACGAAGTCGTTTATGATGTGGTGAATTGATCGTAAAATAACAAACATACGCAGCCGCATGAAAAAATCAACAAGAAAAGGGAATTGTCTGAGTATATTTGAGGTCTAGCTTACATATTTCATGATCAAGAAGAAGAAGAATAGTATATACATACTACAATATCTCGACAAACGATACTGATAGCGTGTAGTAGAGCCATTTCTGTTCTATCTCCTTTTTCATTTCCTCTCTCACAGCTAATGAGAATAACCCCAAATGGTTGCCTTTGTATAGCTATATATATATATATATATATATATATATACATGTCGGAGACTTCTTGTCGTTCTTATGCTCTTATTTTTACAATAACAAAAAAACGGATGTCGATAGATTGCTGGCTTATTCTTGACAGTAGTAAAAAAAAATCTATTATCAGATTACTAGTATGACTAGCATAAAAAAGGAGGAAAGAAAATGAAAACATAAAAATCTCAGTGTATATTTTTATATGTAAAAGGAATGAATGTTGTAAAATTGTTTTGGTTTCTGAACACCGCATTAGCAGAATATCCAATGAGTTTTTTCGTTTCTGTTGCTTGCATAATAATTTATACGAATGCGTTCTTTATTCAGCACTAATAATTTCTTTTCAATTGGCTTCCCTTGAAAATGCTCAGAGGCGATATATGGCACAAACAGTATGCTAAAAATGCTCTACACAAAATGGCCAGAATATGCCGTTGACAATCAATTAACTGGATACAAGAGGAATAGAATAAAAAACGCGGAGGACCGACACGAAGGTCAGATAAAAGTACTGCTCATGCTGTTGTAATATCGTATCAACAATGAAGATAAAAGAGAAAGAAATCAGAGTTATTTCATAATATATAACTGACTGATTTGTTGGTATATCTTCGACATCGATATAATATACTTCATGAAATAATGTGTACCTTTTCTCGTATCGTCATTCTATTTTTTCTATGGGCAATTGTTAATCAATCCATTACAGGTAGAAAAATAAGACCAATCAATTTTATTTTATTTTATATTCATACTTATAATTACATATCATAGATGCATTTCGTAATAATGCCGATGAATGTTGTGAAACAGGTCGCATTGAAGCTGAACATACTAAAACATGTAATATGGCATTACAATCATTAATAACAGAAAATAATAAAAACATTTCAACAAATTGTCTGTTTTTAACACATATTTGTTGTTTGTCAAATTTACGAAGTTACTTTTGTGAAGAGGGTCTAAAATCAGCTCTTCGTTTATTACCATGTAATCAAAAAAAACTTGATTCAAAAGATTCGTATCAGGTTTTTATTTATTTAATTAAAAATAGCATATTGAAATAATTACTTATGCATCTATAGATATGTTGTAAATGTTGTGAATTAGGCATTCGAGCAGGTCGCGATAAAGCAGATTGTGAACCGGTGACTGTACTCGATGAACGATGTGGTGAACAATTTACGAATTGTTGCTTAAAAGCAAAATCTTGTAAGCAAATAAACCTGATTTTAGTTGTCATAAACTGTTTTTTTTCTAGTAAATTGTGACATGGGTTTTCAAATGGATGATGATCATCAACGATGTCGAGGTAGCGTTGTGCATTTATTATTATTATTATTTTCTATAAAATGGATTTTATTCTGAATAATTACTTTTTGGTAATAGATATAAATGAGTGTCTTTCAAATCCATGTCCAAACACGATGCAATGTGAAAATACACCTGGTAGTTTTCGATGTATTGAAGGATGCGAACAAGGTTATACATGGTCAATTAAACATGGAGCATGCCGAGGTAAATATTTATTCTGTTTATTTATTTATCTTTAATTGATTTTTTTTATGACAGATATTGATGAATGTGCACTAAACAAACATAACTGTACATTTGGGCATCGTTGTGAAAATATGCCAGGTTCATATAGGTAAAGAGGATTTTTAGTTTTCTTCTTTTTTTTATGAATCATTATTCTTTCGTTTTCTTCAAAAGATGTATTCGTGAGAGAAATTGTGGTACTGGCTATCAAGTGGATCCTGTTACGCAAACATGTGTGGGTAAGAGAAATTTTGAAGAACAATCATGATATGTATTTAATGGATCGTATGGTTTCCTTTAGATGTTGATGAATGTGAACAAGATATTGACGAGTGTGGGCAAGTGATGATTTATTATTATACTCGAATAGGAGAAAAAGCACGAGCTCTATCTAAGTTTATCGTTTTATTTTTTGTATTTAGACCTGGATATATCTGTAAAAATGTCCCTGGAACCTATAAGTAATTACTGATGTATTTATCTACTTATCAGCTTACCGTTGTTTTTCTATTCTAAAGGTGTGCACCTCAAAATTGTACATATGGAGAAAAATTTAATGCCTTTCATGGTCGTTGCGAAAAAATTCAATGTCGATCAGGATTCAGTTTAACATCATCGGGAAAATGTGTTGGTAAGAGTACTTGCATGTGCTCGTTTGAGTATTCATAATTGATTATAGATGTAAACGAATGTGGTCAAAATCCAAGTCCATGTAAACGTAGTGAACGTTGTGATAATACGCCTGGTTCATATCGTTGTGTACAAACATTTACTTGTGCAAGTGGCCTTCAAATGAAAGATCTCGAATGTCTAGGTATATTTCAAACCAAGGTTTTCTTTTAAACGAGATAAACCGCAAATTGTTCCTATACTGTAGGGTTTTTGTTCTTACAGAACTCACTAGGAAGTTATAGGCTAATCTTGTACATATCTATAATTATATATATATATGTTGTAGGCAAAATTCAAATCCAGTCAAATTTGAAATTTGACTAGGCAAAATTAGAATTAGAATTCTGCCTAGGCAAAATTCAAATTTCAATTTTGACTGATATATTCCCAGTCAAAATTAGAATTTTAATTTTGACTGGGCAAAATTCAAATATCTTTTTTATAGTTAAAAGAAGTAAAATGTTTTCTGCTCTACCAAATGTCATTCAAAGAGAGGTGGATGCTTAAACATGGATTAAAAAAAATTAGAACTAAATAATGTTTGTTAAAAAGTACTGTAAAATAAAAAAACCTATTCACACTTAGATTATTTCTCTTTCTTCGCGTTCTTTTAACTATAAAAAAGATATTTGAATTTTGACTAGTCAAATTTCAAATTTGACTGGATTTTAATTTTGCCTACAACATATATATATGTCTACGATGACTAGAAAGGAAAGAAACATGGTTCATATCATTAACTAACATTATAGTTCATTGAAATTTGTTGAAGTTTGCAATACATTGCTAGACGCTCTTCAGGTGTTGCTACTAGAATGGTTTCGATCGGCGCTTCTATAGTGGCTGTAGAGGACAATATATGCGTGTTCGCTTTCATCGACGAATCTAATATTCTTGCTACAAACGTCATGACCCGATTATTTAAACCATTCATTGGAGAAATCGAATGAAATTGATCGGTACGAACATGTAATACATTGCCAGGAAAATGAGAGTGACATTCGACGATCCGTAAAGTGCCGCATACATTCATAAGCGAAGTCAAATGATTTCCAGATTCCCGAGAAAAGCAATAGGTAACTGCGTCAGTATCATCAGGAACGATCTCCCATATTCTTTCTACATATTCACCCTCGATGCAGTACGTATCAAACGCATAACGATGGTTGTGAATATATGTTTCCTCGCAATCCCAAAACCAATGAAATCGATACTGAATCCCTTCGTCACTTCCGCAAAGTACTTGGTACATTACACCGGGAACTGTTCGAACGTCTATATTTGACCAATTTTGTAATACATATGTAAGCCAGTGGATGCATCTTTGTTCCATAGAGGTCTCCATGAATTAAACTCGTATCTCTGTAATATTCACTAAAATAATTCGATAACGGTTGATTTATATCCATTTAATTGCACTTTTTAGAAATCGAATCTGGGAATAATTGTTCACCCTATGAGTCAAGCCAGGTAAACAATCTTTTTCCCAATATGGCCTTGAATTAAATATTTTTTTCAACTTTCTCGTGTGTAAAAAAACAAGAAAACTGAATCAACAAATGTGACAAATATTTGTGTAGCTTTTTTTTTCAGTGGCATTACACCTTCTCGTCGTGTTTTCGTACCACTATGGGAATGTGTGTGCGAATGCCGTCAATGGGTAAAGGAATATAACCAATTGGTTGATTGTTTATCGATAATGAAAACACTTTATTGACCATTGCTCGAATATACTTTTATGAAACTCACGTATATTTTTGAAGAAAATAATGAGTGTAAGTTTAAGGGGCAGAATTTTGCGGCTCCCCCCTTACACACATACTCATTACAGACATTAAAAGCTAATTATCAATTAGAAGAAAAAATGAAAAAAAACGAAAAAATAGGAAAAATGCGAAAGAAAAAAAGGGGCCAACCAAAATACAAAAATCTTATGAAAATGTAAAAATAAATGAGAGAGATTTTGCTGTGATGATCAACTATTTTGAAAAATCAGTAGTCTGAGAAATTTTTCATTTTACACATTTTTATTGAGGGTTGGGCAACATTTCGATCGGTGAGAAAAATGATCATTCCTAGAGGAAAAATGCCACCCAAGTCAAAAATGCTACCATAAGAACAGAAACAACGATATCAGTGCAGCATTGGTGATTCAATGAGAGCGCACTCTGTATATTGAACCCACCGAAAAAATGAGTGTAGGCATTGGAAAAATGCTAAGGTTAGTTAGAATAATGCTTTATTACAGCGGAAAGCTGATTCCATAGGGCTTCACATTTTATATTTTGTCCAGCGGAAAAATGAAAATCCATAGAAAAAATTTTATAGACCGATGGAATAATGCTTCATCTAAGCGGGAAAATGCTGTTAGCTTTGGAAAAATGATTCTAGAGGACTTCAAATTTTATATTTTGTTGCGGAGGAAAGATGAAAATCAGTAGGAAAAATGAAAATTCCTGAGGGAAAAGTGCTATCGAGAGTTAGAATTATGCTTTTTTCAAGCGGAAAAATGCTAGCACGTTAGTTATAATGTCTATGTTTATAGTCATAGAGGAAAAAATAATTTACACTTTGAACCGGCGTTTCTGATTTGTGCTTTTGTTTTCTTTTTATCGAATTCAACTGATTGTGATGAATCCAATGAAATGACAGTAATTACGATCTACAATAAATGAATCTGGAAGATTTCAAATTACATACATGTGGATATTATATATTAAATTCGTTTTGTGTTTACAAAAATTATATCCGTTGTTTTATAAGTTTTTCTCTTTTCTCTCTTTTATCGGATCACATTCGCATAACATGTCGTGATAATGGAAAATCATATCTATGTTTTTATGTAGATGTTGATATAGAAGAAATAGTTGTTTATAGTTGTAGCGCACGTTTCTCGTTTCAGCGGACATTTTGTAATCAAGAGGATCTTTCTTAGATAAATATTTTCTTCTTCTTCAACGAATCGGCTCCTTTTAATGAATTTAATCGATTAGCATTATTGAAAATCTACAATAATTTAATCTGGAAGATTAGAAATTGCATGTACGTGAATATGATATAGTAAATTCGTTTTGTGTATGGAAAAATTATGCAGGTTGTTTGTATAGGTTTTTGTCTTTACCCACTTTCTTCGTATACGATTCATATAACATGTCGTGATACAAAAATAAAAGTATATGTGTTTCTCTATGTATATAGGCACATTGAAGTAGTAGTTAGTGATAATTCTAGCAGACCTTTCTATTAATACATATCTTTTGTTCGTCAACGAATCAACTGTAAAAATAATTGCAACCATGAATTTGTGACTGTGTTATTATTGGTTATCTAGATCATATACTATTAATACAAAAACATTGCCTATATTTGAATCTGACAACTATGGCAGCTGTTTCATATGAAGTTCAACAACAGATAAACTTTTCTTAATATTTTCATTAGATTCCTTGTTGAATTTTACCTATATCAATACATTTTAGGATAGTTTCAAACATAAATGAAAAAAGTACTAAAAAATATTTCGCTTGATTGCATTCGAAGTTTGAAAAATGGCTATATTTTTTTGAGCAGAAAAGAAATTTTAAAACTTATGTTGTACTTTTGTAGCGAAATGTCTGCTGGTTCTAATGGTATATTGCACTAAGCTGTATCTATTAATACAAAAGACTAAATAGGTTTACAAAAATGTTAACGAAGCATCACTTTTTAAATTTTTTCAACGACATTCTATAATGAATTTGATAGATAGATTTTTAGTAATGGATATCAAAAGCGGATGCAATTGATGCAGGTTTTCATGAGGAATGTGAATATCTTATTTTTTCTACATCGAACAGTACGAAATTTCGTTTTTAAATTCAAAAACATTGATTCGGTCGATTTTTCAAAGAAAAACTAGGTAATGGAAGTGAACTTTAAAATGTTTTCTTTTCAACAAAATTGTTTCGAAAAAAATTCAAATACAATACTTTACTCAGCTCGACCAGTTCTATCGAACCATATATAAATAGACAAAAAAATATTTTGCTTGAATTTTGCATTTGAACTTTATATATCTATACAACAAATAAATAGTATTAATGTAATATATTTCAAGTCATATATATAACGACATCTCCTGGCAAGAAGTATATTGGTCATATATATATGAAGGGACCATTTTTGACTTAGAAGTCATTTTTCCCATTGAAATGACCATTTTTCCTACCGATTAAAGAATTGCCCACTGCTGTTTTTATTGGTTTATCGAGGCTTCAAGGATATACGTGAGTTCCACATTTTAGCCCCAAAGGGGCTGCGCTGAATAGCTTTTCACAAATGATCCTTTACAAGATTCTATGGAACGTACATATATTTTCGAAGTAAAATTAGTGAGTATAAGTTTTAAAAGTGAGTTTTTGCGACTTTCCACCTCCTCTCACATTACAGGCCTTAATAACCAAGATTATATGATGGATATTCATAACTAGGTCATTTGCCACTTGAATGAATGCTCATACTGATAAATATTAAAAATGAAAATGAAAATAGGGTGTCCACGAAAGAGAAAACTATGTATTCTTGAAATAAAAAAAAAGAGTTTATATGCTGTTGATCATCAAGAGAAATGATGATCAACTTTATAGATTTTCGATTGTTTTGTGTCAGTATGATAAAACTTTGTTAATATTATCTAACAGAACACTTTTATAATAATAGTGTCATTAACTGATCATTTTTTCAGATATCTTGGTGCCATTGAATCTTCTTAAAAAGTAAAAATTTCACAGAAAGTCTTTACAGTATTAGTACTGAATACAATTCAGTTTTAAAACTTGGATACTCTGTGTCCACTTTTACTTCATCGAGTTAGGATTATGACATCTTACTGCAACAAAGTTCATAGCAATCATTTATCGAATTATGACAATTATTAGCGATTTTATTACTCATTGTATGTGATAATCATGAATATTTTAAGTTTATTTTCAAGCAGAATACAACATCAAAGCATTAGTCATTGCTGAAACCAAAACTAATATTGAATTTTAAAATTCTTCAGTGGAATTTGAGTGGCCATAATTGTTCTAGAGCCTTGCGGTTTAACTGTCACTGTGAATCGTGTTAATGGCTGTCGTTGTCGGTGAAATATTTTTTCTAGAAATACTTTTTTTACATCAACTATCGAGATAAGGCAAATGAATGAAAATATGAAAGTAATGAAGTAGCAAAAGAAATACATGTACGATGTAACATCGGATTCGCTGTAGAACGGCATACCACATAGCTGAGCAATATACAAAACGCTCAGGGGAAAGTTCAGAGAGAAATTTGGAATCGCCAGCCCCATGAGCTGAATTGTCATTTTTCGCCTTTTACGCCATTGCATCGGCTGATGTGAGCGATGCTTCTGCCAGATTACTCGAAAAAGAAAACTCAATGTAATAAATGGTTCGAGTAAGGACGGTATGACACTGTTAGCAAATATATCCCACCAATTCAAAATCTTGTTGTCTGTATAACAGGTGGAGGAGCCACAATAGATGGATGCATAATCATAATCATGTTTACATGGATAAAAATAAATAACATATATGTAATAAATAAAAACATATAAAATTATCGAAGATATTGGTATATAATGTATGATTATTCGTTTTTTTCTTGTTGACACCCATTGATCATGAAATACGAGAATATGTCGTTCAAACGACATCCAAGCCATGAGAATGATTGTTCCATTGTACAAACCAATATCGACGAAACTCCAAATTTGACAAACTGATGGATTTGCTGGAATAACAGCCGAATGCACAGTAAAGTTAAGGTAGAAAGGTACATCAATTAATTGAATAGCCAAGCCAAAAAGAAGCAAAATTATGAGAACATGATTTTTTATGTTTGAACGTGCTTTTTGATTTTTAAAAATATAAATGAGAGTTACAAATGTGCATAAGGTAGATGCAATATCGGGTGGTAGAAGAATCCAAAAGCGAGCAGCGTGCGGTATCAGAATGTCGGAGTTGCCACCAAATGAACTGTTGCCGGAATCATTCGAAACTTGAGTGTCAGACATCACTGAAAGTTTTACAATAATCTAAAAAATATATTCATATGGAAGTAGGAATCAAGAATCGATTCATGATGTCATAGAATAATGTGACGAACATCTGCTCACACATGATATGCAAGAAGCCGGTCATTTATACTGAGAGCGGATTCAATCGACAGAGAGGGTTACATGAATTTCGGCCCACGGAATTTTCGGGCCGGACTTTCGGACCAATTTTATACAAATTCATTAAACTCAGAGAAAAAACGAATTTTTTTGAAAATTGGTTTCTAGATTTTTTTAGTACCGCGCGAAGCGTCATAGTGCCNGGTTACGCACCAACGGTTAATGGTTTCGTACAGAACCTTCAAGGTTTCGTATTTTCTCACGGAACCGTTTTTTGCTGTACAGAACCGAAAAAAAGGTTCTGTAAGAGATGGTTCTGCGCTTGGGTAAAACGCAAAACCTTCAAAAGGTTCTGTCAAAATTTTCATCCTTTTTTTGAGACTTTGAACACATTTGGAGCATTTTGAAAATCTACAGAACCTTTTCGGAGGGTTCTGTAAACCTCCTTTATTTTTTTCAGAGTAGTGCGCGAGAAGAAGAAGAAGGTGGCATCCAGTGGTTGCCAGTTTCATTAAACAATAAAATGCATGGATGATAAATTGTGTAGGGGGGAATTTGAGCTCGTACATGAGATACATTTAATCGATTACGATCTTATGTGAACACAATGTACTGACCTGTATGAGATTTTCACAATGAATGCAATGTTTATAATTCTTCAAAACATTTCTCTTCTCTTTTATTATGCTAGAAAAAGAAATAACCAATGAAAAATTTTAGAATGAGAATTGGTAATTATTTTATATCCAGCTAGATTGTTATCATTCGCTTTCTGTCAAAAAGAGGTTGCATAAGAGAAAGAATGTAATAAAAGCTTCTTCCATGTAAACTAATTGGTAATGTCATTTAGAATAGCATTTGCTTCTCATCTAAAACTTCAAAATATGTATTTATCAGATCGTATATCTGACAACAGGCTATTTTTGAAAGAGAACATGAATTCATCAATTATTTCAAAGTAAAATTACTTTTAGTTAATGAAATGTTGCATGGATGAATCTACAAGAAAAACAAGGAATATACTGAAAAGATTATTCAAATAGATATAATGTGTCTATTTTGGGCTGCACTCAAACAATCTAAGAGAAAAACTTTTTTCACATAAATTTTTTCCGGAATACTGAGCTAGAAATGAGATTTGATACGAGATGACAAAGATGTTGAAAAGAAAAACATCAATTATGTGTTAACAGTAGCGTTCAATATGTATCATTTTATCATAACAGATCTACAAAGTGGCATACATAATCAGAACTTTCCTCATTTTGATGTGATATAATCAAATTTTTTATTACTTCTGAAAATAAAATAGGAAAATACGCTATCTCATCAAATTTTATTATCAGATTTTGCATTTATTTTATTTATGAAATTATTCTAATCGATAAATTTTCCTGGTGTCGAATCACTGCTGTGTAAAGAATATTTTTTATGAGAATATGTCCATAAAATCAAACCTCAATTCAATGACGTATTCAAGATCTTCTAAAATGAAATAAATTATATTTTATTCTGTCTGTGGGGGTTTCGAGTGGCTAGGGTAGAATGAATCTGAGCTGAATATGCCAAGGGGGAAACAGCGTACTTGAAGTAGGAAAGTAGGTCAAAGTAGAAAAGTAACTTGAAGTAGCCTAAAGTTGAGCGAAGTATTGAGTAGTAGGCTCAAATACACTTAGAGTATCACGAAGTACTTTTAAGTACTGGTAAAATGTAGCAGAGTACTTCGAATTACCGGTAAAGTATTAGAAAGTACTTCGAATTACGGGTAAAGTATCACAAAGTACTTCGAATTTCTTCTTAAGTTTTGGGAAACAAGTTTAAGGACATAAAACTACCAAAAAGTTTCTACAGAGTCTTAAAAATATCCTTTGGAAATGGAAAATTCAATAAATGGTATTAAACTAATAAAAAAAAATACTAAAGACTTTTGTGGAACTCACATATATTTTCGAAGAAAATGGTGAGTGTAAGTTTAAAAGCGAGATTTTTGCGGCTCCTCACCCCCTCCCCATTACAGACATAAATGAGCTTAAAATTGTGCTAATTAGAAGCTTGACTAATTAGACTGCTATTTCTTCCTTTTTTAATTACAGACGGCACGAAAAAAGCAATGCTTGCCCATTACAGACCATAGTAACTAGTCTCTGCCATTGTTAAATATACGAGCTAACAATTAATATTCCATTGCAGACATAAGCAAATAGGCAATGACCTAAGTATAGGTTTTGGAAATCAAGGTAGATTTTTCAGATGAACTATTTTGAACTATTTTAGTAAGCCTAGGGATATATGTGAGTTCCACATTTTAGCCCCAATGGGGCTGCGCTAACAAGCTTTTTTATTTATCTTAATTGTTTAAACCAAAAGAAAATCATCAACAAAAACATTAAAACATTAAGTTCATGAATAGATATTTAACTGCTTTGCTGTTTACAACGAGATAAACGATCACTTGACAGTTTTGTTATTTTATTTGACAATAACCAGCACGCTGATTGTTTATGAAGGTACTTAATTTTGTCATTTAATTTAATCTTGAAGTACGATTGCTTTAAATTTGGATCAATATCATCAAATACTCTTATTCCATTGAACTCAGATTTTGTAGAAGTAAGTACATCTTCTTCATCAACAACATCGTCGTCATTTTCAAAATCCAATAACGCTTCATCATCGAGCTGATTTTGTTCATCATTAAGTACATTATCATCGTCGTTTTTGTCGTCTAAGTCAAACTCGTCGACATAATAATTTGTTATTTATGAAGAAAAATTACGCATTTTTGAAGTTTTACTTAAATTATCAAAAACAAATTCGCTCAAGCTTTGTAATTTAATTGAATCGTGCCGTTTTAATGCATCTAACATTTTTGAATGTTAAACAATATGTGTTGCTTGATCATATGCATTGCTGATTATTTGTTCGATGTCTAATTTATCAATTTCATTCAATTGATCAGGTAATACTAATCGATCATCGTGTTTATGTTTATGATGCTTTGGAAAAGAAAATTATGCTCTGATTGATCATATTTAAATTGATTTAATATTGCTAATTTTTGTGAGCGTTTGATAAAGTTATTGACAGTGAAGTTAACTATTGTTGAAAATGAGCCACTTAAAGATCTTGCATCTCTGAACAAGGATTCACATCCCTGAGAATTAAATAAATGTATATTGATTAATGCTTGTTTGGGTAACGAATGTTGCTTCACTAAAAGCACCATATAAAGCATATTGTGTGCATTTGGCTCAACAGATAAATAAGCAGGTTTTGTGATGAAATATTTGTTAATATGATTTTGTTGTTCACATGCTGTTGTGCGTTTTGATGAGCTTGAGGATGACTCCTTTTTTAACCAAGACCACCATATTCGACAAACAAATACAACATACCAGGCGGATTCTAAACCTAAATAAAGGAATATTTTCAATTAAAGAAAGCGTTATACTTCTTTCTTCTAACTTGCAAAATAAACTTACGTTCACTCAATGTGGTCGATTTGTCCATGTAAGCTCTTACTATCATTTTCAGCAACATTACATAAATTACTGTTCCTTCTGTGTCTTTACGATCAGTAAGTAGATTGATAACATCATCAGATATTAATTTAACACCCAGGTCAATGATTCCGGAGGACGGATACTGTAGGAACCGGCCGGAAAGATGCGGAAAAATCACCGTATCTGGCCGGAAAGCACGGGAAAGCACTGGAAACTGGAAGCAGTATTCCAGTTGGAAGTTACCGGATTTTTTTCCTGTGGATTCCGGTCAGTTTCCTGTGTTTTCCGGTCAGTTTTCTGTGTTTTACATCTGGAAGTTGATCGGAATCTACAGGAAGAAAATCCGGTAACTTCCAACTGGAATACTGCTTCCCCTTTCCAGCGCTTTCCTGTGCTTTCCGGCCGTTTCCCGCCGTACGCCCACGACCTGGGCACAAGAGCGATAGTTTTGACGATCTTTTGGATTAATGTCGCTCTGCGTTATTCCATGGTCTAATTTTGTATATTGATCATCTTCAATTAATTCTTCTATATGCTTTATACTAATTTATCAGCGCCAAAGCATAGATCCGCTGTTGCTGAAAATAACCTATTTCTCCATTTTGTGACGAGATGAACTGGATCTTGATAAAACAAGAAAAGTTGATTCTTTTCCAGAAAAAACCATGTCCATTCTTTTGGGATATTTATTTTAAACGCGTGTTGATATGTTTCTAATTTGAAATTTGGTGACGACGCAAAAAGCCACTCGCAAGGCGCATGGCACTTAAATACTTTGCATCAGCATCTGCAAACAAATGAAAAATAGCATATTTTAATGGTGTAAGATTAGAATTTACCTGTAGAAAAATCAATCACACGAACGCCGTTTTTTAAGCAATTCCGATATATATATAACCATCTTTGTAAAACATCCAAAGCCGTAAAATTATTATTGATGCCATATGCAGACAGTAGAAATGGTCTTGGAATACTCGTTGTATTATCATCACTATGTATACCTTGAAACATATGTACATTCAATAGTCGAGCTTGTTCACTCATATCATAAATTTCTTTTATATCATTAAATGTATCTACTTGAAAGCATTGTGATAATGGAACACCATCAGTAACTGGCGTGGCAAATCTAACAAAAGAGTTTGTTGAACAATCATATTCAACTTTACGAATCACTCCAGTAGTATCTTCAGAGCAAAAACCAAAGCTTGAATGCAATTGAGGAAGATATTCAAACCTAAACTCTGCTTCATTTAAGGCCATATTTGAAGTTTTAATTAAATCGCCGAGCGTTGTTAAATTAAGTATGGATCCGTACAAGTTTAAACAAATAAATTCATAAGTTTGTTTTCCACCTAATATATACAAACATAATGCAAAATTTTTCATTGATTCATCATATCGAAAGTTGTTAGGAGATCGAGTTAAATTGTTTGTTAAATTATCAATAAATAATTGCAGAAAATTATGTGTTTTGTTGTTCTTGTTGTTGTTTTCGATTACATCCATTTGTTGGTACCATCTAATAAGAGACTTAAGCAATGGATGATTATCAAGAAATTCCTTAGTAAGAATGTTTAGATAACTTTGATTGTCATCATTCATTGTTGATTCTTTTTCTTTTTTTAATTTTTCCTTTAGTAAATCTATTAGATATAGTAAGCTACTTTGAACACCTGGCTTAATCACATATTGCCCTGTTTTAGATTTAAAACAGGATTCAAGTTTAATAGCACCAACTTCTTCAGAGTCTATACGCAAAAATTCAAAAACATAAGGTATGCATAATAATTTTCGTGCAGAATTTATTAATTGGATTTTTAATATTTTAACGACAGAATCACCGGCAATTGTTTTAACAACAGAAAAAAAATTATTGTCCACACGCATAAATATATCATCAGGCAAAAGTGACATTCCAAATTTGAGCTTATCGAAGTTATGAAAATCCATTTGAAACGAAATAATATTTGCTACTGGTATCTAAAATAATAATGTACATGTATATAAATTTCAAGATAAATACATTACAGTTTAAATCGCAAAAGAATGAATAGCTGTTTCTTCAGGTATTTGTTCTGGTATATCAGCCAAACACAAACAGGGATAATCAATATTGAGTTGCAGCTATATCAAGATACTAAAAGAAAGAATAGGAATAATGATTGATTGAATATTAACATAACCAACTATATCTTGAAAAATTCAACCTTCAAGATAGATGAAATCAATCATGCTCTTAATCTTTATCTTATTGTTTTAAATACATTTAATTAAAATAAAATTTCAGCTTTAACTATGCTCTGGCGTTAAGTTGAATCATCTTTTAAGACCAATGTACTTCAAGGAATGATTGCTTGTTAGAAGGTCAATAATAACGTTCTATGACATATGAACGTTTTTTTGTAAAAAAAACGAACAGAAAAAGAAAATATATAGAACTTTTAAAATCTTTAAAGTCAGTCTACAAAAAGAATAAATCACATTATATACAATCAATGAAGAGGAAGACCCAAAAGAAAATCAAGTGGTGTTAGTGAGATATGCAGTAATGTTAAAAAAGTATTGATGTTTAATGCGACATACCTAAGTTAGTTTAACAAAAATCGCTTAACGAAAACGCGAATGATAAAGTGTAAGTGTTGTATACTAAAATTAAACCAAAAAAGGTATAATTAGAAAAAGATGAATAAAAAGCTTCATGGACGGTATATGCATATCCTCACAAGTCTTCAAATTTTATTTAAGATAGTTATTGAGAACCACGAGCTTTTCTGTAACCAAATTCAATTTGAAAATGTCGCTAGTTCGTAGAATATGTGGTAGCTCATTATAAAACAGTCAATTTTCATTAGCTGGTTACATTCACGAATCTTTATTTGATACTGTGTTCAGTATGTTTAGCTTGTTTCTTCGTTTATGTACTTGAGAATGAAATTTCGAAAAAAATATTTTTGCTTAATTCTCTCTTTAGTGTTTCCGTGTGAAATTCTATTTATATTTAATTTCAGAAGAACCTTGTCATGTCACTTTCGTTTCAATTTGATTACCTTCCATCAAATGTGTTAACTTTATCTGGTTATGATTTTTTCCAGTTCATCCGAAACACGTTAGGTGAACCTGAAGCTAACTTATTGTGCAAAATTTCAGTGAGAACAACATCTTCATTTTTGCTCATAGAAAATCCACTTGATATTTTCAATGAAGATATTGAAGATGAGGAATTAGACAAGTTAAAAGATCAATTGTGTTTTAAAATGAAAAATGATAAACTTTTGATTAAACCTGGTGTTCTTGCTGGATTTCTTTCGCTAAGACAAGCATTAAAAGATAAATTAAATGAACAACAGACATCAAAAAATAAGAGAAAGAAGTAGCTGTCGACTTCTAATGCATCATCAATATCTTCTTCAATATTATCGACACAACCAACAACAACCTCATCACTATCTATTGATGAACATCATTCATATGTTCTAAGATTGATCAAAACGTGGTGTCTTGAAAATCAAGAAAATTTAGGCTTAGAATCGTTTGCTTTAGAAGAAGGTATTGATTTTACTGTAAATATTCATTTTGAAGATATTGATTTTTCTATAAACACAACATATCTCAAACAAAAGAACTCGTAAATGAACATTTCTTCTCTGTTTTAACTATTCTTACATTACATGTGGATTTTATTGCTTTTTTTTATTGTTTTTTATATAACTGTTCATGAAAAAAGAATTTAAAAGAATTTGAACTGCTGAAGTCGTTATTTTTGCTATTTATATTTATCATCCAGATTCATAACGTTGCGCTGATAGATGATATAAAATCAAAAGACATGACGTAGCAATATTCAGCATCCATCTTTGAACATGTATCTAACAAACTTTAAGCCATTCAAAGTCTTAATTAGTATGTCAAAGTACCAGAAGTAACTCGACGTAGAGTGAATTGACTCCAAGTAGAGCGAAGTAGCTTCAAGTAGAGCGAAGTAGCTAGAATTACCATCAAAGTAGGTAAAAGTAACTTCAAGTATCTTAAATTATACTTGAAGTTACTACAAGTGCCTCAAAGTAGCCTTCAAGTAACTTTAAGTAACTCCAAGTAACTCCAAGTAACTTCAAGTAACTTCAAGTCCAAAAGTCCGCTGTTTCCCCCTTGGAATATGCACACACTCCCTTTCGAATTCTTTTCGAGTGTGAACGAGACTCACGAATGATCAATCAAATAAGTTTGAATCCAACAACTTAACATATCCATTGAGTGCAAAATTAAACGGGGACAGTTGAGCCTCTCCCTTCAGATTAAAGTACGTCCTCTTCCAAATTTCCAGTATTTTTGTCGTCAACTATCGACTTTCTCCGTTAGAACCTGACAAATTATTTCAGTCAGTCTTCAAACACGTCTTTTGAGTGTCAACCAAAGAAAGCAATACAAACTTCTATGGTATTCCGAAACAAAGCTTCTTTAGTTTATTTACTAAAATAAAACTTTCAAGATGCCAACATTCATCGATGAAACTTGTGCTATTTAGCTCAATGAATAGTAAAGTTATACGAGATAAGACAGGCTATGGCCAAACCTTATTAATTCTGAAAAGAAAATATTTAATGAATACTATCAAGTAGTGTCATTCGTTCTGCCTACTTGTTTTTTTTGAAGATCATCGTACAGATTGCATATCTCTAAACATTGAAATACGAAGAGAAAACTCGACAGAAAATTATTTGTGAAAGAACTACATGACATTCATATCATCTCGTGTGAATGATTTTGTTAAAATTACCTCGATCTACATCCTAAACTCCACAGTTAACATCTGTTCTGATGTAAAATTAAATTTATTCAATCGAAATAACCAATAATGCATTTTATTTTACAGTGCATCTATTCATTCAAAAACAAAATATTTTTTAAAATTGTTGGTGTCTAATTAAAACTCGATGAATAAGCACCATTATCGTAGGGTTGCCTGCGTCTGTGAAAGAGCATTCTTATAAATCTTTTAAAATAGCTTCATGTCAAGATAATTTTCAAAGATTATGTTTTTATTTCATTGATCTGCTACTTTATATTACATCCAAGGTTATTAACAAAAACAAAGCTGATGGTAGAAAAGATAAATTTGATGAAAACAAATATATTTTATTTTTAGGAAGTTTACCAATATTTAAGAAAATCTTGAGGGTGTGAGTGTGTGGGCGTGGGTCTTGGCAAAAAGATATAGAACCACACGCACACACATACACTCTGTGTATAGCTGGCTTCTACTCCCATGAAAACTATTACAGCTGCCGCAGCTTGCAGCGCTGCACAAGGCACATGCATGGCTGCTTGTACTCCACTTTTATTAGCACCAACACCATAACCGAACGTTAAGCATGTAATAATTTAACTTTTTTCCCCTACGCGTCTTCATCCATTCTAGCATTTTCAACTTATTTCTTGTTCTCAAAAAAAAGTAGTTTCTAAAACTGGCTCAATTTTTATCATGGTTTAATGTTTGTTTCAAACACACTTTACAATTTGTAGTAAAGAGCTTGGCGTTATTTTCTGTTTTTCTTACAAAGAATTTCTTTTTTTGTTCTTCGCTTAAAGCAAATAGTCGGCGCCGCTTCACTTGCGTATTGGCATTTTCTTGTTTTACTGGGAAGTAGAAGTAAAAAGTGTTGGCAACTAAAAAGTACGCCATTCTCCACTTTCTTGTCGAATTGTTTTTGCTCAAACGTAGTAGTGGGTATGATTGTGAGTGAGTGTTGTCTATCCAAACACTCTCACACCCGGATTTTGAAGGTCTATAGTCACATAATGATAACTTACTTTGTATACAATAGGTCATGTAATTGATGATTTTTTTAAAGCAGAATGAAATAAAAGTAACTATTTTTTATTCGTTTCTATAACTATTATATACTGCGATAGTTCTCTTTTTTCCTTTTAATTCTCTTACTGGTCCAAAGTATCTCTAACAACCAAGTAGGAAAAAACCTAAAAATCAGGAGAAATCAGGAGAAGATGTTGAAAATCAGCTCCTGAAGCCAGGAGACTTTCTACCACGAGAACAGTCCAAAAATTAGGAGTCTCCTGGTCAAATCAGGAGGTTTGGCAAGTCTGGCCACACATTCAGTTACTTTACTTTACATAATAAAGTACAGTTAAACACTTTACTTTACTTTTTGAAAGTAAGATAAAGATAAAGTGCTACCCGTATTCCTTACCAATGAAAGTTGCTGCCCAAAACCTGCGAAAAAAATAATTTACAAACTCCTCATATGCAAACCAGCATTTCGATAGAAAACACTTTCTAGTTGGAAAAATTCTTCTCTCTTTTACTAGTATACGTTCTTATATGTTCAGCGTTTCATCATTTCAGATTGCAAAAACATAAGTAGCACATTTTGGTTCTGAGAGGAAATGAAACCGTTGATTGGAAGCCACTGTGTTGTCATTTTAAACTTTTTAAAGATTTATTTTGGACCAATGGCACCAAGCTCTAAAAGTAATAAAAGTTAGAAATGATTCTGATGAAATCAACGTAACTCCTGGTAGGTCTCTCGAAAACGCAGTCCAGAACGCATGTCTCCCTCACACAAATAGTTTCATACAGAGAGAGAAAGTGAGACTAATATACGAACTAATCCTCAGTTGACCAATGATGGGTGTGGGTGTGGGTGTCGTTGACTGTGGGTGTGGGTGGGTGTGGGTGTCGTTGACTGTGGCTGTTACTGTGGCTCTGGACCCTAGTCGTTTCGTCACTGACACCCACATCCACACCTACATCCATCCACAAGATTCACACGGACGTAATTTTTGCGTATGCTTAGATTTTACGGTTTTCATGCAGGGAAGAAAAGGAAAAATTTAATAGAGTAAGCTGAAAATTTGAGGGATGACTACTAATATCTGATTGAACATTTTCTGGAAGTTTCACGCAAATACTTCTTCACTTTTCAATTGGGACGACATGGACCTAAAGATTTCCTCATTCTTTTATACTTATCAAAAAATGCTGCTGATATATGCAAAATACCGAATTTAGTCATTCATCTGCCCACTTGGAAAGAAAGCAGTGTGTCGAAGTCGACTTTTTTGTCTGGAAATCTCACTTATGAGCCGGAAAATAATTCTTCGTGGCATATTTTAGTGGTCCAATTTTCTGCTCACATCATTGAAATGATACCGAAAAACAAAAATTTTCATCAGATTGATTTTTTTCATTTGTTTTTGCACACTTTCCATTTTTTTTTCTTATTTGCAGGCAGCTCTCTATCAATCACGTCTAAACAAGACGTCTCATGTTTCATTTTTTAATATTATAGGGATTATAATGCTGGTCTTTATTTCAATAAGACACCCAGAAAGGCTTAGGAATGCAAGAGCATTCCTGCTTGCTTTTCGAATGGATCAACTTTTGAAGAAAATAATCAATTAAGTTTGGCCTTTTTTGTGCTCTTAATAACAAAGAACAGAAAAAATACATAAATACAGCTATACGCTAGTCTGAATTACACATAAAAATATCATCACATAATAATATATACGTTATTATCTTCAATAAACATACGTGAGTAAATAGTTGAATACTGTGCGATTAAACTGAAACAACAACCTTTTAGTTTCAAAATGAATCTACTAAAATTAATTCTTTCTATCCATACAGTAATTGGATATTTAGAATGGATACGAGCACTGTTTGTTGCCTATGTATTACTGTCCATTTCGAACTAATATTTGCGTGAAAGAATGTGTAACAGCTCGGCTCTGTAAGCAGCTATTGAACTCCGATCTTCATCATTGAATAAAGAACAGCGTGACTCGTATATCTATGATAAAATAAAGATCTTGAAAAACAGTCTTGACATTTCTCTGACATTATTTCTAGAAAATCAATTTCATTACCACCACAAACGTGATATATTTTCAAAAGCAGACAATACAATCGATAGCAATGACATTCTGGTACAATACTATCGTATTCGGACACATTTATGATAACAACGAGTGACGTTATACGAAAAATATGAAAAGCATTGATAATGACTTTATATGTTGACAGAAAAGCGCCATAGCTTATGTATTCATGTGAAAAAGGCATTGTTCATGAGACGATAATTTTTCTAACAATAAGAAAGGTCATTATCAGACCTTGTCCTATTTATCTGTATCACTTAACTCGTTGATATCAGACATGTGTGCGAATGCGATGGAATTGTATTACTTGCTGTCAAAAATATATCACGTTTCGAGTCCTAACATAATCGATTTTCTAGAGATGATGTCAGAAAAGTTTCAACAACCCTTTTCAAAATTCTGATTTTATCATAGATATAGATGCCGCAATTTTTTTTATTCAATGGTAAAGATCCAAGTTCAATAGCTGCCCGTTAAGTCGAAATATTCTTTGACGCGCTTACTATTGAGAAATGGAAAGTACTTCGAATCTTATTTCTATGATATAATGTTGATGGCAGTCCGTTCTATTTCCTGTGTATGTGTAATTTCATCTTGACACTGTTTTAATTCACGGATGTCTAGCAGATTAATGATGCTCGGTTTATCATCGATCAACTGTTCAATCAATCCCTGACTGCTCGCTCTTTTCCTAACCGAGGTGGGCTTCTCGGTTGTATATTTTCTTGATGAATTCAGCGGTGTTGTCGATGAGTAGGTGAACGGATTGGAAGCCAAGAGTAGGAATATATTGCGCAATATATCGACAAAAACATTGAAGATTAATCGCAATTTGTATGCGATTTTCGCCACATGAGAATGCAGAGGACGTTTGTCAACTAAGGGATAAAATGAAGGATCGAGCGTAGATAGGATTCATGAAATCGTGAGAAAGCGATATTTTACAGTACATCCGCCACGCTGTTTTTTACATGAATGTGTGCTAATTAGAATAATTTATTCACTTATACTCGTCATATCATTCATTTGTACTCATAGGATATTCCAATGTGGATTTCTATGCAGTTCATGATGGCGGTAATTCTGCCATGGACCACTTTTGCGCAACAATATGGAACTTGTACGGCCAGGAATGGTCTTAGTGGAGAATGCATTAACACGGGAATGTGTTCAGCCAGCGGTGGAATCTCGGATCCAGCCAATCTCTGCCCTGGTGACAACACGATCCAGTGTTGTACGTATGGTACATGCAAGAATAGTAAAGGGGTGGCAGGCATCTGTCAACCAACTTCAACTTGCAAGGGCAGCTCCGATCCGGCCAACCTTTGCCCTGGTGGCAACAATATTCAATGCTGCACGGTAGGGTCTACTCCGACTGGCCCTGTACCCAGTAAACCAATTAACACGATGCTCACGGGTTTGGCTGACATCCTTCGTGGTGCCGGTCTAAACGTGGTCGAAGTGGCTGGCTGGAAGACTCGTGGTCATGGTGTAATGGCGTCTGTGAAAGGCATCATTGTTCATCACACGGCAGGTTCATCGACGGGCGACTATCCATCGTTGGCAGTCGTTCGTGACGGTACTTCTAGCCTTGCTGGCCCACTCTCACAACTCGGACTAGGCCGCTCTGGAACTTGGTTTGTGATTGCAGCAGGTCGTTGCTATCATGCCGGCAGCACCCTCGATGACTCCATATATGGAAATTCCAATGCAATTGGTATTGAGGCCGAGGGAGTTGGTTTACCAGCTACCGATAGTGGACACGTACACTGGCCGGAAGTACAATACCAGAGCTATGTGAAAGGTGTTAAAGCTCTTCAGAATGCTTACGGTGTGCCTACTGCTCGCGTGTTGGGACATAAGGAGGCGGCAGTACCAAAAGGTCGCAAAATCGATCCCAATTTCTCTATGGCTGAGTTTCGTACTAAACTCGGCTAAAGTCACGTGACTAGAAGTGCATCAGTTTCATAGAATCAAAACCGGTTAGAACAGGCCAAAAGCGAACCCAGCAGGTGTCTCATTACAAAATGATCAGCATTTTTCTTGCATTATTCAAAGGGCTGGATCTTTCTGGCAAACTGCAACCATTACTTGAAACCCGACAGCACGTAGAAGAAACTTTCGAGCTCAGTGGGTAGAGAATCGTCATCTCACTAGAAAATGCAAGGCAACAGCCGAAGATTCGGCTCGCCAGATTAGGTCCATAAAAATATATCAAGGCTACAAATGTCGAGATATGGTCTTTGGTTCTCTATTTAAGTCTAGAGTAGATGTCAATATATCGGTCTGAGTGAGATTTTAATCATGGCTAGCCATCAATAGCGATGTTAGCCGACACATTTTTAATCGTAGTAGGGAGACTTTTGGGGATAGGTGAATTAATCTTTCGAATATTTGCTACATCTATGTTCTGTGGATGTGTGTGCTTCAATAGTAGCATATTAGAGCTACTACAAAATGTTATAAATCGTTGTGATATACGAGAACCTAAAACCATTTTCTGGAAATAAAAGAGTTTCATATGAGACCGACTCGGTAGTTGCTAACAAAAATCGATTACTAGCATGTCTACTCTTGATGGATCTAAGATGTCGAGCTAAATTTTCCCAGCGTACTTTATGTCATTGACGGCTAACTATGGTTTAAATTTCAAGTAGAAACATTCCTATAGATTCTTCAGTTATTGTCAAACTATTTCCCTATGAGATTACAGTTTTTTTTACACAATGTACTGAAGTCTTTTCTTTTAGTGCACTATCAGCTTTCAAATCGTTATAAGAACTTCCGCTAAAAATTTCAGCCCTTTAAACGACTGGAAAGAAAATTTTATAACTTTGTCATGAAACTCCTGACGCTTTCGTTTTCGATCGGTTCTAAAACCGGAGCCTGAACTGGTGCATGCCTAGATGTGATTTTATTCTTCTATTCATTATATTTTGTTATGCTATGGTCAATAGAAGGCAAAACCAAGAAAAAGATTTTCCGTGCAATCTTCACACAAACAAAATACGAGACATGATAGAGTCATTCTAGTCATGATGATGAAAACTCGATATGTCAATCACAGTTCATGACAAAACTAAAGAACACCGTGTCGAAAAATTTAGAGTGCTACAAACCATAACAACCCACAATGGATTTGCTCATATCATTCAAAGGAATACTCATACTAGCATCCACTCCAACTCAATAAAAGGCGTTCCAGAAGTTCTGAAACAATATTGAAGTTCAGAGTTTTTTCATTTAGCGAAAGAGAAATTTTCGAAATTTTGGTAAATTATTGTACTGATACTGTACTGAACAGCAGTGGACAACAGTACCAATCAATCGGGAAACTGTTCCACTTTAAGCAGAAATGGGTCACCCAAAAAAAATTACGGGTAGCAAGGAGAAATGGAAAAAAAGAATTCACATATATATATATATATATGCACACATATATCAGTTGCTTTTGTTCAACGACGATAACACTTAATTCAAGTAGAAATGGTTAAAATATATAGGGAAATGCTTTTCTCAAGGAGAAATTAAATCTTTTAGCATGACGTTTTAACCATAGTTTTACTCGATAGAGTCCATATAATAAAATATGTTCCAGTGATCGTGTACGTTGCGACGTAGAGGTCAAAATATTTTTCTTTTGTAAGAGTGAACATTTTTTATCCATTGTTTGGATATTTTCACTAACATAATGTATTAATCCTACCATCATAAGGGAAGATCTTTTACATTTGTTAATGGGCTCTTTCTACACTATATATATATATATGTTGTTGTTCAGAGTATGAATTATTTAGATACCAATACTTTACTATGCCGATAGTATATCCTGTTTATTATATCACTGTCGGTTTCAATTACAATATAAAAGGTCCAAAGTTATTCGGTATCATAAGAATTTACCTTATTCGTTTGGATAAAACATGATTTTAGTTTTATAACTACTGCTCCAATGGGATAATCTAATGAAATATACGACTTTTCTTTCAGATTTGTAATTCATATTATTCACAATGAATGCGATGGAAAGATTTCGATTTAACTTGAAGGTCGCGTGCAAACTCAGAGTCGAACCTGAAACATGGTTTTCAGCTGATACAGCACAATATTGTCGTCATTTAGCTTCGTATCATCAAGTGGATAGTCATGCCATGGCATTAGCTTTAATTAATGGTGTAGCAAGCACCTGCCGCTCGACATATGTGAACCGTTCGTCACACTTTATGGTCCCCTGTAATCTGTTCAACATTATCGTTGCTCGTTCCGGTCAGTATCAGCCTTCTTCTCTTTCCTTGTTACCTTTTTTCGAATTATGATTTTCTTTAAACGCATAGCAAGAAATAATAACACATAGCTGCATCCTTCCAACTTGAACATAAGGGTATCCAATCTATGCAAGTTTTCGAAGATCAGTTTTCCATTGCTTTCTAAGCTATGTATCGAAAATTGTTTTAATCCTTGACGTAACTATCGAAGAGTATTAACATAGCGTTTCTTCTAATCACAACCTCAATATAAATCAGGAAACACACTTAAACAGTAGGAAATTGCACAGCTACAAAACAGAGAATCAGCAAATATCCATTTCACTCTAGCTAGAATTTCGTTAGATATAGTTTTTCAATACTATGAATTGATCAGAAAAAAATAACGAAAGATATTTTCTAACACGATCTCATGTTGAAGAAATATATATAAGATTGATATTCAGTATTCATGTGTGCTTGATATTGTATTGAAAATGAAAGGATTAAAATGATAGTGAATTATTTCATTCTAACTTGAATTTCGTTTGATCTATTCTCGTCAATACTATGAATTGATCAGAAAAAAATAGCGGAAGATGTAACCTAACAGAATCGAATGTTGTAGATAGATATATACAATTGATATTCAATTTTCATGAGTGGTTGATATTCTACACTGAAAAAAAAAGGTGCCACACGAAACCCCAAAGGTATCCGATTTTTGCAACCAAATCGAAATCCTTTGAGGTTTCGTAGAAATTGGGTTTCGTAAAAACCCTTAATTTTAATAGCTGAAAACAGGGGTTTCGTACTTGAGGTTCCGTATAATTCACCACGCAATATTGAATGAGAGATCCGCCGGGTGCTTTGCTCCATTATGAAAGTATTTTCCACCACTATCCACTGCAAAACACACCCACTCTCTAAAAGCGAATCGGGTTCTGTAGGAAACAGCAGGAAAGATGCCTCAAAGTCGCCGAATCCTGTAGAAGAACACGCAATATCGCTGGAACATGGAAGCAGTATTCCGACAGCAAACTTTCCCAATTTTTCTGAATGTTTTCCGGGGCATCTTGCCAAAAGGCGTTGCAAGTTGGTCGGAACTGACTAGAAAAATCAGGAAAGTTTGCTGTCAGAATACTGCTTCCATGTTCTAACGATATTCTGTGTTCTCCTATAGAATACGGCGACTTTTAGGCATATTTTCTGCCAGTTCCCACAGATTCCAGTGTGTGGAGCGATCGGTATGCGAGGTTTCACCTAAAAAGAAATAATATAATTCATCAGCATTTAACTTTCAAAATCGAACTCACCATTAGTATTTGTTGATCGAAGACCCGATCTAAATATAAATATAATAATTCATAAGCATTAAACTTTAAAAATCGAACTCACCATTGTGCCAATAATGCATGGACATCCTTTATTGTTCACATATTTGCGTTTCCATTTCTTTGGAATATCCTCTGATCCGGTATTAGGAAGGAGGAATACATTATGATGAGTGCTATGCACTATGCCATAGGCGTTGTATAACCTAGTACTCTCATCAATCTTTCTGGTTTATTTCTTAATGTTATCCATCTACTTTTATGTAACGTGATTACCTCTCTAGACATAACCTACGTAATGCGCATATACCTATTATATCTTTTTCTATTTTTCTCTCTCTCGTGTGCACGTATATAAAGCGAGTACATTGTATTATACATCAGAACTGGAACAGAACTGGAAAATTAGAGAATGGAGTAGTGTAACTAACATCTTGTATACACCGAGGATAGCGGTAACGTTACTCTTCCAGTTTCTCTTTGTGATCAAAAATAAAAATAAAAGCTGCAGCAGTAACGAATATAAACTATCCACTTATCATCAAACAAATTTAGTTACAACCATTAGTATTTGTTGATAGAAGACCCGATCTAAATAAAAATATAATAATTAATCAGCACTTCATTTTCAAAATCGGACTTACCATTAATAATTGTTGATGTGACAATTGATTAAAACAGAAATAAAAGAACTAAGGATTGTCGCTTCGAGTCACCCGACTCGGAGCCGAATAAGGCAAAAGTATTTTTTGTCGATACTGATATCGATAGTCCGATCGATTAATTTGAGCCCTGAATGGCTATTCAAATCTTTCCCGAATTGTATATCTAAGAAACACTTTTTGATTGTAAAATAATTTTAAGTAAACTCATTTTTGACCTGTGAGATACAAACACAGCAAAGCATCCATATCTATATCGACCTTCATTATTAAATTCTACTGTCTCAACAAATACTACGGTATTTTGATATGTCAATACATGCTCACAAAATCTCTAGGACACTCTTTAAAATAACATTTTAGTGTAAGGAGAACATCTTGTTATTCCCGGTCACAATTTCGAATCAATGGGAGGTCGACGCAAAAAACTAACCACATATTCGGGTTGCTGGACCTCGATAACCTATTACAAACTTTCATCAAAAGTTAGATCGGAGTTGAAATAAGAAGTCTTAGTTTTGCAGCAATTCAGTTTTTGATCGGTCCCATTTGTGAGCGAAAGCGTTCTTCTGAGATATTTTCAACTCGGATGAAGGTCCGTTTTGTGAAATATTCAAGACTTTTTAAACTGTGAAAGCCTTTCCCAAGTTCGAAAACACTCTGAAAGCGATATTCTACATGCGTGTGATTCGAGTTCTTTGAAAATTCTAAAGGTAGAAAAAAGAAATAATTATTGTGAATGGTAATTTAACGATGAACGAATTTTACGTGAGGTGTATTCCGAAACCCTTTTGAATACGAAATCCAAAAGGGTTTTTGACAAAACCCCTGGGGTAGCAGAAAATTCCAAGGGCTCAGGGCGAAACCCTTTTACTTTTTAAAACTCTTTTAAGTCTTTTACGAAACCTAGGATATGGCTAAACCTCATGGTGGTTTCGTATTATTCTACGGATACTTATATAGTACAGTAAAACTCTACGAAACTTCAAAGGTTTCGTGTGATACCTTTTTTTTCTCATTGTACAGAAAATAAAAACGTGGTAATCATAATTGTTATTATTCTATTGTTGCTGAAATTTGATTCAATATTTTTTGTCGGTATCACGAAATGATTGGAAAAGTGAAGAGTGAAAGAAGAAATCTGTCAGGACTGTATGTTGTGGATGAGCATATATGTTTGATATTCAGGTCTTTTGTCTACTGTATGATATGAAAAATTGAAACATTGAACTGTGAATCGATTATTTCATTGTCGGTCCGAGTTTTTTTAATATATTCTTTTCCTCGTGAACAAATGATTGGAACAAAATTAATTAAAGAAATAAGCGATCAATGTAAAATGTTGGAGACTGATAAATATGATGGATATTCGGTAGTCTTTTATGTACATGGGATTTTATGAAAAATCAGGACATTGAAGTCTAAATTCAGTATTCTTTTCTCTGTTGTAGTTCGCGGTTGAATATTTTTTGTTGTCATGAATGAATGTTGAGGAAAAAGATGAATCAAATAAATTGTAAGTAGATATTCGTGGTCAGCTTGAAAGACTGAATCTATTGATGTGCGTTTAAGCAAAAAATAAGAAGTGCTGTAATTTTGAATTATGCGGACCTTACATGTAAGTTAGGTCTAAACGCCTAACAGTTTCAGAAACCTTCTGAAAAAGCACACCAATCTAAAACAACAATTTTAACGCGAAAAGCAGACGAGCATTCTCTTCTACGTCTTTTCGACATTCTTTTTGAACAGATACCACAAATCAAACCCGTCTGATGAGTCCTTTAGCAGAAACTATATCGCTACCATGGTTTATTAGAAATTAACACACCCACACCCTTCAGTAATGGCCCAAAATAAAGATTAGAATTGATCTATACTCTAGTGCCATTGATAATATTCAATGCAATCCTTTTTTGTTTTCGAAATATCATTTGCTTGTTTATCGTAACGTATAATCATATATTTTCCTTGCGTAACAATATCTTTAACTTGTAACGCTTCCATAAATTTCTGTTCATGTTTATTTAGTTGGTTATCAATAATGTAGGTGTTTCGTGTATTGTAATGATAAAAGAGTAACCACCCAATTTCATTTGGAAGACTTATTAGTTCCAGATAATAATCATATATTATTTTTACACTTCCGATAATCGACATTGAATTATTTCTTAGTTCGAAATAACAGCCATCGGGTTTTTCTACCACTAGCGCATAATATAAAGAATTCATTCGTATCATTTTAATTGATTCATCTTGTTCACACGTCATTGGTTTTCTCCAACGTGTATCAAGCTTTAAACTATTTAGTTTCCATTTTTCAATTGTAAAACTATAAAATAGAACTAGTAAGTTAGTTTCATAACAAGTTATTTGATAAATTTTTTCGCTAATATTGAGTTCCATTTTTTTAGGTTCACCATGCCCTATGATACTCCATTGATATAAATGATACCATTCGGGTCGACGAGACTGAATTAAATACAGAAAAGACTGTAAATACGTTGAGTAACACAAATTAAAACCCCCATCATCAGTTCTAGACATAGTTTTCATTGATAAATCAACTGTATCATACAAATCTATATCGCGCGCATCACGATGTTCAAATGCTAGTAGATTCTCGTTGACAGCATAGATTTTACCACTATTCCGTGCATTTATATATTTGATTGGTGTTTGTGTTAGTAACAAATGATCAATAAAAGAGTCTGAAGCTGAAGGTTTTTTCTTTATGCTAATCAATTCGATTGACTTCAAGTCACTATTGATATGAACCTTCAGACCGAAACTTTCAATATCATGCTTCAACTGCTGGAATTTATGTTTCAAAACCTGAATATCTTGTTCAAAATAATTGTCGGTCTGTTGTTTATTCGTTAGTTCAGTGGTCAGCCGAGTAAATCTTTCTCTGAGACCTACGCATTCATTTAAAGCCATTGCATGTAATGTTAGCCTAGCATTTTCAGCTGTTTCTTTAATGATTTCGAATGACTTGAGCTCCCAATCATTAATTTCCTTCAGTTGTTGCTCAACATATTGATCACAATTTTCTTCAAGTTTTGAAATGTTTTCAAACAAGTTATTTCGTTCATTGATCACAACTGTATCAAGTTGATCAGCTAAATTTTGTCGATGTTGACCAATGTGTTGATAGCAAAATAATTGTTGGCATCCAAGGCATGGCAAAATACCAGGTTTTGGCTTCTCATCTGCGAGTGTTTGGCATATCGTGCAAATGCTTGTACTGGAAGAAGCATTTGCGGCAGTAGTAGCCATTTTTTTATTTACTTTTACTCTTTATCGAAAAGTATGTAGTCTAACCACGCGCTTCTTTTCTTTGTAAGAGCGCAAAGATAAAGGTTGCGCATATGAAAAATATCGTTCGCCTCTTTTCTTTTCAACGTAGGCGTGCGAAAGGATCGTAAATGTGAGATTTAAGAGCGAAAAAGGAAGACACTCCACCTGCCATCATTTTATATTGACTTATCTCGGGTGCCGGTATGGGATTTGGGATATGGATGAACAGATTTAAATTGACACACACGTTCATTAGATGTTCCGGGAAGAACAAATACAGGGACGGCGCGAACGGGGAGGGGGGGGGTCCCCCAACTTTGNGGGGCGGGGGGGGGGCCCCCAACTTTGGAAATTTTTGTTTCAATTTTACTCCGATTTGAAGAAAATAGAAGAGATTTTTATTGATTTACTCCGATTTTTGGAAAAAAACCTCCCGTTTTCAAGTACCCCCCCCCTATATTTTTATTGCTTCGCGCCGTCCCTGAACAAATAAAATAATCGTATATTTTCGATTAGGCAATCTGACTTTAATCGCATGTGACTCAAACCGGAAAAAAATCGGTGGCAAGGGTGTGGGTGTCGATGTAAATGCAGGATACGGACCCACACCCGGCAAGTCAAGTCAGACTTGACTTGGGTTTTTTTGGACGTGACATGCCCAGCTCTGCTTTGTACAGTGATAAAAAAGAGAAGAAGAATATAGGCGAAAAAAAAACAGAAATCATTTCACCATTCGTATATTCATTTTGATATATGTTGACCAAACCTTGTCGGTGGGTGTATATCATTTCTCTTCACTCTTTTAACCACACTCTTGTATGCATAGAATTTATTTTTATTAAAAAAAGAAAAACAATTTATATGAATCTGGTTTAGATATTTTACATATCACAATTTATTATAGTACGAATGTCACAGGGTTTGCCATGGTGGCATTTTATTTTCAATTATGTATCTTTCTCTTGAATAAGCTCTAGACGTCTTCGATACCATATAGTTTCTTCTTCAAGTTGGTATTTCTCACATAGATTTACAAACTTTTCATACATTTGTCTAACATCAAATTGAAGTGTTGAATGTAATTTACGTAAACAAACAGGACATAGATACAAAGGTTGCCGATCCATTTCAATTTCATGATTTGCACCATTCATCAAACAAATATAATAGATACAATGCTTTAACCCGAATAGATGGCCTACTTCATGTAACAAGATTTTAACACAACGCCGAAGTATGATTATACGGTGTTCATCAGTCAATGGAGTATTGTTTAATTTATTTGAGGATTTAAAAAATAATGGATCAAGACGTGCAAATGAATAAACACCAAAACCATCGAGTGGGCTTGCTTGTCCATAGACGAAATTCCATTTTTCATCTGGATAAATATCAGTCATTGTAACAGCAACACAGAGAAGTTCTCGTCTTCTATCACGTTTATCACGTGTTTGAGCCAATAAATTGTAAAAACCATCCGTTCGGTATTGTACGACTCCCCAGTTGTCTCGATGTGACATACTATTCGTAAAATCAATAGTTGGTAGTACTTCAACTTCGCATCCAGCAAAAAATACACGACTAAATTCAGTTATAACATCAAGTGGTGCAGCTCTGAAATTTCACATCATTGATTTATTTTTAAAAAAAGATAATAATTTTTACCTTGGCTGATTAAAACTACCAACTGGCTGAATATAAATTGTTTTAAAGCTTGCAAAATAAAATACAAAAAAGTCGAATTATTGAAATCAAGAAATAATAAATGACTAATCACGTTGCATGAGGAGTCGCTTTTGACGTAGTACGTTCAAATGATTTCATTGTTTGCCCTTTTTCTTGATGCTCTCTCAGCCAATCTCCAGAACAAGGAGCCGGTACCGGTTGAAAACTTTCATCCACTTTGTGTTTTACAGCCATTTGCATATCTCTTGGCAACTGAAAACAGTAATCAACTATAAAGTGTAAATATATCGTATGTATACTAAACCGTATTAATATCGCCAAGAGCGTCAGCAATAACTTTATTGTCCGGCCGTATAAAACTCATATTTCCTATCCTATAGTAAAGTTATTCGAAAACCAAATGATTATAGTAATCATCTCTCTCTTCCGTTTAAATATGATAATATTACATGAGTCAATATCTCATTTCTAAGTAATTTCGCAAAATTCTACCAATCATATTGCTTTTTATTTGACTCAATTGCAAACCTTATCTTAAGAAATTACAAGACTACAGCGGTCTCTAGCGAAAAAATTGATTTTCTGAATCCCGATAGAATCAAGTGAATTGCATATTCATTCTTGTCAACTTCGATCATCAAGCAAAATATAGATGAAATACTCAAATACCTACAGGTTAAAGATATCATACGATTGAAGTCTTTTTTTCTGATGAAAAGCAAAACAGAAATTCGATGATAATAAGATTAACTCAAATTGAAGCGGTATTGCGCACGAATATAATGTTATTATTTCGCTCTTAAATAAAAATTGATTTGAAGTATACAAACGATTTGCAGGCATGATTGAAATTATACTTTTATCTGCTAATAATATTCCATAGGACTCCGTTCATATCTGAGTGCAATCTTATTTATAATACGCAAAAGAGACGTCATATATGTTTTGTGAGTGCAACAGCAAATGATTTTGTTTTCTAACGTGAATGTGATTCATCTGTGATACTTTTAAACACGCAGCACTTTTGCCACTCCTATAATTCGAGCGTGATATTATCGTATTATTTCTTCGTTTACTGTTCCCTTATCTCTTTCTCTATGACGATGGAAACAAATTTTCTCTCATTTAAACCTCTGCTTGAATGAAAGAATCATAAAAATAAGTTATACTCTATGAATCAGTGATACCTGAAGTTATTTAAATGGCAGCAAGTATTCAAATGTATTCTGGATTGAAAAAATTGCTTGTTATCTCATTACTATTCACTAATATCTACTCTACAGACGGTCAAGACTGGAACTATCAAGATTTAGGCCCTGACATGTGGAGCGAAACGTATCCAATGTGTGCTGGTACATCTCAATCTCCAATTATTATCAAAACTGCATGCACTACTTATCGTACATTCGCACCATTTCGATTTTCATCTGATTATAATCTTACTTATAACTTTACACTGCTCAATAATGGACATACCATCACTAGCACATACAATAGCAATGGCTCAACACCGTTCACATTGTCAGGAGGAGGTTTAAACGGAACTTTTCAATTCCTAAATTTTCACGTTCATTGGGACGAGAATTCCAAATCGGGCAGTGAACATCAAGTGTAAGTAGATCTCAAATTTTCCAAAAATTCATTTTGCTCTCGTTTAGCAATGAAGTAAAATATACCGGCGAAATTCATTTCGTTCACCAAAATCCAGAAACGGGTCAAATAGCCGTGCTCGGTATATTTATGCATAGTAGTCAACTGTCAAGTGATGGCATTGACAATACCGCAAATAAAACAATCAAAGAATGGGCCAAGTATTTTACAACAGCTGTAGAATTAGGAAGCGTCAACGAGTCGACTGAACTTAGTTTGAACTTAGCTACATTGATGGGAAATAATTTGAATGATTTCTGGCGTTATGGAGGTTCATTAACAACACCTCCTTGTACTGAAGATGCTGTTTGGACGGTGTTTACAGCACCGATTGTTATTAGTGAAGAGGAAATAGATTCTTTTCGAAAGAATATTTTCTCGGAGAATGATCGCAGTCCGCAACCATTATACTATCGAATCGTATATCGAAATTTCTTGAATGAAACACTATCCGCAATACCCGATTACAATTGTTGTTCGGACGAGTCAAACAACGCAGACAATAAAGTCATCTTATCCAAGCCAATCAAATATTTTTCTATACTTTCTACTACATTTGTTCTTCTAAATATACTAAATACATGAAAACGTCGATGCAATCATAGTGCTAATGGTCATATTCTATATTTGAGTTATAAATTATTGTTTTTCATGCTCGGTATTACTTTGAAAGTTTTATATACCGAAAGGAAATAAATAAAAGTCGATGTTTTGCAAAGAAAACATTTCCGGTCATGACTGATTCGGCTCATTCTCAAAAGAGATACTTTTTTTTAATATAGTCTGCTGCATTTTCTTAAGCATGGCTACTGAATAAGTCTTATAGCTACTGAATGAATATCATAGCTACTATATCAAATTGCATTGCTACCGAATGAATATCATTATATTGTTTTGTGGAACTCACATATATTTTCGAAGAAAATTGTGAGTGTAAGTTGAATTGTTAGGTTTTTGCGGCTCCCCTGTACCCCCCCCCCTCCATNCTTGAGTCCACTTTAGTGTATTTACAATTCGGAACTTTTCCATCCACTGGGAAGCTTTTATCAAATTTTCGTTTATGAAAAAATGTATCAATTTCTCACCTGGTAATACGAAAAAATATAAATGTCTCAACAATATTGATAGCTATATCATAAATACTGTTTAAACTATTATCATTCACAATATTTCTCAATGAAACCACTAAACACTTCAGTATACTGACATATTTTAAACAAAACGTTTTTATACGTTCTCTCTAGTAATATTTCCTATTGATAGATCCAATAAACTTCAAATGTTAAACAGGTTTTATTATCTTATTTTTGAACAAAATATGATCTCACTACACTGAAAAAATAACTCTTCTATTTGATCAGTATCTACCTGACTGAAATATGCGAGTTCCACATTTTAGCCCCAACGGGGCTGCGCTGACAAGCTTTTTAAGGCAAAATTCAAACAAAACATTTAATATTCACAATGTCAATATATATAGAGTTCATGAGAATAATCAAATATGTATGATACCAACATTATTAATGATATAAAGGAGCACGGGGGCTAAAAAGGGTGTACTAAAGATAAAGTGAAACATGTAAGTCTTCATATTTAGTTGACGATGAAATAATCGAAATGCTTGAGATTTGAATTTCTATATATTTCGGATTACTTTCAAATGTTCATAAGTTGATGTCGTTTTTTTATTATTGAGGTTCATCATGCCGTTTCTCAGATAAATTCAAGTAAAACAATTTGTATTCATAATGTGAATCTGTATTTTATTCATTAGAATATTCAAATATTTATGATATTGGGGATATTGATGATATAAAAGAGGAAGAGATGGGTATTCGGATTTTTTAGGAAAATATGTGAAATCATATTAATAAGGTTTGTCTCTCGTTTGTAATATGGCTGAGATGCTTTTTGTGTACTCAAAAAAAAAAAAGAGTACACTATAGAATCGGTCAGTGTGTCCGGCCGTCCGTCTATTCGATAACTCTTCACAATTACATTCGATTGAGCTGAAATTTTGTGCACAGAATTGTCTCATCAGTATCTAGGTCGAATTCGAAGATGAGAAGGATCCGTCAAGAAATGGCTGAATTATCGAAAAAATTGTCATTTTTGATCAGACCATCCCTGAGGGAGAGTACAGGGATTTTTCAAAAAAGCTTTTTTTCTCAGAATTATCTACAACATATGTAAATCATCTCAGTTTTTAACGCTGATTCTGAATCTGATGTTAGTTTTGAACTAAACCGTAGCTTTCTAACGAAACATCGCATGAAAAACGTCTCAAAATGCACAAAAACTGCATCCAAAAATCAAATTGCCTAGTTTCTCATGATAATTTTGGTGTTCAGACATTCTAGAATGACTCATATGTCCCATGCACTTTTTGCAGTACACATAACTCTCGGATGAAATTCGAAGTTTCCACATTTATTTTTAAATTGATTTAGAATCTTTCAAGAGGCACATGAACTTTCAATAAATGCGTGATCTTTGAATAATTATAGTAAAGTTGGAAGCAGTTATATAATAACCAAGTAGTTATGAATTCATTAATTAGCTATAAGAAATCATTCAGTAGCTATGGGTCTTTTTTTAAAAGTATCTCTTTTGAGAAGCTACGGACTGATTCCTTTAACATATAATAGGATATCTTTCTAGATACGATTAACAACTCTCAAAAAAGGAAAACAATACTCTACGAAATGTACTCTAACCCACGTTTTTTTTCTAGTTTATCGTTGCGCTAAACAAAATAGATAATAACAGAACAAATCAAGTCATTGAATATATTTGATTATTCACCTTGTTGCGTACATTTAAAATAATTTGATCGGCTACTTGTATAATATTTCTATAAAACGAATTAAATGAAAGATCTGTTCTACTGACATGTGCTGCGTGAATGCCCAATTATGAATAATCTCAAGAAAAAAAATCTAAATCATTGCTCCTGCTTCTCAGTTCTAAGCCATCGAATAGAGTAACTTATTTTCTTCTTGTACCAGCTAAAATGCGAATATTCACTTTAACATCCTTCTTACTGACTAATTTGCATCAAATGAATCTAAATATCCAATCAAGCATCTGCACCATTTCAGTTTTCATCTGCTTACAATCTTACTATAAGTTTACACTTTTTAATCACGAGATTGGCATAACCAGTATCTACAAAAGCAATGACTTGATACCGTTCACGTTCATTGGGATGAGAATTCCAAATCCGGCAGTGAGCATCAAGTGTAGCTAAGTAAATCTCAAATTTTCCAAAAATTCATTTTGCTCTTGTTTAGCAAGGACGTAAAATATGGCGGTAAAATTCATTTTAAATATCAGAATTCACAAACCGAGCAACACTTGGGATTTTTATGCATAACAGCCGAATTTTCAATGAAAATATTTACAACGCTGAAAATGCAACAAGTAGGAAAACTAGATGATTTCTGGTGTTATGAAGAAATATCTTTTATACAAACTTTCGTAGCCCACAATCATTATATGATCGAATGGTAGGTAGAAATTTGTTGAATGGACCATCGCGTCATCAATACATGATTATAATTGTTGTACGGACAATTCGAATAATGTAGCGAAAACAATTTCCTCAACAACTTCGATTTATTCCATGTCTTTATTTTTCTTCTATATAATTAATAAATGTGCGTTTTATTACAACCTATATTGCTTATATACAAAACCGTGCTTGCATAACTTTGATTTTGCAATAGAACATCATTTCGGCCGCCTCAATACTCCTTTATTTATGCTTAGAATCTTTGCTCGGTCTCATGGAATGCATTTGAATATTCAATAAATAATAGAAGTACATAATTTCTCTGTTAAATACTGCATGAAAGATTCATTATGTGCTGCTAATTATCAAATAGTGCGTGGGTTCGTCATGCGGGAAGAAAAATCGAAACTGATTCGCCAGTTTAAGATTTACACCAAGCCTTATTATTCGGCAATAGTTTGAATGTGTATAAAACCAATCGCTCACATTGAGATCATGATGTTATCGATGACGATTTTTTTCAATAATGGTAGACTATGATAACTCTTGTCTTGCGCAAAAATGGCGTCACATCATTGACAAGAACAATTCTTTTAGAACAAAATATAATAACTTATATTTAAATAGTGAATATTTTTTATGTTGTTTTATGTTCACCTGTTCATACATTGAGAAGAAGAGAAAATGATATAGAAGAACAAAAAAGAAAAAAATATACAACAACTTGAACCCAAAAAGAAATGAAAACTATATATGAATAATGCAAGAAGCATTACTGTCATTTTTAAACACAAACAAACAAGTAACAACAAGAAAAATAAACTATGTGCATCATCTGACCGAATATTTTTTTTCCTTTGGTATATTTAACTTCTACAATTGCGTTAATTAAAATAAATCGAAAAAACATATTATCATATCGATAGCGTATTTATTTCATCATTTCCAGTTTCGTCATCACTGTCGACAAGAATAATATCATTGGTTGTACTGGCAGACATCGGCCGAGGTCGAATAGGAACTAAATTAATCATAAAAAAAGTTAATTTCAAAATTTTTGAAAGACTAAAGCATTGTCTGCTAATGATTTTCAAGGTTTAAATTAAAAAAGTATTCTACATCATAGGTTTACTATTTTCATCATCTCCGAATCTGCTAGAAAATTACCGGTACGATTTTGATTCATATTTGACTGCGGCATACGTTTATTGTTTGTCGCATTATTAGTTAGTCCTCTGGCTGATTCCATATCATGAATATGTTGAAGTGCGCGTGCAAAATCAAAACCTTGCCCACCAGTCTGTTGAAAATTTTTGTAAATGTCGGAAATCATTTGGTTCATATTTGGTTGTAGATTTCTGGGCATGTGTGCTGCTGCTAATTGTTGTTGTTGAGCAATGTGAGCATTTAATTGCTGTTGTTGAAACCGTTGCATAGCTATTTGACGTAGGTCGGGTCCCCGTTTAAGATTTTCATATTCTTCAAGAGCTATTTATGGTAGAAACAATAGATTAGAGGGGAAAAACGCAAATAGGAATGATAGAAAGTTTTACCTCGACGTCGTTCTTCGACACTAAGACCTTCGTCGATTTTATTTTCTAATAATGAATCGTGCGAATGGTAGGAATGTATCCAACGGCTGTGTTCATATAAAAGATCAAGTAGTAGATGATCTTTTGGTATCGGATAATTGAAATCTGTAGCTGATTGAGTTAAAAGTGTTGATGCTGGTCGAGCTTCCGGCAATGGTTCTGATTTAAATTTATACAATTCTTTTATGTCACTTTGAGTAAAGTGACGATCCAATTGATGATCATCCACCACACTACGATAGACAAAATAATGAAATCGTTGATAAACTCTTTTTTTTTTCTACCGTTGTGATATTGATTGTTTAACAACTTGTCGTTGATAGATCTTTTCTTCCATTGTACCATGAGCGAGCAACCGATAGATGTAAACTGGTTTCTTTTGACCAAAACGATATGAACGAAAGATAGCTTGAGTATCGTGACTGAAAATATGATAAATTACGAGGAAATATTTTCAACTGTCCAAAAAATATTGAATGCTGTAGAAAAAAATCTCCTTAGGTCTTCTGTCCATTTTACTGTGACTTCGATCTGAGATGTTGCCTACAGACTGATCTATCTGCGAATAGAATACCGTGAGAATTTCAGCTCACAATAATATTGTATTCCTGACATGTTTCAAGTCCCAGGAGAAATGCTAAAATTTTCAAGATAGTCTCTTCACAAATAAATCTTGGCAGAAGACCTACGGCGATTAGTTAAATTAAATTTGATAGTTTACCTTGGATTCCAACTTGCATCGAAAACAATAACTCGATTACTACCCGTTAGATTAATTCCGATTCCGCCAGCTAATGTTGATATGAGAAATAATCGAGCACGCGGATTCGATGGATCATTGAATGATTTTGCGTAACGTTTTCTTGATAAAACTTCGGTTTGACCATCCATTCGAAAATAATCTTGATCACGCACCCATTCTACTGGTGGTGAAATGTATTCATTGGCGACATTATTGTTATCTCCAGTTGATGCAAGAATTTCTTGTAATTGTCGTCGTGATTCACACTGTTTTAAATATTCTTTTTCATTTTCACTATGTAAATGTTTTAGAAAACTTTCAATATAATTCAATGCATATAAACTACGTGAAAACAGAAGAATTTTATCGCCGATTTCCGCACATTTATCAATAATAAATTTCAATAATAAGATTTTTCCACCTAATTCAATATCGAATTTACTTTCTTTTGGCAACATATTTAAGAATGGAAACCAGAATTGTTCACTTATCTCATCGAACCATGGCTCATTCATATCGTCCGCTTGACCTGAAGATGGATCATTTTCCACATCAAATACATTTGAATCGGTTGTTATCGGCAAAATATTTTTCGATTGATTATTCATTGATGCTCGACTTCGCGTTGAATATGTTCTGATTATTTCAATATCATCGTCGCTATTCGTTGATTTTGAAGTCAAATCAATATCTTCATTAAGATTATCAATATCATTGGCTGAATCCGAATCAAGTGTTGTGGTCGATGAATTGGAAGTATTACGTTTTTTTGTTGTCGACTGATTGTCGGTTATTTCATTTTTAATATTCTCAATTAGAAAACCACTATAGGCATTTTCTTCTTCGGGTGACTAAAAAGATAAGTTTTGTAGATTTAGAAACTAAAATTTATTTTCTTAAGCTCTATCGAATGGTGTGCACAAGTAGTATATTGAAAATCAATTTACCTTGTCTTCGATTGGTGTTGTTTTTTTCTTTTTCAATCCTTCGATACTTTCTTCATCATCAATGAGCAAAGCTATTTCAGTATCATCAATTAGACTCTCATCGTCTGTGTTCAAGCGTTTCTTCCATCGATCAATAAAATGTGGATAGAGTAAAAATGGATGCCTGAAATGAAAACACTAGAAAAACGAAAACAAACTCGGTTTATTTGTTTCTTACGTCCATATTTTTTGTAAATATTGATAATCGGCAAATAATTTTGCTGATTTAAAATCTTTTTTTAATACAGACGAACGTTGACATTGATCAACTTGTTGTTTTAAATAAATTTCATATAGTTTCGATTGTAAATCACTTAAACGTATATTAATAATATATTCGAATTTCGGTGGTAAATATTCTTGTAGTAATGAATAATCTTTTCGATCAACAAAACCAGTTAAAAGCTCATGCAAGACACATGCACGTCTTTTCATCAGACGAACATCTTCTTCGTTGGAATCGCGATGTTGACCATTCTGAATTGGATTAACAAACCGATTTATATACTCCGGCTGACTGCCGAGTAATTTCGGTTTGATAAATGAAACCATACAATAGCTAATAAGAGGAAAATAATGTATATCTAGATAATGCAGAAAAGACTTACTATTCAATTAGATTGTTTTGTAATGGTGTACCAGTTAATACGATACGACGGGGTGTTTTAATTTTCGATAAACATTTGGCAAGTGCTGTTTGAGCGTTTTTTAAAATATGTCCTTCGTCAGCAACTAAACAAAGAAATCATTCGAGAACATCAAGAAACTCAGTGCAACGATTTGGATTTATGCATTCGGATATATATGGTGCCTGTCGTGAAAGTAGCTTCTGGTCTCGGGCCTGAAAACGTGTGGTCTCGCACATCTCTACTCTTCCGGTGTACGACAGTCTCGGTTTTTTTATGATGCTGAAATAAAAAATAAATCTTAAATTACCAACAATATCTGGTCCTGGATCAACTAGATATGTATATGCATCAGCTTTGAGCTTTTTATTTTTAATTCCAATACCATTTGCTAATCGTCTATATATTTCATAGCCCATAATGGCAACGCCGCCATGTTTATGCCAATATTCTAGATGAGTAACACGTAAATTGGGTTTCACTGTTGTCAATTGATAATGATCAACAGACGGTTCAACATCTTTTAACCAATGATCGAATTCATTCGACCAATTGAGAGCTGTGCAAAACAAATCTCATTATCGTAACGAATCAAAAAATATTAAAGTTCTTACCAGCATTAATCGGACAAAGAACAAGACAAGTTTTAACATTAGTTATCTTATCATAGTTAAAAACTGTATGAATAAAACTAATAACTTGTAATGTTTTTCCTAAACCCATACAATGAGCTAAAATACAACCGTTTCCATTATGTTTTTTATTTTTAATGGCATCCATTGATTCAAAAACATTGTTCCATAAGAATCTTATTCCATCGAGTTGATGTGGTTTAAGTTGTTCGACTAATTTAGGTGCGACTTCAATTAACGGTTCATTTGTTACTGTATCTAATTCAAGAATTAAACGACGATTCGAACTATTTAACTCATCATCGACACTGGTGGACATATAAGAGGATTGTTCAAGTAAAGATTCATTATATTCTTTTTGTTTTTCGGCAATACGATTTCGACGTTCACGTTCAGCTTCGATCGCATTTCTTGTTTGATCGTGTAATTCTTGGTCATCGATTATTTTTCGAATATTTTTTCTGCCAAGTTTTCGTTTACTTGGAGAGAGTTCACCATCATCATCATCATCATCATCGGTGCTACTATCATCACTAAATTTTACTTTTGCTTTTTTTGATTTCGTTGGGTTTTCACTATCATGGCTGTTTTCATTACTATCGCTGGATGCGTTAGATGTTAAATTTTTCTTGTCTTTTGTTATACGTTTGAGTTGTTTTAAAATACTCGAACGTTCGCCTAACGTATCAGATTTTCGACGTCGTTTTCTTGAAATTTCAAGGCTACTATTTGAATTTTCCGATGATGACCGTTGAATTCTTATCCGGCTTGATGTAGACGATGATTGCTTCGGTGAAGAATTAGAGCCATCCTTTAGAGTTGCAGAATTCTACAAGATAAGTAAATTTATGTATGCTTGATTTGCACTCAAAAATAGATCTCGTTAATATAAAAAAAAAGTCAATACCGATTCATTTTCGTCACTCGATGATGATGATGAGAATGATGAAAGTGCAGCTCGCTGTTTGATTGGAAGTTTTGATTTCTTTTTAATTATTGATGAATCAGAATTTGATGATGAGCGTGTTGTACGTTTAGTTTTGTTCGATTGACTTTTCTCGTTAACAGGCGAGTTTTTCTTTGCATCATTTTTTGAATCTTCACTGCCTGAGTCTGATGATAATTTTGACTGATTAAGCAAATGAGCATATGATGGTACTTCAGTAGGTAATCTGAAATAAAGAAAATTTTGAATACATCAATACATAAAAATGATTACTCTTCAGGAGGCGAATCTTGGCCGGGTAAGGAGTCGATTTCATCGTTGTATGCATCTTCATTGGAATGCTGCTTCCTGAGTTTATCTTGAACTATATCGAGTGATCCAAATATGGAATCATTATCATTATTGTCTATCACATCTTTTAAGATTGGATCTTCATCTATCGGACTCATGTCATCGACAATAGTTAATGAATCATCAGCAATGGGCTCTTGTATTGATGTTTCATCTAATGATACTTCATTTGGCGCTGTTGTTAGATTATAGTTGATAATAACATCATGCTTTTTATGAGAACGTTTTTCACGTTTATGTGATTTAGTTGGTGATTTTTCTGTTCTATTTGATGAACATTTTTCTGTACGAACTTTAATAGTAAAATCATCATCGGATGTCGAACTTTCGCTATCGTCATGCGCAGAAGTTGAATTACGAATTCGATTATTGGAGGAAATCTCATTATTACTATTCGATAAATGACTTGCTTCACATTGTTGTACTAATAAAAGAAGAAAAATAATAATTTAGCAGACTGCAAAAAAGGTATTAGAGAAGATTCTCTCTGCCTATGTCCATTCATGTTAATACTCACAATTATTACTATGCAAAGATGAAGGTAATTGTTTTTCATGACTAGTTGATGAATCACTGTTATAAGAAAAGCTTTTTGATCGTACTAAAAAACCAATCGTTTTTAGCTAGTAAAAAAATTGCAGCAAATCATGTTACTGTTTTTCCACGCTAGTGGCATATAACGTTCAGCATCAGCTTGTGATATACGTTTTAAACGAATTGTAGGCCGTATTGTCAGTTCATCTTCATCGTCAGATGCAGACTTTTCACTAGCATCACTTTCTGCTAATAGAAGTCGTCTTGATTGTTCTTCTTCTTCTTCTTGTTCTTCAGTTGCATTCTCTATTGGAAGACGGATATCTGGTGGTGCTAGCAATGCTTCATGTGTCGATGTTGACGCAACAGCTAGTTCTTCTGTATCACTATTACTTGGACTATCACTACTAAGTAGTTTTGCACGATTATATTCTTCTTCATCGTCACTTATTTCTATTGAAGAATGAACAATGAAATGAGATAAAAAAAAATTTTTTAATTTACCGATAATTAATTGTTCGAATTCATCAAGTTTAATTTTAATTGAGTCAACTAAATGATTATCATTTGGAATATTTTCTAATAACCATGTATTCTGAAATTCTTTTAACCAAACTAATAATTTATTTGTATTAGTTTTCATATCTCTAAACAAACTATTGGAAATTTATTCGTATACGAATGAAAAATACACGAAAATGCCTTACTCATGAGTTATACAGTATTAACCGGTACGAAACAATTTATAATTTCGATTACTCTTGTTTTCGTTCTTCAGATTTTTTCCCTATTACTGTAATAATGATTTCAGTGAGGAGTAATGCTCGTATGTGACAGACAGTGCAGATCGGTGCTCATTGGTCAAATCATAACAATAGATGTCGCTAGGCAATGAATGTCTGGTATTCATGGAAAAATAGTTTGGCCTCGAAAGCGCACGAACATTTCATTATTACAATTACAACTCGTCTACTTACAGAATCACCAGAACTTTTAATTAAAAAAATAATGCGCCAATCAACTAAATTTCGTCATGATATGACATTTTTATTAGCCTATAGATGCACTGACTAAGACAACAAAATAAATTAGAAACTTCAACTTTTGTTAAAAACGTCATGAGTAATGTATTAAAATGTTGAGCTTTGTGAAAATCCCTATAGATACATTTTCTAATATACAGCTGTGAGAAATCTATTTGTAAAATATAATAGAATCATGACATTTTAATGGTTGATTTCTATTGATAGACTGAAATTTCATTAGACCAGACACTCGAATATTATTTCGATGATATAAACCATTATTTTTCTAAGGAAGAAAGATTCAAAACAAGTTTGCCAGTGTTTTTATATGAAATTTGCCTTAGATAACTTATAGTGTGCATGTAATAAAATCACAAACGATTCTTATTCAGTTAAAAATCATACCATTTTCTTGGCTTATGATATATACTAAAGGAATGTTACGATTGACTTTTTATTTAAGTTTATTAATTAAATTCATCAACACACGTCACATACTTTGGTATTGATTTGCATAAGAAAAAACGCTTTATTTTTTCATAAGGAAAAAATTTCTATACAAAAATACATTAAAAAAATGTTCACTTTTGTAAGGTTTCATTGATTTCGTCGGATAATTTCAGAAATAAGTTCAGAACTCAATTATTATCCACTGGATTACGCGGCACATATACGGAACGCCGCGTTCCACGAAGTAAGCAAAGGACAATAGCAAGTCCCACCTGTACAAGTTCCCGCAACACAGATGCTACTACTACAAATCAGTCCTGCACCAGCGGCACTTAAACAGGTACTTGTGTTCACCGGAGATGTATTCCACAGCGTACAAGACTGCCCATATACTACTCGATCTCGGCACGTCGCACCATTCTGCAAATATTCAATGATAGTTGATGAAAGTTCAACAAAAAATTTGTTTAGCTACATACCCAACACTTAGTTGTAGCACATTCACAAGTTGAATTTCTACTTGGCCAATTGGCCCCGAGAGGACAGGAAACTAAATTGTAATCAGCACATTGATATGATGCATTGCATACGGCACTCGAATTCGATCCCCAAGCTGGTATGCCTTTGTCACGACAATAAGAGCCATTCCACCATTGTAAACTAGTACAATTGCTAAAACAAAAAACGATGATTTTTCACAAATTAGTGGACTTTCAATACATACCACCATCCTGCGTTAGATGAAATACTAGTATTAAGACATTGTAAATTTGCTGTTTTATCACATTCATCACTTGAACAGTTCGTAGTAAGTGTGCAAGATTGATAAATCTAAAAGGAAAAGATAATTGAATTCTTCTTGTCAAATGGTGATTGAAGTTTTTCTTTTTAACCTTTTTAGAAACAACGCATGCTTGTTGGCAATCATCCCAAAATGAAGTCGCATTACAAAGACATTGCAAAACTGGCGGTACTGTTGTGCCCATTATACAGATTAGATTCACCGGGCCAAAATCTCGGCATTGATAAGTAAACGAACATGGATCTGTATAATTTCGTTTCGGTTGACATACAGTACCATCCCAATAAGCCGTATAAAGACAGTCACATTTAGTACCATTACATACTAAATAATTATAATCTTGGCATTCAAGATTACCATAACATGTCGACTGATTATATCCTAGTTTAAGCATGCATTTATCCTGTCGAGTAATGTACAATGAATCCCAAATATAACTTGTATTATAACAATCGCAACTTTGAAACATAATACCACCAAGACCTTGACATTGTAAGCCGCGATTATCATCACAAACATATGACGATGTACACGATACATTATACCATAGTTTAAGTGAACATGTACCATTCCAATAATGACTGCTATCACAATCGCACGTACCTAGCGATTGCGTATAATTACTACAAAATAGACCATCTGATGATATACAATTGGTATTGCTTGTACATAAACCGCCAATGGATAGTTTACTTGCGCATGTAGTACCATCCCAATAGGACCACGACGAATTACATTCACATACGCCAGTTGTATTTGATCCATTATAATAGGAGAAGTCACAGTAAAGATTTTGCGATGTACTACACGTCAGAATAGCAGTACAATTTTGCAAGTAACCTGAAGCTGGCTGACAAAAGCCCATAACACCGCTGCTATTTATCGACGGATTATAATTATAACCCGATGAACATGTACAAAGATTATTCGAACATGTTAAATTAATTCGATAATCACATTGCGATGTTGATGTACAGGATTGATTGTATACATGTTGTGCAACGCAAAAGCCATTCGCTAATGAGGCACTACCGTTATAGTATTGGTTTGCTGAACATTGACAAACACCTGTAATAAGGAAGAAAAACGCAACGCGTTAAATGAAATTTTTCTTTACATTCTAATTACGTACCATATTCACTACCATAAGGATTTGTATAACTAGCACAAGTGAGACCTTGACCAACCGGACCTGTATCATCACACCAATTATTGTCGTATGGATAACAGTATTGATTTACAGTACGTTTATATTCACATGTACCGGAATTCATATTTCCGTTCCAAAACATCGATGTATTGCAACGACAATAGCCTCCGACCACAAAATTGCAATATAAAAAGCGTGTTGTATCACAATTCGAATCTTGAGTACACGAAGCGTTGTATAAACCTTGATATGCACACTGAATTAGAATAAATTAAAAAAAAGACAATTTCAGACAGTTATACATTTTTATGAACACTCACTGCATATCCATTCCAACTCATTGCAGCTTCACATTGACATTGAAGTTGAACAACTCCACTACTGCAAAAAATAAATGGAAAATAGATTCATTTTTTTTTCTAAAAAAACACATTACCTCAGTGTAACATTTGAACATTGCAAACTCCCCAATGCATCGCACATAGAATCGTTCACACACGTCCGATTAATCATTCGTCTTCGCTCACAAACTTGATATGTGTCACTCCAAAAATGTGAATAAGCACATCCACAACGATAATTATTACATATCAAACCTAAATCTTGGCGACAATCAGAATTCGACTGGCATGGACCTCCATTGGTTTGCTTTTGCAGTGTCACAACTGCAGCAAATAAAGCAAATGCTGTAAAAACTACAACACTCAATGAAACTAAAGTTATTAAAAGCCATTGAGGAATATTCATATCTTTCTTCCAACAAGGAGTCGGCCTTTCCTTCTGTTCATAATCATATTCCGAAACCAAGGCATTGTGTGCGCCAAGATTTTTGACAACATGTTCTTGAAAGACTGTACTTGGATTCTATGCAAACAACGAAAAAAAAATAAAACATGGCTACTTGCTATTTAAGAAGATCTAATATACAAACTTGCTCTTTAATAGGGTTGACAGCTTTACGCTTTGTTGCCCTGCTCATTTGATGTCTTGATTAAAGACGTTTCAAAAATTGAATTAAAATGCAATATGATTTTGTTAATGCACACGAACAAAAACAAAAAAACTTTGTCCTTAACTATCGACCAACTGATTTTCGGAAATTTTTTAATGTAAATAAGATTCTCTTCGCGTTAAGCAGTTTAAGTATGCAAACAAAAAAATACATTTTTCATTCTAGAAGAAACAACAATCAACTTTGCATACTCGCACTGCGTACCAGTAACAATTTTAATTCACTTTTTATGTTTTGCTATTGCCAGATTTTAGGGAGTATTATTTTCAAATGTGTCGTTGTGTTGACGCTTCTTTTCTTTCTTAATTGTTTAATGGAACGAAGATGTAACCAATGCCTTTTCTCTCTCCGTGATTCTTATGTATTATACTTTGAATTTTCATTTCATATTATAATATTGACTCTCAGTAAAATGAATTTCATTGCTATTACAATCTTTGCTGGTACAAAAGGCAAATGCGGGTCGGTGATTAAGTGATTATCAATTTTTCTTTCAGGCTTCTATACATACTATTATCGGCATAGAAAAGGTTTCATCACAAGTTAAAATTGATTTTTCACAAAATGTTGATTTTTTTCGAAATTAAAATGTTTGTATTAGAAACTTGTATATAAAAAGAAAGAAAGAAAAAATGCAAAAGAATAATTATGTATGCATTCGGAATGAAATGTATCGATTTTATTTTCGTTTACGAGAGAAGTTTGTGTGAACGGAGAGACGACCTATACTCACCCCCACAATATTGTTTTAGGATGACGTCGTGAAGTGTTTGATCTTCGTTTTTCTAGATGCACGTACTTAAAAATGTTGCGTATTTCTATCACAATCAAACAGCAACTTCGTTGGATAAACAACTTTTTCAGGAGAATAGTCACGTATAATTCGACATTAGAAGCAGAATTTTTATTAATTCGAAAGTTTAATGAAAATTAGTTCTATTTTCATGAAAAGAGTGAGGCATTATAACAACAAATATAAGGAATTATGTATATTTCATATACTGTTTACCATCGACAACAACAAAACAATCGCGAACATCCATAATCGATAAATTAAACGCTTTTTATGCGTTGTATTTTGCTAAATGAACTATTTCCAATAACTGACGACTAGTAATATGCATAGAAAATAAAATTACGCCGAAATCAAAATTTCATTGTTTTGCAGAGATCGCTTGTCTCTGTCCTATTTTAATGTCGTTATCAATGGTGAAAAACTGCCTGATTCACTTGAAGTATAGCAGAGATATTTCAATCAATTCCGTTGTGCCTTGTATAAAATCATTATTTACACTAGAGATGTCCATCACGGCTGAGAATCGACCGCGGCCTTGCTGCTGCGAATTGATCAAATTCGTTAATACTTCCGTGTTGTCATATTTAGTACAGATCTGCACATATTTATATCGAAAGTATATTCTAACGCTGTTCACAGCAGCAAGGGAATCAAGCAAGGTCGTGGGAGAATATTTAATCACATCTTTCAATGATTTCAAGTACTATGAAAAATATATTTAAAAACAAAATTTGTTTTTAGAAATCTTCACAAGATAATGCTGACAAACCTAAAACTTTTCTTATTTTGCTTTTATAATGTTTCAGTAGAGTATTCTTCACTTGAAAAGAGAATAGCGAAAGTGTCTCACATCATGTGTATCAAACTAGAGATGTGCAGCGTAGGGTAGGGTCAGAGTATGCATTTGGTGGAGTGCAGTACAATATGATGCAAGTAAAGATTTAATAAATAAAAGTTGCGTCAGAAAAAGAAAAAAAATTATGAAAATTAAAGTACAAGTATTTTTAGCTTAGTCGTTAAGAAAATGACTAACTTCGAGCGACATCTTTCTACCATTATTGGGTGTGGGTGTGGATGAAGAATATACCCGAATCGAAGCCAACACGTACACCCCACACTCGCAGGGTAGGGTAGGGTAAGAGTGAACATTAGCAAATAAACAGGATTCTATTAGATCTAAAGAAAATACAATCTATAATCACAAAATGAAGACACTAATTGATTATAAATCAGTGAATAATATATATATATATATATGACTATGCTGAAAAGAACATAAATGAGTTATTGTTCTCGGAGCATAAACTAAAAGAAAAACTGAAAGTACGAAGGTTGAAACAATCAATTTAATCGTCACCCCATTCATCATCGGTACGGATCAATTTCTGGCCTTTTTTAATTGCAGATTTATTATTTTCGTCATGTCCACCTAATTGAGTGATTAACGAAGCGACTTCTGCATTCTTCTTCTCCATTTCTGTATCGAATGCTTGTTTTCGTTCTCGGATCATTTCTTCGACTTGTGCGAGCGTTGAATTCGTATCTTTCTCGATTGACTTCATCATTTTCGATCGATCCTCGTCGGTTTTAGTTGTGAGCATCATCGAGAGACCAGCTAATCGGCCCATTAGATATTGACTCGATACATCGTAGTAAGTCCGTGACATAACAAAGAGAACATATGCCTCACGATGGATTCCGAACGTATCATCTTTGAGCGTGTCGATAAGTTGCATACGTGCAGCACCTGTTGTGTCACTTCTCGCTCGGGAGATTTGAAGAAAACGGCGCAATGGCCCTTTGATCATGCTTTTGATCTTGGCCGACATATCTTCGAAGAAGACCACGAAAGTATTCCATTGAAGACGCAATCGACCAAGTAGCTCGAGTGCCTTCTCAAGCATTGTAACAATCTCTTTGTACTGAAGAGTGGTAAAATTGATGGCGACCATTTGACTGCTCAATTTGCGCATCTCTCCAAGCAATGCCAAATAGGCAGCAGCCTGTTCGTCTTGAAAACGTTTCATGTCTACCAAGTTTGCTTGAGCAAGTTGAGCTTTGAATAATTCATTTTTCGACGAATCACGAGCACCATAAGCAGGATGATTGCCAATGTTCGTTAAAGTTTCCCCTGTAGTTTTTGGATCGGTAAATTGTGCTGCTGTTTGAAGCGGTTTTAATTGTTCTGCAATGTCTTGTAATTGCTCTATCAGTGCATTATTAATTTCAGGATTTTCTTTCTTCTGATTGCCTTTAGCCAACTCTTCTGCTACGAGATTTTCCGCACGCTTCATTAGATCTATTGCTGTTTGTTTTGCAGGATTGTCAGAAAGTGATGTAATAAACTCTCGAAACATTTTGAAGGTCGTGGCGTAACCTTTCAATACTGTACTATTCTGCTCTGCACTAGAAACATCTTTTATAAATTTTTGTAAGGTGTTAGAAAATTGATTTGCCATAACAAGCGTCTGACTATGACCGACTGATAACACTTGATTGAGTGCAGTTTTGCTCGAAGGATTTGAACTGCCGCCTTGTCCACTAGAACCGATATTGGGCTTTAGAACCGTTGTAGTCAGCGCTCCAATAGGTCCACCGACAATACCTCCAATAATTGTAGGGGCCATATTGAGTATGCCTCGGGAAAAATCCTGAAGAATTGCTTTGAAACCTGTTGGTATTGTTCTTAAAGCGGCATAATAACTGTCCTCGGCCCGTTTTACGGAATCGCTAGCTTCTTTGTAACGTTGCGTGCGAAACTCTTCCTCCTTTTTCATGCCATCTTCAATCGTTCTCAAGGCTGCTATTTCCTTCTCGTTCTTGCGTATTTGTTCCTGATGAAGCGATTGCGTAGTAGTTGTCACTTCGATTACTTCTCCTAACAGTAGCATCACTTGCAAAAATTCATGTCTAGTATTATTAGATAACTCTACGCATTCATTTCCTGTATCTTCTAGATTTTGCAACACCTGTGGCAGCAATTTTTTAAGTACACTCGGTGGAGAATTTCCAGCCAATAGTTTGAGAGCAGTTTTAATATTTTTTGGTATCTGCAACATGTTGAGTTGAATTGTATTCATTGCCGAATGAGCACTCAGAAATGCCTGATAGCCATCTAGAAAGTATATGAAGAATGCAGATTAAAAAACCCCCATCAGCAAATTTGAAGGGGAAATTTGGCTAATGATAATTTAGTGAAATATTTTTTGATTGAAAATTTGAATATCATGAGAAAAATAGCTCAACCGGTTAAAAGTGGATTTGATACTACGATTGAGCATTATTATGACGGCTCTGTACTAGTTCACTATATCACGCTCAACAGGAAATATATGGAAACTCACGGATGCATACTTTGAATTGCTTTATTAAGTATAGCATGAATATAAATTAGGATTAAATTATTTTTCATATTGAAACTACATCTATGATTTACCATTTGATATTTGCAGAAGAGTGGCACGTAATGATTGTGGATTTCGAATGTATTTGTAAGAGCGATTGGGTGAAAATTCCTGGAATGAAACATCAGTTTTGCTCGAAACAACAAGCAATTGCCCCAACAGTTGAATAGTCATGGGGGCGATAATCATGCAGCGTTCCCAAGGGTCATCAATTGACGTTTTTTCTGTTAAAGCATTGATAACAGGCTTTTTGAGTGATACGTCGATCGCTAAAAGGAATTTTCCTTATTCTATACAGCTATTTCGATTGCATTTGACTTACTTGATGCTGCCCGCCGCTGTCGGTAATGTGATAAGGCGAAATCAGTACTCGCCGTTTTTAGAAGAATGGCTATAATTAGCACATTCTGAAATGCACTATTCATATTGAACAGGTTAGGTCTGTTTTATCTAGAATTATAAAGAGTGATGACATAGGCAGAAAATGAGAACATGTCTTTTTTCCAAACTAATTTGGTATAGAAAATAATACAGTTGTAAAGAAGCATACAGATAGATCTCTAGTGCCTCTTTTTAACCGATATAGCTACAAGAATAAGTGAAATAAAAAGAGCTTCATTCATTTGTTGAATGTTCTTCAAAATTCATCGACGATTGTGGAGGTAATTGTATTCTCATTAGTTAGAAGAGGGAAATGCATGAGTCTTTTGCCCAGTCGATCCAAAATATGATCGATTGTAGCGATAGTGCTTGCCGATATTTCAAATCCAAACTTAGGCATCAGTTCATCTTGGATCATTTTTTGCGCGAGTGAGTTCAGTGGTTGGATGACCAGTTCGAAATCGAGAAGACGCTTGATCTCTATGTTGAGAGTTTGCGAATTGCCGCGCACGACCGTTAAATGCGTGGACACATCCAAAAATTGTTGTGTGAAAGAGGATATAACTTCGTATTTTTTCTGAAGCTCCGAAAGTGTGAGAGCTAGAGCTTGTCGACGTTCCTCTGCTACATTTCGTCTTACTTGTGCGTCAGACAACTCTGCACGCTTCTGAGAGAGTTGTTGTTGTTCATTGGATAGTCGTTGTCGAGCTTCGCCAAGCATCCTTTGTGCCGATGATCGTGCATCTTTGGCCGCATCGATGCCTCCCATGTTGACAACGCTGCACACCGGTTTAACGACCACATGTTGTACGGCCTGAACGACCGGCTTTTCAACATTTTTTCGCCACCATCCACCAATCAGACGCTTGCCACGACACAGACGTGCTTTCTCAACACGATCTTCAGCATCACGCAATTCACGCTCAGCTGTTGCAACAGCATCTTGTCGCTCGTTCACAACTTGCTGGGCAAATGCGACCTGTTGCTCTTGGTTTTGGATATCCGACGTAAGTTGTTTAATTGTTGTGTCCGCCTCGCGGCATAGTGCTTCTTGTTTAGATACGACGATTACTGCAGTAGCAATGCCTTCGTTCAGCTTGGTACGCAATTGCTCGCATTCGGACGAGGCATTTTTAAGATTCGTGTAGACGCCGTTGGCAGCGATACGTATTTTATCAACGAGGACTTTAAGTCGATTGTCTTCACTCGTGAATCGGTTCAACTCAAAAATAGCATCTTCAGCTACTTTTTTATCAACAGTAACTAGAATAAGTGTACTATTTAAATCTTCAACTTGAAGATGATCGACTATGATTTTTTCGTTCAAGTGTTCGATTGTATCCAATGATTCATGTGTCTCATTATCCGATGATTCTTGTGAAAGTAATGTCCAATCATCAAAATGGCTCTTCGGAGTTGTTTCAGCTTCTTTCAATTCAATTTCGGTTATCAGATGAATATCTGCATCAGCCACGAGGTTATCATTGTGTAATGATGCATTCTGTGTTGTTTCCTCAGTAGCTTGTTCTATTTCAACCTTGTCATCATTATTGATGTTTTCAATCATTGCCGTGTCATACGGATTTTGTTGGACTGTGATATTTTCTTCAGAAACTTCTTCCGTTAAATAGGTTGTTGCATTATGTTCATCATGTTCGGGATGCACTATTATTGTGTTAATATCTTCTGTATCACTAAAAGTCGCATTAAAATTCAGAATAGGTTGAATAATATCATCGTTTAGCATTCGATAGGCAGCTTGATAACCTGGTACTACTTTTATAGTCAACTCATCGCGATACCATTGAACATCGGTCGAACATTTGCACTTGTTCAGCAAAAGAAAGACGAATAGAAGATGCAGGAACATCGTTAGTGGCTTGTTGGATTGAATTTGAATTTGTTTGCAGCTCTAAATATAAAACACATATATCGTTTACTTTTGGTAAGAGTGTAGACTTAAACTAAAGTATCGAGAAGTCGACTAATCATTTTCGAAGAGTGATAAAAATATTTCAGTTACGCTCATTGATAATCGGTGTTTCTACCAGTGAGAATTTAACTTAATGTAAGGATAAATATGTCATTTTTTATATTCTATGCTAACTTAGCTCGACGATTGTGAAAGAAATAGAGCCAATTACGAAATATGGTTCTTATTAAAAACTTTGAAATCACCAAAAGAGAGGACCAAATAAAGATAAAAAATCAAATGACCTGAATAGTAGCTTGACAAAATACCAATTCAGAATATGAGAAAACGATGGTATTGTTCGTCAAAATATATTTGAGACCTAATTTATGTAATGCGTTTAGCTATTTTTCCCGTCCTACTTATACATGATACGAGAGAGAGAGACATCAAGAAGAATTCTCTTGTTTTTATTTTCTTTCTATTTATTCATCAAACACATGATAGATACTGTCGATTTTCAAGTACAAAATATAGTTATAAGGCCTAATTGACTTCGCTCGATGACAGTCTGTTCGGCAAATATTTTCTGATAACAACAAGAAATATCAACAGTCATACAGTGGCAGTATGTTTTGAGAGCTCGAAAAAAAATATATCATTTGCCTCTGCGCTAGGAAATTCATCTGTACAAAAAAAAATAGACCGAACAAGATAGGTCATACTGATTAAGTTAGACTAAATAAGTTATGTGTAACTTCTATTTCCTTCAAGGAAAGAGAGAAAGACGATACACGTGGTAGGAACGATAATATATTAAGATAACAAAACTTATCACATGACTCCGATTATTCATTCATCGCACAGAATCATTAAATGGCAAAGATTCTAAAGTCGTATCTATTTGTATATAATTCAAATATGCATAATCATTTTGTTCGTACCATAGTTTGGATAGTAACCGTATGCTTTATCTAGTATGTCATGTTTGCAGGAAGCATTTATACGGATCAAAGTTATATTTCAATTACTTAAGACATTCTATCTTACATGAAGCTACGACGCGTATCACAATAAAATTCGTTATCATAGCTATATTGCTTTTGTAAGCATGTGACGCTGCATAACTGTAAGTAAATCGAAAATCAATTCTCACGCCGGGTTCAACGTAGTAATTATTTTTTTTTTAATATAAAATGTATGCTTCGTGTCACATTACTTTCAATGAATTGTGAGAAACGAACGTTATTGACAGCTGGGAAAGTTGATAGCATCGACTTTTCTTTTTTTTTTTTAACAATTAAAATACGCGCTTATTTGTAAATTATCGAATTTTGTTCAGCTAGATTTTTCCGTGAAGTCTTGTTGTTGTCTTGATGACGCATATTCAAACTTGAAAATATGCGTTTCATATTGTCAAGGAGAACCTGATAAATATAGAATGGTAGTGAGACTCTCGGAAAAATTGGTAAATCGTTTGCTTCAGAGCACTTTTTTCCGCATAAATTTTCCTTCAGGTGACAATCAATAAAATCTTTGAACATCAACTCAACGTTTCCGATTTCTTTTTTCATCCATATCAACTGGTTCGATTTTTTCAAGTTCGTATAGAGTAGATGAAAATTACATCATTGAAAAGAGCTTGAAAAGTTGAATATGAGGTCGAAATTTTCTCGGAGGGGTATGGTCAAGTCCCTAGCAGAAATTTTTAAAAATAGATTTCCCAGCCAAAATGACAAGGATCTATCGTTCTCTCTATCTTTTTATTTATCTATCAGATCTTTGGTTTCTTCGCTCATTAAATATACACAAAAATAAAAGAAAACAACAACATTTAAACGATACGATTTGTACAGAAATGAACTTTGTGCATGAACATCTCATTTGACTAGATGGCACTCGTTTCGACAAAAAAAAAGAAGACAAAACATAAATAATAATAAATATCATGGAATGATATGAACAAAAAACAATTTCTAGACGGAATGTAATAAATACATCAAAAACTACGAATTCAACTACACAAAATGCACACGAAGCTTTCTATTTTCTATACATCAGACATTCTCAATTTCGGCCTTAAGAAGAAATAAAAACAAAATCTCACTGTTGAATCTTATTGCATCAATTGTCTAATCAAATGATGAGGTAATAATTGATAATTAGTATGATCGAATAAGTGTGTTGATCTTATCACTCTCAAACAAATTTCACGTAGAGATGAACATAGTTGACAACGATGTTGAAGAATCATTGTACTATGCGCACTGGTGGATGATACAGCTGGATAAATAGGTATATCTCTTGGTATCGAATGAAAAGCAATGCCCATCGATTGATTATCAATTGAATATGAAAGTGTACGAGCATCAGCATCGAATTCTAAACCTACTAGAACCGGTTGAAGTGGTTCAATTGGTTTCGACAAATAGGAACGTGAGATTCCATTATGCCACAATAGACCATGGTGCGCTAATCCCCATCCATTGTGATCAATTCCGATTAAATCTGTAAAATTCTCCGACGTTAATTTTTGTTTGTTAGCTGAAATTAAACAAAAAATTGTTTTTTATACTAAAACACGTTAGCGGATTCTTTTAACTCACTGGCAATACCGAACATAATCGATGTTCCATAAACAGCTGGCATATAGATTTCCCAATAATATTTTCCACTGATAGGCAATGATCGATCAGCAAGAATAACTTGTGTTGATGAACTTACACGAGGATGGAATAAAATTTGTCTATTATCATTGTTTAGAATTACAGTTGAATCAGCTGTTGACCACTTCCATTGAGTTCCAATACAAACTTTATTGGCGTAATGTCGACTTTTAACATGACATATTAAACTTGCTGGCGACCACCATAACGGTGGTAGTGGTGTAGCTCGAGCTACACTTCTACTACTAATGCTCTGGCGTTGAATGATAGTGTTGTTTCTTTTTTTTCTTCCTTTTTTCTCTGACCAATGCCATCGTCGGAAATGTTTTTTCTTCGTACCAATTTTTTCGCTCATGTTCATTCACCAGAAGCTATCCTAATGTGTTTATGTATGGACAGCGATAGTTGCTCGCTGCTTTTTTTCTCTCTTTATAGCACGCGTCGCTCAATTAGCAGAAGAGAGAAAAAAAAAGAGTTGACAAATGATATTAATGAATGCTCAGCACGATATGACTTCTCTCTTCTCTTTCTCTCTCTCTCTCTTTGTCCGACATCTGCCAAAGAAAAAAGATGCCATATGTTTTTATGTTCAACATTTTTAATGAAAGAGATAATAGTGTATAGAGAACTCCTGAGGCAATATTCTACGATATCTTGTTTCGTCTTCGAATCGATTGTCCACGTCGTGTTATATACGTAAATCGACAGCAATTAAAGTGAGATATATCGAATAACAGCTGGTGGATATTCTCTCATCGTGCGCTTGTTTTTGTTCAATTAATGAGTGGCGACACGCGACAAGGCGCCCTGTGAACTCGATGATCAATCAACAGAAGGAGAGGAAGTCGACTTCAATCTTTTATGTTAAATGAACAGTAAAGAGAGTGATGTGAGAGAAAAATAAAAGTAAGTACACACGTGAACATCTGTCGTCGTGTGCACGAAATTGGAAACAAAGAGCATGAATCGATAGGAAAGTTAATCAAGTATTCTTTCTAATCCCGATAACGAGCATGAGTGGCATTATATTTTGTATAACAGTTGTCCCATTGAGAAAAAAAAGCCATTTGCTTTTCAATTTTCCATTATTGCTCGAGTGATTCTTAGCCTATAGCTTTCACATATTGTTTGCAGATCTTTATCATGAATGCCCTGCTGAGAACAGGAAAAGATTATGTCGATTTGGATATACTACTGATAATTGCATAAACATTGAACTCTATGGATTAATTCGATAAATGTAATCAATTGGAAAAAATGAAACTGTTCAGCTACTACGAGAGAGATCGAGTATGTCCAGAAATTGAGACTAAGAAGTTAATACAAAATTATAATTCTTTTCTTTTGTTCTTCTATCACCATATATTTCATTTCCGACATAGCAGGACTAAGACTTATAAGATTCGAATATATTTCCGCTTCTTCTATTACTTGTTATTTTCTTATGTGAAGTGTGACAGGTGTGCTGTCTAATCTGTCTCTCAGTTTTAAATTTAATCTGATTAAAGTTGATTATCTGTATTAAAAAATATATACAAGATGCGTACATTACAAATAAAAAAAAACAATCTCATATTGCTTTAGTTAAATTTAAAAAAACCAAGTAACAAGTCGGAAAATGATACACTGAAAACATGTAGCTGTGCGTCAAGCAAAAACAAAACACAGATCTTTGGATAAATACGAATTAAAAATTGATCTGGAATGTGACAAGATCAGAAATAAAAACAACTATGGAAATAATAAAACCATGGAATGATGACGAATGCATATATATGTGTATATATATAGCAAAGCTTATCACGAAAGCAAAGCCAAAGGAAAACAAACGAGTATATGGATTTTTTTGATTTACATGGATATGAGACTTTTCTTTTTAGTTTTGAATGATGGCGATCATTGAGAATTGCCTGATGGATACGATCTTTGCTGGCGAACCTAAAATAATATTTAAAAAAAAAGAATTATTTTCTTCTATAAAAATATTTCGTTATTAATCAGTGCGAATTTATCAGTCGAAAAGGAAATGTTTTTATGTATTAGATGGAGAAAGAAAACAAACGCATGCATTTGATATTAATTGGAAAATGTTAGAAATGAGCACATGCATTCGTACTGAATAATATTTCTCTATCGTTTATTTTGTAATTGCTGATTTTTACTGGCCGTAAATGCTTGCATCATCTAAAATAGTGTCGATTATGAACAAGATTTGAATTTTAAATTTAATTGCTGGTATGAAATTATCGTAAAACTTACTCGCGGCGGTATAAATCTTCCTCGTCGTGCTTCCGATGCTGCAATGCTATTATTATTATTATTATTATTAGTTCGATTACCAACTGTATTATTGTTCGAAGCAATAGTTAGTAATCCAGTTGACATTTCCGGTCCGATAGATGAAGAATTCATTTTATTCGGATTCATTGCTCGTCGTGAAACAGTTACAGGATTAATTTCTCGTTCATTATCGACTTCTAAATCTTCGAGTTTTTGTGTTAATGCAAGTTTTTGTTCGATAGCCATACGAAGCAATGAGTTAAGTGTTTTCTTTTCTTCTTCGGAAGCATGAACTTGTCTTTGTAGTTCATCTAATTGTGTAACATATTCATCGCAGCGTGCAGCAAACATAGCGCGTAGTGATGCAAATGTAGCTGCATCTTCTTTCAACGATTGTAATTCATTGCGTAATTTCACCATTGTTTCAGTAACAATTAATTTTTCATTTTCATATTTCGATTTTAGATTAGCCAATGCAATTTCAGCTGTTTGTTTATTAGCCTTAAGTACTGTACGCAATGTACCAATTTGTTCGCGTTTTGTTGCTAATAATGAACGTAACTTGAGAATCTAAAGTGTAAAGAAAATTTTATTATTGATTATTCTTTAGTGTTCAGTGAACTCTTCTTCAAAACAGTTATTTATACATCAGACGGTCAGTTTGAACTGGTACATCTCTAATGAAGGACTAGAAATATTCAACGTGACGAAAACTATTTCTGAGATTAGAGGTGAAGTTGTGCTAGATTTAGACGTCACATTAAAAAGTTATTATGAATATGGAAGACGGAATAGAGTGAAATAATTGCCTTTTGATAGCTCAGTGGTAGGGCCCATCGAATATCGATTAGCAGAAAATAATTTTAATCATATAATAATATTTTTGAGTTTTCGTTTGTTTTATTCGAAAAAATCTCTAAATTCAGGATCCTGAAAAATTGATCAGTAAAATCCTGATCAGCTGCTGGACCTAGAAATTCCGGAAGTCTAGCAGATGCATTGACTAGTAAGCATAGATGACCGGAGCATGGATTGCGCGATTACGTCGTAAAACAATATATCGAAAATGAAAACTCACTTGATCTTGTAATTCTCTAGTATCATTAGGTAGATCATTATTTGATATGTTTGCATGGGTTGACGATTGTTCTTTGAGTTTAACATTATCTAAAACTTTATTGAATGATTGTTTCAATTGTTTCGTCTGTTCTTGAACAATATCTAATATATGTTCATTGATTGATGAATCAATTATTTTATTATTTGAATTCGTTAATTGTTGTTTTTTAGTTGGAATATCGCTCGATGGAATAGGTAAGCCAGTTGTTGTGAATATATACGAATGAATATTTTCCAATTCTTCACTTAGATTCATCTGAAAAGCAAGAACAAAAACAAAATAGAGGAAAATATTTTCTTAATATTTCTCACTAAATTATCGTTCGTTTTAACGAGTATTGTTTGCGTATCATTAGATTGTTTCATCATAATATTAAGATCTTGTTTCAATTTAAAGATAGCATGTTCTTGTTCGTCGGCTTTTTTCTTTAACAATTCTTGATCGCCATTGAAAAGATGAAGATTTTTATTAATGATATTATCGATTTGTTCAATTGAATCAAGAGATGTTATGAGAAGATTATTGGTATCGTCGGAATTGATTTGATTCGAAGAATTTTTAGTTGGAAGAATTATTTCGATCATATGTTGAATTTTATGCGAAAGAATTTTCGTTTTCTCGTTTATGGTTAACAATTCATTGTCGAGCGCAGATTTTATTTGAGATAATTGTAAACATTCGACTTCTAATTTACGAATTTCATTACCATGAATTTCACTAAAATAAATTTTTATTTCTATAAAATATTAAATTAAAGGAGTTTTTTTACCTGAATAAATTACCAACGGGCTGTTGATCATTATCATTGTAATCGTTTATAGATGGAACACGACTTATTTCATCATTTTCAATATCATCATCCTCACAACTGTTTAAATAATCATCATCCGCATTTGAATGTGTAGCATTTAATGTCATACGGATAGAATCTAAATTACGAAGGGATTCCTATAAATGGAGAAAAAAAAACAAAGCAAACAAATGAAAGTGCAAATGTGTGTGTGGTGTTGTTTTGATTACTTGTTGTATCCGATGATCTAATTGTTGCTTATATATGTGTTTTTGTTCGCGTTCATCACGAAGATTATTGTGTAATTCAATTAGTTGAGATTCCGATATGGCTTTTAAAGATTCAAGTTCTTTCATCATTCGGTGTAAATCATCAATCTATGAAAAATGAAATTTATTTGTTTAATCGTGGAAAATCGTGGAAGAACATCAATTCTGTGAACTTACATTTTCTAATAAATGCTTGTTTTCAACTTTTAATCCATCGTAATCAATAAGATTTTCTCTTAATCTTTGTACTTGTTGTTGTAATCCGACATTGTCTTCTTCTAATTCTGTATTAGCATCTATAAGTCTTTGCTCGTGCTGTTTACTTTGTTTTAAATCATATTTCAATTTAACTTTTAGTTCATCTAATTCATGTAAACGTTCAGTAAATTCTTGAGATTTTGAAAGAACTTTTTCATTTTCTGTATGTAAACGTTCATTGTCTTGTTTTAATAAGCGTAGATCGTGTTCATAACGTTTTATTTCTTTCGTTAAATAATCTTCGCGTGTTTGTTGTTCATTTAATAACGTTTCTTCATTGGTTTCACCTTTCAATGTTTCTTCACGTTTATGAGCGTGAAAAATTTTCAATTGTGTTTTTACTTGTTCTAATTCTGATTTAAGTAATTCTTGTTGATTTTGAAGTTCTTCATGTTGTAATTCTAATTGACTTTTTTCATTGAGCAATGCTAAACCATATTCAGCTGCTTGTTTATTGGCTGAACGTAGTTTAGCTATCTGAACATGAGGATCTTCATCGTCCGATGTCGTCATCGATAAAACACGTTGAAAATTAGTAAATCCAATGAACTAAAGCCACAGATACAGTGCGTAGAAAAAGAGAGAGCCAACTAAGAAAGAGAACGAGATAAGTATTTTATACCGAAACAATTGCACTTTTTCCAACAGTAATGACTACAAAAAGATTTCTGTGATTACTAGAATAGGAAATGGTGGAAAGGTGAGTCTAAAGAATATGGTATAACCTATATATTGAAAAAGCACAGGTAGAAATCCAAAGGGTATTTATTGGATGGTAGAGGTGAATGAATATATGAAAAAATATGAATAAATTGATAATAATGCTAAAAAAATATATTAAGAATCTTGGTTGTAACGGATACGACGAAATTTATTATAGATGTCACCTTTGTATGAGAAACCTTTTTTTTCTTCAGCAGACATGAAGAATATAGGAGATGTACATTGCTTTTTTTCTTCGCGTCTGAATATAACTAAGATTGAATCTCGAGGTTAACTAATTCACCGACGAACGATTTTTATTCATAGAATTATTATCTTTTGTATTACAAAAAAAAAGTCAAATTCAATGCAAAGTGCTCATCGATACCAATTTGGAGCGTGACATCGAAACGACCACCACGAACGAATGCCTGCTCGATCTTATCAAATCGATTTGCTGTGCCTAGCCAAGGACGTAAAAAAACGCTGCGTATATATTAAAACCTATTTTATTTAACTAAGTTTGACATCCAACCTATTTAACTTGTAGAGAAACGCTAAAAATAAAATTCAAAAAATCGGAAGAAATATCCAAATGAATTCATATAAAGTTTAAAAATAATACATATTATGGAATAATCATCGCATTAAGTTTAGTATAATTTACATATATGACGAAATTCGTTTAAAGTAGCCATAAGAAAATTTATTTATTATCATTGGCACAAAACAACGATCATTAAACAAACATATGCTACTGATCTCTATTCTGTTAACCTATATCTTAAAATTGTTATTTCTATAATTTATTCTTTGCTTTCTATATAAAAAGTATCAAACATATGTTCGACAATAACTCAACATTCATTATCCTCCATGAAGTATTTAAATTCGCTATGGAATTGCGTCTCTAAATAACTATCATTATACCTTAAAATATTTTTTATCAGAGATATTATCTCCTATCTATTTTTATTTCATTACATTCTTATAAGTTAAATTCTTTGATAATATGACTGATTATAAATTCTTGAATAATGAAAAAGAATATTTATATAAAAAACTATTATCTGATTAAAAAAATGAGTCAGTTTTCAATATTTTATTTTGATTTGTTCATCTAAAACATTTCATTTAAATCAACAGAGCGTAAGTGAAAACAAAAATAACCAAGATATTTTTAACTAAATTTTTTTTATAATTTAGTAGCCAAATAGATAACTGTTAAACGGCAAAAACAATTGCTATTATACATTTTCAAAATTTGCCCAAAAAACTAGTAAGTAATAGAGTAACCTGGGGTAATTGTAAAATGGAAAACAGTCGATTTCAGCATAATTCCTATAACTTTTTCATTTTTCGTTATTTTAAAAAATTTTCTTCACAAGATACCTCGCTTCGCATCTGCTTTATCGATAGGTGAAAGAATCAACTCAAAACACTGGGCATAGAGCTATCCACAGAGTATTCTTTGAGCTCAATTTTTCATGTATCCATTCGTCCGTGCTGGGTCTAATGTATAAACACGCTGATGCCATTGGAGTAGATGTATAATTCCAGACAATTTTCATAGGTTTCAAAAATCTTAATTTGTGAAAAATTAGTATCTCATTTTCTAATTATTTTTTTCATCAACCGATAGCTCAAAGTCTTTTCTATCACAGTCTGTGGTGGTGACGATTTTCTTCTAGGATCCGTCATATTTATAGTTTCGTATTTTTTACTTTAATTTTAGGAGAACGTCTCTATCTCCGCCGATGAAGTGGATGTTATCAATACTCGATTTGATGTATATCTTGCACGTGTTGTTGATAATGATGGGAAAATCATTGGACCCAAGTTACTATATCAATGCTATGGTACCATCAGAAATGACTCCCGTACAACTGGATCGTCATCATTTTATGTCGAACGTGACTCGATAAATATTTTTGGAGCATCAACTGGTAGTATGTTGGCATCCGTATTCTGACAATATCGCAGCAATGCAATGTCCGATGGAACAATGAATCATTATATGTACATTGGTGCATCTGCTCGCAAGCCTCTCAATATCGCGCAGACGGAAATTCTGTCAGCGCAACCAGATATTGTTCATATTTTAATCGTTGTTCGTTTATTGGAAGAATATCGACCAATTTTTGTTTTCGGTCAACATGTGGAGGAGCATGAAACAACAATATTAGGTTCGTTATGTTTCTCTATGTAAATTTGTTAGGATGGATCATTTCTTAAACAATGAAGTTGCTGTTATAGAAAAACAGTTCGAAAGCTTATTTTTCAGAATGTAGAAAAACACTCGATAAGCTTAATCCTTTAAAAGACCACTTCATAAGGTTTTTTATGTGATCTGAAATTTGTAGGCTAAAACTTCGAATTTCATAACGTTTCCAAATTCTACTAACGTGGACATGTGTGATTCTATCAAACAAAGAAAGATAATTCAATGTAACTACTAGATTACTGGTGATCATCGTTAATTCAAGCTATCAGAAAATTTCAAAGATTTATTGGTTCTCTGTACTTGAATGTAAACAAGAAAAACTCTTTTTACAAACTTTAATTTACAAGCGATTATTTTTTTACACTGAACCGTAATCTGCCAGGAAATTTCTTGACGACCTAATTTTTGTGTACTCAAAAGAAAAGTGAGTACACTATAGAATCGGTCAGTGTGTCCAGCCGTTAACACGATAACTCTTGAAAGCCTCATTCGATTGTCATGAAATTTTGTACACAGAATGATCTCATCAATATCTCAGTCAAGTTCGAAGATGAGAAGGATCCGTCAAGAAATGGCTGAGTTATCGAAAAAATTGTCATTATTGACCTGACCATTCCTGAGGGAGGGGTGGGTACAGGGATTTTTTCAAAAAACGTTTTTTCTCAGAATTATTCAAAACATATAAATCGACTCATTTTTTGCAGTACACGTAACAATCGGATGCGAATCCGATGTTTGCTCATTTATTTATGCTTAATTTCTAGATTGAGAAAAGTAGATTCTCATAGAGTGAGATCAGTTTATGAGATCTACCTGTCTTAGCTGATCAAAATTAATTGAAAACAATTTGAGAACAGGTGTCTTGTTTGAAAAATCGCACGACCTATTGTACTTCAATACAAGAAGTCTTATCTATTTTACTATAGATCAAAGAGTGACCAGTAGTAATGCTAATTCTCAATTCAGCCCTATCATAGCGCATAGTACTGAAACGTTTACCATCCAAGTGTTTCATTGGAACATTCCATGCTGAAATATTTCAGCTAAAACGAACCTTTTCCGAAGAAAATTACATCTAGGCTAGGAAGAGAAAAGAACTTGATTGCATCATCCTAAGTTTTATTTATTCTAGTTATAATTCCACTAGATATTGAAGAAGCTAGACGAAATATCATAGATCCGATACCAACAACTGAAATAATGCTACTTATGAAGCCATCCTTAATTGTGCCTGTAAAGGATATTGATCACGAAGCTGATGGGACAATATTATATGCTCACCCAGGTCAATGATTCCGGAGGACGGATACTGTAGGAACCGGCCGGAAAGATGCGAAAAAATCACCGTATCTGGCCGGAAAGCATGGGAAAGCACTGGAAACTGGAAGCAGTATTCCAGTTGGAAGTTACCGGATTTTTTTCCTGTGGATTCCGGTCAGTTTCCTGTGTTTTCCGGTCAGTTTTCTGTGTTTTACATCTGGAAGTTGATCGGAATCTACAGGAAGAAAATCCGGTAACTTCCAACTGGAATACTGCTTCCAGTTTCCAGCGCTTTCCTGTGCTTTCCGGCCGTTTCCCGCCGTACGTCCACGACCTGGGGCATAATGCCATTCGTCGTATGATCGATCACTACAGTTTTCGATGATACTTCATTAACCAACACTACCGAATCAACCAAGAGCAATGATAAACTTATAGGAATTGATCGAATATGACAAAGGTAAATTTCGTCAGATAGAGTTTTTAATATTTTCATTATAGCTCTATCTACTTCTATAGGCATTATTAGATAAATATTAAAAAGGAATCAAATGTTATCTAAATTGTAGGCAGTCATAAGTTATCATTGAAAAATAAAATACTGTTGAATCTACAAATTCTCATGTTTGTTGTGATGATAGGTTTAATATTTTCAATGAATCATATTGTTTACAAGGTTTTTGAGCGCGAGATCTAATTTTACTTAGAAAATAAGTTAAAATCGGGACTATATCATGCAGTTTGTATTATCTAATGTAATTAGAGTCGATTCGAAATTCGACTTATTTTTTCAGGTCTATTAGACATATATTCAGGGTATTCGTATTCTAGAGTTTAGAACATATTTTTTATTTTTTGATGTTTTTGTTCGTTTTAGCGGATAAATGTGAAGTGAATATGACAACATTAGAAGACGGTCGAAGAGTTACCACACATGAAGCAAGAACAAATGAGCAGTACTAGCGAGACAATTCACTATAAAAATGTCTCATTGTATTAGAACTGAAAAATTGGCAGTTATTTCACACTTTTCTTCTTTCTTTGACAGTTAAAAAGCATGACGAAGGCGCGTGAGGCAGCTAAAGAATCTTTGCTCAAATTTATCAAGCAATCTGAAATGGAACCACGCATAAAATGAGCAGCACCGTCAATAGTGTAGACTACAAAATGGGATGCTGATCAATTTGGTTGGGCAGGGGAATGTATCAGTGAGACTTGCACACATGTGTGGTGTATTTATAAAGTTGAAGAAGATGGAAACCGTCTCACTGTCCCGAAATGTCCTGCACCATGTAACAAAAAATATATACTGTGAATAAATATATTACTGAATTTCAAACGACTACTGTAGCACTTAAAGAAAAAGCGGAATCCAGTTAGACAATGCGCTTTTATTATTATCATGGTCGATGATCATAAAATCTGTCTAGATAGTTGTCAATTCTGTCGAATTTTTGTTTTCATCTTGCTTGTGATGTATCTGCGATTGTTTTTCCTTTTCGCCTCTTCTATCTTTTGATGCATCTCTCTCACTGGGCGCAGTATTATCTCAAGAGATATGGAAGAGAGAGAAAAATCGAGAAAACTTGTACAAGTTTTACTCTGATCTGATGACTAAATGCTTTTGTTTTTGAATATGACTGTTTTTCGATTCTAAAGTAATAAAGGTATTTGAATTATAATAATTGTAATGCAATGTTCCTTTTTTATTTTTATGAAAAAAATTTGATATAGCGATTCAAATTTTTTCGAGTTTGATTGTACAACTTCACAAGTCAATATATCTATGAAATCACAGTGTAGTTATATCTTTGAATTTGTTGTCATCTTCAACAAGAGATAGATCTCGTTTTATATGTAGTATGTACCGCATTTCTTTTTTGAAGCATTGATAGATCGAAAATACCGAGCAGGAAAATAGCCTTAGTGGGATCTTTATCGTAGTTAAATTTCAGATGATAACGCTAAAATATGGCTTCGCTGGAAAAATTAGGTTCTTTAGGGAAAAATCTTTCGATATCCTCAGAAGTCCGAGCTGTATTGTCTAAAATTTATATTTTTATACCGATATTTCATGTCACAGAATCGTACTTTCTTTTATAGTATTTATACACTAACATCTTTTCCAAAAATCAATCTCTAAAGAAAAACAAATGGATTAAACTTCATTTTACATTATCAAGAATTATCCATTGTATTGCTACCCAAGTGCATGAATCCTATGGGATCTGACTCTTCGACAGAAACAGATAGGATTCCTGGACACGGATCTATTGTCGGTCCCGACGGGAAAAATAACTTTCTTATTCACGATCAAATAAGCATTTTGAACCATCCGAGCGCAAGGGTGATTCGGTAGAGTTGGATTCCATTAAAATCCGACATCAGATCCAATACCAAGGATCCGACTGTAGGTCCGTGCCCAGGAATCCTATAAGATTTTGTCGGTTTTATTGAAACACATATGATATTCGGTATATTCACGGTCTGTCCTTGTCGGAATGATTCTCCTGGGTGTATTCAACTGTATTTTCCATTGTTCTCAACGCTGGATAATTTCATTCAAGAATGATCATCTAAAATATAATCTATTCTGTAGTTCGGTTGCCTAATTCACAGACGAACGACTTTTATTCATATAATTATTATCTTTTGTATCACAAAAACTCAAATTCAATAGAAAGCGTTCATTGATTCGACTGTGGCAATGTTGAAGATTATTTCAGATATTTGTCGAAGTACCGTTCAATTAAATCAACAACTTCCTTGACATGCGTTAGATGAAAGTCATGTGGTCCATCAATTAGTTCTAATTCAAACTAAAACAAAACGAAGTATATTTGTTTTCAATAATTGACTTCACTTACGTTAGGATTAAATTCTCTCATGTAATCAAATGAATTTTTATATTTAGCTTCGTCAACATTTTTGGTGCTAAAAAACATCAATACCGAACATTATTATTATTATTATTTCTTATTAAAACATACAAGATAACGAGAGTCGATGCTTTTAAATTTCGAAAAAGGCTCCGAACTAGTTCATCTGTGTATGGATAAACTGGATACTAGAAAAGCAACAACAATGAAATATTAATATTCAGATTATTGAAAAGACCAAGCCACGCGGAAATCTGCAATTAAATGTAGTTATCACTAGTTTAATTTTTAAACAACATAAAAAACTAATAGAAATCGCCCTTTCAGCTTTATTCTTTAAGAATATTCATGGTTATTATACTTACTACTTTGATTGCTTCATCAAAAGTAATACGCAATTTATTATCTGAAAAACAAAATTGACCCGAAGGAAAAAATAGACAACGATGATAAACCTTTATCACGACGAACTGATCGTTCCACTATCAACTTTACACCTTCATCAGTGAGACCCGGTCTTCGCAATTTTGTTCTAGAGAGAAGACAACCAAACAGATCTATTTTTTCACTAAGTTTATTTCTCACTAACAACTGAATAAATCCTTCTGTAGTTATATCATAGTCGACAGGTCTAGGTGGTTTAGTATGAAATTGCAAACTAGCATCAATTCTAGTGCGATAAGCTTTGAAAACATCTTCAGTTGGTGTTTCTGACCAAGGTATAGAATCCATAGCAACAACACATTCAACTTCTTCTGGGTAGCATGCTGCATACTGTATAGGGAAATAAGAGAAGATAGTATTCATCGATATTGAAAGCAGAAACGATACTTACAGTTATGCCATATATCGCTCCATAACTATGACCAAGTATAGAAAACTTTGTTTTCTCCCAACCAAGATCTTCAAGAAATCACACTGTCATTTTTTGAGTAATAAAATAAAGAAGAACTAACTTAGAACAACACAATGAAGATCTTGAACAACATGTGCCATGGAATACTCGCAGCCTTTCGGAAGATGACTCGAAAATCCATGGCCAGCGCGATCATATAAAAGAATTTCGTAATCTGACGACAAAAATAATTTATTGATTAAGTAGAAAGAGAAACACTAGTAAGTTTATGAAATACTGAAGTAGTGTTTCGACCTCCTGGTACCTCACTTACTAGGACGATCTGTTACTAATTTTTCTGCAACCGGTAAAAATGAATTAAGATTATCAAGCCATCCATGAATACAAATTATTTTCTTTGTATTATTGCTACCACCATTGTCTGCTGCTTTATCACTTTTGAGCACAAACCCTTCTAAATTACCGCCCCATATGCATGGAATACTAACATTCGTTCGAAACATTGTTGAATACCTAACATTATAGAGATTCCTGTTAATTTATTGTGATAAGAATTTTTGGAAATTTTAAAACGTTATGAAAATATTGAAAAAAAGGAACACTGGCTACTAGGAATTGTAAGCATTTAAATCTTCAGAGATGATTTTTTTCCATAAGAAATCGTCACATTTTAATCTGGAAAGTACGATATCAATGAAACTGATCATAGAGAAATCGTACTTTTCTGATGTATGTCTGCAAAATTTCAATAGAAAAAGGCATAAAACATAATTAAAGAATAAAGTCCTTACCTCTTACTTGCGCCTAGTCATTTTTTCAAATATTTTTATATCACTCAGTTGACCTCGAACAGCGCTGTCCACTCATTTTGATTGACATCGATACTTTATTCTAGTATTCAATGTCTTTTATAGCTCATTATACACACATCTTAAGGTAATTTGCTTTTTATGAAACCACAGTTGCGAGTGTTTTTCTCTTTCGATATTTTATTCCGTTTTGTGACGGACGAAAATTTAGCCCGGAAGCTAATCAGATTAATGAAATTTGATTCTGCATTTTAAAAGGCCAATGCATTTTTGAATTCGTTGCAGTTTTCAAACTTAGTCTCTTCAAGAGATAGACCCTTTTATACAACATTAATTTTTTGAAGCCTTGACATATCGAAGATATCCAGTAGAAAAATAGTCTTACTGAAAAATTTAGGTTCTACAGCGGAAAATCTTTCGATATCCTCAGATATCCGAGCTGTATTATCTAAAATTTATATTTTTATACTGATGTTTCATGTAGAATAATCGCACTTTCTCACGTTCTTTTATATTTATACACTAGCATCTTTTCCAAAAACCATTCTCTGAAGAAAAATCATTCGTTGGACCTTTTAGTGCAATGTTTGACTGTATTTTCCATTGTTCTTCACACTGAGTTTATTGGCAAAAGTACTATATTGTGTATTAAAAATATCGAATTCAATAGAATGAGTTCCTAGATTCGACTGCGGTGAATTTCGAAGATTATCTTAGATATTTGTCGAAGTATCGTTTCACTAAATCAACAACTTCCTTGGCATTCGTTAGATGAAAGTCATGTGGCCCATTAATAATTGCTAATTCATACTATAACAAAAAGAAGCATACTATTTTTTCCAATAATTGACTTCACTTACATTAGGATTACATTCTTTCAGGTAATCTAATGTCTTTTTATATTTTGACCTATCCGAATTCGAGGCACTATAAAACAGACTAGATTATTATGATTGCTTTGTTAAATAAACCATACAAGATAACAAATATAGATGCTTTCATAGCTTGAGTGACACTGCGAGAAAGTTCATCGGTAAATGGATAAATGGGCAACTACGAAAAGAAAACAAAATTTTTGTAGACTTTTGTTAGAAGTAACTTCGCGGAAATCTGCGAATGAAACAGATCACGGACAGGAAAACTTCAGTAATTAGTAGAGTTAAAATCTAATGTTCTAATTCTGATTCGTTGGTCAACATCAACTTATTTGCCTTTCGACAATATCGGAAATTCCCCTGATGAAAACGATCTATACGGCTGCGTGTAAGAGTATTAATATTTAGTAGCCTTACTACTTTGATTGCTTCATCCATAGTAGCGCTCAGTTTATTATCTAAAACAAAAATTCATGAAAACAAAAACGTAGGCAACAATGATAAACCTTTATCTAGACGGACTGTTCGTTCCACTATCAACTTTGCACCTTCGTCAGTGAGGCCTGGTCTTCTAAATTTTGTTCTACAAAAACAAATCCTATTCATTTCCACATAGTTTATTTCTTACTTACAATTGCTGTAATGCCTCATATGATAAATCATGATGTAAAGTTCTAACTGGCTTAGTATGATATTGTAAACTAGCATCAATTCGAGAACGATAACATTTGAAAATATCCTCTGGTGGTGTTTCTGACGAAGGCACATTATCCATAGCAACAATGCATTCAACTTCTTCTGGATAGCATGCTGCATACTGTATAATAAAAGGGAGGAGACAGTTTTCATCAATATTGATAACAGAAAAGATACATACAACCATTCCAAACACTGCTCCGTAGCTATGACCAAGCATAGAGAACTTCGTTTTATCCCAACCAAGATCTGAAAGAAATCACACTATAAATTTTTGGATAGTAAAGAAAAACGAACTAACGTAGAATAACAGTACGAAGATCTTCAATAACACCCGCCATAGAATACTCGCAGCCTTTTGGGAGATGGCTAGAAAATCCATGACCAGCACGATCATAGGCAAAGATTTCGTAATCTAAGGACAAAAATAATTTATTGATGACGTAGAACAAGAAGGAAAAGCAAACACTGGTAAGTTTCTGAAATACTGAAATAGTGGTTTTACCTTACGCTACTTCACTTACTCGGCCGGTCGTTTACTAATTTCTCTGCAAGTGGTAAAAACGAATTCACATTATCCAGCCATCCGTGAATACAAATTATTTTCTTTGTATCATCATCAAAATCATTGGCAGCTGCTCTATCGTTCTTGATCATAATTCCTTCTACATTGCCGCCCCATATGCATGGAATACTAATATTCGTTCGAACCATTGCTAATGTCTAAAATTAGACGATATAGTTGAAACGGTTCTGAGACTAATAAAAAAGTGTTTGCCACTAGGAAAATGTAAGCATACGGTTCTTTAGAAATTGTCTGATTTAGTCCTGAAAAATAGAATACTAGGGAAGACAATGATGGCAAAACGTTATAGCAACTTCAAATTACATCACTGTGAGCAATCAAATCTATGTTTTAATAAAATTCAATTTTTGTATCAACCTTCAGGGAAGGACCGGCTAACTTTTTTCATTAGAAAAAGTGTCGGTGAGAATGTTTCAAATCTTCAAAACCGCAACAGAAAAAAGAGCACAAAATCATGACTCGAGAAAATAATGTCCTTACCTTATATTCAGTTCTGACTATTATTTTTCTTCGATACTTTTATATCGTTCTGGTGCCCTTGAATGATGCTATCCGCCTATATTGAAACTGACCCAGCGGCTGATCAGATTGTTCGACATCTGTGCCACATTTCAATATGCAATACATTTTATAGCTCATTATGCACACCTATTGAGGTAACGCACTTTATATGAGCTTACTACATGTAGAAAGGTTTTTTTTTGTCTTTAAATTCTATTATGCAACAGCCGAAAAGTTCTATCATACTACACGAAAAATTCATCTGCAGGGTAATTAGACTAATTGAAGTTAATTTTATGTGTCAACAAAATCATATATCTATGAAACAATATTAAATCAGGTTCGACGTTTAACAAATATTAAAAAAATAAGAGAGTATTTTCTAATCAATAAGAAGCTAGGCAAAGTTTATTGGGCATATTTATTAAAATATCGATTGATTTGCTCGAAAATACTGTCAACATGGGTCATATGAAAATGATGAGATCCATCAACAAGTGTCATTTCAAACTAGAATAGAAAAAATAAATAGTTGATTTTATTATTATTAACTGAAAGGATATATTGGTTACTCACGTTGGGATTATGTTTTTTTAATAGTTCAATCGAATTTTTTGGCATCGGCCATTGAGGTTTGACCGTTCTGAGAAACGAAAGATAAAATATATTCAATGTAAAAAATAAAACCGAAGTAATTATGTATACCCGATGAAAAGAACTGGCGCTTGAATAGCTTTAATTGCTTCTTCAGCCATATGTTCACTGAATGGAATTAAGTGTGTCTATAGAAAAATTAAGAAATTAAATTTTCATGTTAAACAATCTTACGAACATTTCTTAATGATTCATCTCGTGTAAAATGTAATTTATCATCTGAAGTATTTTAGAAAATATTCAAGAAAACATTTTTGATAATCTTATTACTAACGTGTATCTCGGCGGACGGATCGTTCAACAAGTAATTTCGCTGATGCATCATCAATACCTATTCTTGAACTTCTTACTCTTCAAGATAATAAAAATCAATGAAAATTATTAAATCTAATTAATTGCTTCTTACAATTCAATTGCTTTCTCATAGGTCAATTCATTTTGATAGGATTTAGGTACTTTAACATGATATTCGATATTTTTATCGATACGAGCAGCAGCATTTTTCCAGAAAGTTTTCGACGATCTTTCGACACCAATGATAGCATCCAGTGCAACGAGGCACGATACTTCTTCTGGATAAGCTGCTGCATACTATGAAATAAAGAAAACTATATTAACAGATGAAAATCAAGCACTAGAACTTTACAGCCATAGCAAGATGTGCTCCGTAACTGTGGCCGAGGAGAGAAAATTTTTCTTTATTCCAACCAAGAGCTAGAATAAAATAGCACAGCAAGATATTCATCAGGAACAATAAAAGCAAAACTCACTTCGCGTAACAGTACGAAGATCGCGTAAATTATAAGCGTATGAATAATCTGAACCTTTATGAAGATGACTGGAAAATCCATGGCCAGCCCGATCGTATAAATAGATTTCATAGTCTACGATAGAATTGTTTACGAATTTGTTTCCTTTTTCGATCGATGTCAAGACTTACTTGCATCGTGCTGCGCTAATCTTTCTGCAATCGGTAATAGGGAATTCAGATTATCGAGCCATCCATGAACGCCAATAATTTTCATTATTGGTTTAGTTGGTGATGCTGTACTTTGATTTTTTAGTAGAATTCCAGCCAGATGACCACCCCATACACATGGAATATTTAGTTTTTTTATCATTGATCTCTAGTTTTTCTTCTGAAAAATAATGAAGAGCAATTCTTTCAAGTCTCGATGCAATCTAATGCATGGCTTTTTAGTCTGCTTAATTAGTTGAAAAGGACATTCTAAGTCAAACGGACCAGAATACGAATTCCAAGATATCGAGTGGCCCAGGTTAAATGTCTCTCTCAGTGTTTTTTCAATAACTTCATCATTTTCATTTTCTAGGCCTTAGTTTTTTTCCAAAATATTTGCCATTCAATTCTCTACAAGATTGATATTACATTTTTTTCTGTTGAAAGTTGAGGAAATAAATTAAACAAAGAATATTCAACAGATATAACAACATCCACTTTCAAAGTGATTTTTAAAACAAACTTTTGCAAACTTTTTATAGTGGCACACAAAACGAAACATAAGCAAAGATGTGACTGAGTACTCTGGTGTACTCTTTCGCGTTGTGTAGCTCAGAACTCATTGAAATCAAATGAAAGATCGAAAAATCTGACTTTTTGAAAATTCTCTTCAAAATAGCTTAAATCAAATATTTAGCGCTAGCTGAATTAAAGAAAAAAATTAAAACTTAAATTTCGCGTTTCACTTTGGTACAGTAGGCCATGTCGATCAAAATGGAAGAAGAACCAATGCAAAAAATGATATTTTGGCTTAGTTGCGCTTCTTTTCCCAGGAGTAGCGAAATTGCATATTGAAAGAGCTAAATTCTCGCAAATCTGAAAGAGAATATACTTACGTTAGAGTGTGCATTATAAGGTTGGATGTGGAAACTTCTCAATTATGATCGGAAGATAGAGCTTTTCAACAGCTACAAAATACCTACATTATTTAATTTTCATCGTCACTGACCAACGAAAAATGTGCAAAAACTATTTTCCAGTTTTGAAAGTTGATGCTGTGATACTTGTTGAATATTCTTTTTTTATTTTTTTTCCTCAACCTTTAACTGAAAAAATTGTAGTATCAATCTTGTAGAGAATTGAATGGTGAATCTTTTGGGAAAAAGAGCTAAGGTCTAGAGAATAAAAATGATGACGTTATTGAAAAAACACTGAGAGGGACATTTAACCTGGGCCACCCGATAGAATTATTGTCTCTTAAGTGGAACTGTCAACATCCGAGGAGGTTCTATCTTGAAAATAAAAGACAACATACAATCATCTAGCGTTTTATTTTTTATCACAACAAATCGAATTTTAAAAAATGAACAAACAATTAATCTGTTTTTTACTGCAATCACAATTTACTATTTATTATCATTCGTGTAGGAGCTTGTTTAAGATATTTGTCAAAATATTGTTCAATGCGTTCAACAACTTTGTCGACATGTGTCATATGAAGATGATGTGGCCCATCGATCAAAGTCACTTCGAACTTAATATATAAAATTGTTAAATTATTAAACCAAGCACATTGATATTACTCACATTAGGAACAAGTTGCTTAAATAAATCAAGGGCTTGATGAGCACGAGGATATTGAGGATCGTTCGCACTGTAAAAAAGAATCTATTATTCTTATTATTTCACCATAGAATCACATACCCAATTAAAAGAATAGACGCTTTTATGGTTCGAGCGACACTTTCAACCATATCAACCGAAAATGGCATAATTGAAGCCTATATAGAAGAAAACAACATCTGTTTGGAGATTCTTTTTTTATTTTTTCCTAACCATTTTTAAGGCGGGATCACGAGTAAAACATAATTTATTATCTAGAAGAAAGAAATTCAATCAAAAGCAAAAAGTAGATAATGAAAAGTAACCTTCATCTCGACGAACTGCTCGTTCAATTAGCAATTTAGCAGCTTCATCAGTAATGCCAGGTCTACCACTTTTCGTACTTAAATAACCAAAGTCGATTATGTTTCATTTTAAATTTTTTACGAACTGTGTAATAGCTTTTTCCAAAGTCAACTCATCCGTGTAGGTGCTTGGTATAGTATTCAAAAAGCTTAAATTATGATCGATACGACGACCGACAGTTGTCCAAAATAATTCTGTAGTTACTTCTGCTCGAACCATAGCATCAATGGCAACAACACATAAGACTTCATCTTGATGACATGTTGCATACTAAATAAGAATGAAATTTATCGTAATCAATATTAATTACAAAAAAAAATGTTACTGTCATTCCAAGCATTGCTCCAAAACTATGGCCAATAATGGAAAATTTTTCTTTGTGCCAGCCAAGAGCTTGACAAACAAAATGTAGCATTACGATTATTCTCAATGATAATAGATAAATACTAACTTTTAATGACTTCACGTACATCTTGAAGACCACATCCATACGAATAGTCGAAACCTTTAGGAAGATGACTGGAAAATCCATGACCAGCACGATCATATAAATAGATTTCATAATCTATTATAAAACAATGAGATTATTCCATTTGTTTTTGGACTAAAGCATACTTCTGTAACTCTCAAGTACTTTCAAAAGAATCTGATGTTTGAATCAAAATTGTTAGGCTGAAAATTTTTAGACCTAGACGCACGCATGTGTAGAAATATGCCTTTTCTTCCGTCCATCTTAAAACTTACTCGGATTATGCTCTATTAATTTTTTTGATACCGGTAATAATGAATTAAGATTATCAAGCCATCCATGAATGCCAATAATTTTCGTAGTTGATCGATTGAATCTATCAGTCACTCCGACATCACCTTGAAGTAATATTCCTGCTAGAGTCCCTCCCCATGCACATGGGATATTTAATTCTGTTACAATCATTTGAATTCTCTAAAAATTAAACAGCAATAAAAATTAGATCGAATTATCAAAAAAATAAACCGTTCGTATTTATCTTTTAAATTCCGAATAGATTCTCCTATCTTACCGTTACACACAAGACCAACAAATTAGTTAAGTATATTAATAAAATACGAGAAAAAATTTATAGATATTTATAATTTCTAAATAATCGCATACAATATTAAAAACGAAAAATATAAACAAAGAAAAAGATCTCTGCGTGAGTTATCTGACAAGCGAAGTTATAAAAAAAAGTATAGTATGGAAAATAAAGGTAATAATACCAACAGTCTTTTTCTAGAAAAAAAACTAAAGCAAAAATTGCCCATGCAACTATCATTATGCAATTATTCTCAAGGCGATAATTTATTATTAGAAAAAAGTAAAGAATTTTCGAGAAAAATAATAGTTTATAAACGATAATGCAGTGTATTAGTTCATTATTGCGTCGGAATATCTGTATCAGTTTACATTGGTAGAACAGATGGCGAATCATGGATGCCACTCGATTGTTTGTATTCATGCAGAAGAACTTGCGCACAGCGGTATAAAAATAAAAGATCATCCTAAATAACATAAAAGAAAAGAATGTTTTTGTATGTAGAAGAAAAATCTTGTTCCTACATGATATCGCCAAATCCCAGGCCGTTTCAAATGATAAATTCTAGCTAATTCATACACATTTAATACACCTTCGATTTCTATTTGTTCGTGCATAGTGTACAAGGCACAAAATATAGCTTAAAAGAAATAATAGATTGATGTATAAGATGCGTTTTTTTTCAATAAAATTTACCAGCACGATGACCCCCAAATAGATCATGTACAACGATGGGCCGATTAGTTTTTAAATCTCTTATTTTATTTATTATATCAAATGACAGTTTAACCGGCGAGCATGTATCCGGCCAATAGGAACAAGAGATTAATTTTACTTTCAATTCACGATTTCCCTGTAAAGTCATAAAACGATTTGAAATATTAATTGAATCAAAAACAAGAGTTGGTTTTCAAACCTCAATAGATCGAAGGACACAATCTCGATAAATATAATCACTATCAAAACTTTCATCAATTAAGCCGATAAAAAAGCCACCACAATTCAATATTTCATTTCCTGCTGGCCAAAAATCAGGTACATCAGGCTAAATATTTAGAAGAAAAAAAACATTTTTCTTTCTTTTCTAATAAAATTTTACCTGTGCCTTTTCATCGGCATATAAAGAAACAATGACGTTTGCATTACTATCCCATATCATTTGCCAAAAATCACCTTTTGTATTCATCATGGGATGTTGAGTTATTATAAATTCATTCACACGATAATAGCCCTAAAAATACATATAGAATAAAAATTCATGGAACATTCAAATCGAAGTCTAAGTTAACTCACATGAATATACGATGCATTGATGTAATCTCCGGGTACCAATCTTTTATATGTAGAAAGTACAACTCGACATACATCTAATGGTAGAATATCTTGATTTCTATTTTTCAATGAATTTTTTTTCATTTGTTCAACTGATGATGAGCCATTATCGGCTACTTTTTGTTCAACAATTGATTGAAATTGTTTTTCTATTTGTCTCAAATTTGAATCTGTATCAAGTTTATCTAGTGTTTGCATAATATTATCAATATTATGTGCATTTAATTCTAAACTCTTCTCGCTAATAGTTAATAGTTGTATGGCTTCGGACAGAACATCGTATATGAAAATAAATTGCTCTTCGTTTTGAACTAGAAAATTTCGCTGCTGTCGAATGTGTTTTAAAAAATTAGGAATATCAATTGACTGCTGTTTGTTGATCTTTTTTAACATTGTATCGATGACTATGTAAGTTCCTGTTCGACCAACACCCGCTGAACAATGAACAACAATCGGGCCATTCGTTTCTGTACTGCAAGCTGATGAACGACGTACAAATGAGAGAACAGGCAAGGTAAACGAAGGTACACCGTGATCGGGCCAACTAGTAAAGTGAAACTGATGAACAAGACGTTCGCAATCAATAAGCTAAATTTAAATGTAGATGAGATTGTTGAAAATTTTCCATAAGATTGAGAAACTGATTACTTGGATGGGATACCGTTTCAGCGAAGCATTTCTTAAACGATACGCCTACGTTTCAAGTCGTACTTTATTCACGAGGGACATTCTAGTTTGGCGTGTTTTGCGTTTCGTGCAAGAATAAATTAATCGACCGTCATTTTGTAGAGCAAGTTAAATTATTTTCGACTCAACCCCAGGCGGCTATTTGACATCTCTTTAGAAATTCGCTACGACCCTAGATAGTTGTCTTGAAGGGAATTAATATAGAAATCTCGAAAAAAAGAGAAAGATCAGAAAATTAAATCGGAAATAATTTCTTCTCAGACGATAACTCATCGGAATTGTTCTTGGCACTAGTTTAACTGTGGACAATTCTTCTCATCATTGCTGATTTAGGGTCAAAACTTTACTGTAAGCATTCAATCGTACCTGGTCATTTGTTTCAGATCGTATTAAAAATACTCGTTTAATATAGTAGGCAAGAGATATTGTGCGTACTAGAGTTACTTGAATAGTTCCGTACGTTTGAGCGCCTTCCTGTGGCCAATAAATGTCACATTTTACCTAAAAATACGTTTGTTTTTATGCCGCCGTTTCATGTTCGGAAAATCTTACTCTCCCACATTCTTTTATATTTGTAATCATGACTAATACACTAACATCTTTTTCCCAAATCATTTTCCTAGGAAAAAGAAATTGATTAAACTAAATTTTACATTTAATTTATTTACCAAAAATCATTCATTGTATTGATCATCGGACCTTGTGTTGCAATATAGGCATTGCCTTTCTCAAATCCCTAAATTAAAATTTTTATTAAAGAAAAATCAAAATTATTCGATTGATTCACATCAATATAATTTGCATTGATGTAAGTTTCTTTTTCATTGTTTTCAATATCCGATAATTTCACACGGGAATGATCATCTAAATATTAACAAATGATTTTATGATTTATAAACGTGATTATCTTTCTTTGCTTACAAGTCAATATATTAACATAACGATTTTTGCATTGATTATATTCGATTTGCGCTATATTAGCAGGAAAATTGTTTGCTTTTGATGATTCACAAATATTCTAAAGAAATTTTAACAATTAGAAGAAAAAATCAACGATTTGATCTTTTACTTCAAATAGTCGAATAAAGCCAAAATCAGTATCTTTATGTAAATATGCTACATACGCTGGAAATCGATAGATTGGAACTGGTTTGGAATCGTACTCTTCTATAGAAACAAAATTGAACAGATAGTGCTGAAAATCAAAAGGAAAAGTATTTACGGTATTCCTTTTCAAGAATTTTGGCAGCATTGTCAATCGAAGGATCGTTTATTTGTACAAAAAATGTATTTCGATTTTTACGAAATATATTTACTTGATTAATTAATGAATTAGGAACAACAACCTGTGCACTTCTATTGGTAGAATAGAATAATTTTAAAGTTTCGTTTTCGAGATTGATTTTCTTACTTTTGATAGACAATAAGTGCTACTAAAATTGCACCGATAATAAAAAACAAAATAATAATGACAATAAAACCGATTATTGCTTTATTAGTTTGATTCACAGGCACTAAAGTTTCAAAAACAAATTACAAAATTTCGAATAAACTTATAAAATATTCAAACCTATTCGATTAATTGAGCATAGAATTGTAATATTTAATTTATCATGTTTATCACTACCAATAAGATTATTTTCCAAAATAACAGAATAATTTTCTGCTACATCAGAAATATTAGCAGTAGTATACTAAATGAAAAGAAATATATTTATCGGCAACTGTTGATTGTTCTATAAAAAAAAATAAGATATTCTGTTATTGTAGAATAGAAAGAACAACAGTGAACTCTTCTCTTAAAAACTTGTCTATTTACAGTAGTCGAACTTTGCTTGTGTCTCATAGAAATAACACGAGTAGTGTGTTAGCTATTTATCTGACATATAGTTTTAACGAGTGATAGATATTGCTGCGAGTTAGAAGCTGGTAATCTTCTACAGAGTGTGGCAAACGAACTTTCACTCTTTTTCGGTAAATTAGGTTTGAAAATTTTTTCTTCAAAAAGCTTTATGAATTCTCGAATAATTTGTTTCCTGTCCGGAGTAATCGCGCCTATTCCTCCTGCTATCGATTGGAATATATTTATGCATGGCAATGCTTAACACATGGAATAATCTACTTTTATTAGACGGATGCCAGCGAAGAATTTCATGGAAAACAGATTTTAAATAATAATAATAATAATAAACTAAAATTCTCTCTGATGCGGCGAATTTATATAATATTAATCATATCGGAGTTTACAGTTGAACTTACTTTATGAATATTATCAATACTTTCTTGAGTAACATGCGTTTCATTTGTTTGATAAAATACATAATTTGGTTTGAGAGTCATTATATGTTTGTGATTATTATGCAAATAAGTATTTATCATTATTTGATATTCATATTGATTTATTGACTTAATGGAGCAAGTTAGCGGAGAATAAATAGGATAAAAATCTTCACAATATTTATGAATTAATCCAAGGAATTCTAATTGCATTGTAGATATAGCTAATTTTATTTTGTGTGGCATACTACTGCCGTTTAAATAATAAATAAATGAGTTCAGGGTTTTCATGAGAGGTAAACTTTGTTCAGGTGAATAGAGATTATCGACTAATACAGCATGATCTTCATTATTATAAATAGTTAAATTATAAATAGAATTTCGCGTGAGAAATCTTGAACGATTCAATTCAATTAACAATAATTCATGATTAATATGATAGCATGATATAGATTGTTGTAACAATTGTCGATCGATTAGTTTGTGTGACGAGAAATTTTCATTTTTTCTTAATGTACGTGCAGTTGTTCGTGTACTTTGACTAGAACGTTGCCAGATATCTATGACTGATATTTCAATGGAATAAACCGTGTTTGGATGTAAAGATGCAAATGTATAAGTTGTTTGCGTATGATTGACTAAGACACGAGATTTTATTGTGTGATTATGTCTAGAAGAAAGATAAATTTTTGGGCGAATACTCAATGGTTTGGTTAGTTTTTACCTAAGAATTAATTCGTAATAGCTTATATTAGCTTTTCGATTGTAATTCTCTTCTTTCCATTGAAGAGTTAAAGTTGTGTTTGTTCGGTGTAGAATAGCAATATGTCGAATAGGTAAAGGACGATCTAAATTGATTTCAATCACTTTAGTAGTTCTTAAGGTCAGAACGACTTGACAACAACAAAATCTATTTGATACCTTCAGCGCAAATTGGGGCACGTTCCAACTCGAGTAATTCGAGTAAGTCATAAGAAACTTTAGATTCGATTTTTAGGAAAAGTTTTCAAGTAAACATCGGGGAATTTGCTTTGCCTTTTCTATCAAACTCATGTGGCAGTATTAATCCTCTTACGTTACATGCCCATCATTAATCTTGTTTTGTGTATATAGAAAAACATCGTAGTATTAATTTTTGCGCTCGTATTTATTGAGAAGACATATTTTTCACAGTTGCTTCATTCTATAGATCATCACTCAAACGAACAAAAAAGTAAACAATTCATAGAGAAAACAGCTACATTGGTCGTGGACTTTGGCAAGTAGGCATGTTAGAGATTGGCATCGAATGATTACAGAAATCTTTGATAGATATTCATGGACGAAATTCGTAATTTCACGGAATAATAGCACTTTGTTTTTTACTTCGCTGATTGATGGAAGTAATTTTTTTCATATAAACATAGGATTAGAAAGAGCTTAAAATTATTATCCTATTTTCTTGATGAATAAATCAACGATTATCTCTTAGATTGAGGGAAAACAAATGCTGTCGTATCTCAAATTCACTGCTCTAGGGCTTCTGCATCATGAAATCCAGTAAATCTAGATTAGACAATCCCCGTCTTCTTATTATTTTGCATCCTTCATTAGATCGCGCTATTAAATGTCTCGCTTATTGTCTTACCATACATTCGAATTTTAATTCGGTATTGATCATCTTCTTCAATTCCTGTTCGTGAAACACTTGAGCAAATTAATTCTCTATCGTACGGTTCGACTCCATTGATGCGATAATATCCTTGATGATCATTTTCATATCGATTGTTAATTGCATCGTACCATTGAATATTAAAACCAGGCTTCAGATCTAATGGACACCGGATAATTGCTGAGTTTGTTTCGGGATTTATAAAAATGGCTTCATTTACTTGATGAATATTTGCTAAAGAACTTAATGTTAATTTGGTCGATAGAAAATTAAATAGTAAATAATAAATCGTATGAAAACAGTATCCATTAAAATCTGTATGATACATTCTAAAATTTAGTTATAAAGTCAATTAAACGAAAAAAAAAACACCTGAAAAAATAAATATCATTCATCATCGAATAGTAGGTAATTGACATTCTATTTTCATTGGCTTGTTCTCATATTCAATTGTAGAGTTTAAGAGTGACGACATCTAACATGAAATTAATACAGACAGCAGGTGTTTGTATATGCAAAGATTCCCGATAATCGATAAAGCAGCTGACTGCCGTTTTTTTGTGGATTTATGTTATAGAATTCGGTTATTTATAAAGAGGTTTGCGTGTTTCAATTATGCTTATTAATAAGAAAAAGAAAAAGAAAAAAAAGGGAAATTCATATTATTATCATTTTTTATTGATGTACCGTTAAGTCCTTCCTGTATTTTACCAAGTCAATTAATATCTATTTTTTTTCTCTTATCCTTAATAATAACGAGCAAAATGATTGTGTTCGAGTTCCATTGGGACTTCCGTTATGAAAAAAAAAAGAACACGACAGCTAAATGTTTGCATCATTTATCACGAAATGTCACTTGTTTAGTTTATGGCCTAAATCAAGAAGATATAACTCGTAGGTTTATTATTAATATTCCAGTTTTGTTTCACTAAAAGCTTCAAGTCGCTTGTACCAGAAACAGAAAATATTTCAAAAAAACCTTAAGTTTGCTTTTTGTTTTTAATCATTTCTTATTAATTGAAAAAATATGAGCTAATCAGAAAGAAGTGATGCCGGTGTATTACAATCTACAAAATTAAACCATGTGTTGGAAAAGGTCAATTATTGTACTTATTAATAATTCTTACACGAGCTGTCTTTTCGGTGAGACATTATGTATAAATGCGTCTCATTAGCAGTTATGCTCTGTTAAATATGTTAATCTTTTCTGTATGACACGATTTGATCTCTCAATTGTAAATATACACAAAGGTAATCGTGAGCGATTGTAAGCTCTTTTCCAGCTGGTACAAAGTATTATCAATTTAGTAAAAAATGAGATCTCTTTTTGTCTCTCTTTTTCTCTTTGAGTTAAAGAATATATCGCATAATTAGGATTGTCATGATACGGAATGTCATCATAGAAGTCGTCTAACCTCAGAATAATAACAAGAGAAAGCGAGAGAGAGAGATAGAGTGAAAGCGTGGTACAAAAACAAACAGAATGCATCGTACATTCTGGTTACTAACAAAGCATTAGGCAGGTCTTTGTCTTGCCTTAGCACTTTGTTCTTGCACGACACAAAAAGATATTAGTCTTTATGCCGTCGCTCCTGTACGTTATTCAAAGGAAAAAAGAAGAAAAAAATATCAGGATACGACAGGAAGAGATGCGTACCCTTCTCTTTCGTGCACTCATATGTTGCACAGGAGTCTAACAAGAAAGAGAGAGAGAGACAGACAGGAGAAAAAAATTACGAATAAGGCTGGCATAGCTGGCGCCGAGATAGATGAGACCGTTAGGACAGCGAACTGCACCACATGCTGAGGATGTCGTCTTCATCTATGTTGTAAGGAATAAATCAAGCGAGAGATTGATGATATCCAGCTAAGATTTGTTTTCTCGCACACCAACCGTTCGTTCGTTCGTTCGTTCGTTTTCTCCTCCCTCTTATTTATATTTATATTAGTATGCTTTCATTTTAGAAGAAGAATTAGTTTTGGTAACAACGACAATAATATCTCTTATCCCGGAAATCACATTTCAAATAATCAATTCATATTTATTCTACGAAAGTTCTATTCGCATAGAAATACAAGAATGAGGTAAGACAAATAATTTATACATCGAGACTCATTTCATAGGATTATAGAGTTCGAGAAAGAGAGGGAAAAGAAAATATGTATATACATACAAAGATTTCTCGTGAGATTTATTTAATATACAGTTAATAAACATAAAGCAGTTGCTTAGCCATTGCCATTCTCATCAACCTTTACCACACAATATACATAATCTTTCGTAATCATAACAGCGAATAATGCATTACAACTCTATCTATTGTCGTCTACGTAAAAGAAAATCTATTTTTAATGTTCTATTTCTCGTTGATAAGTTAATTCTTGAAATTATCCACTAAATCAATAACTATAATTAACAAAATTTACTTTATTATGAATGCCTAATGTCTCCTATGACAATTAAAGACGCTTTTCATGCTGCGCGAATCACCGCAAAAAATAAAAAGGAAATATTTTGTTTTCAATGTGTATTTTAGCGTATGTACAAAATGTACGACTGCATTTCCAGCTGGATCTCGTGAGTGTCTGTCTGTTTGTTTGTTTGCTTTAATTAATTATTTTTTATTTATATAGGCATTACAGAATTCGATGGTAAACAATATCATGTATGCTAATAGAATAACAATTAAAAATGAATTGTAAAAAAGAATAACTCTTTTTTCTTTCTAGCCGGAATGTTTTTCTTGCGTTGATTGTAAGAAAGGAATTACATCGCAATTCTATCCATTTAATAGTGACTATTTATGTGCGGCATGTCATGAACAACGTTTTCCACGTAAACGTTGCGGTAAATGTAACGCAGTGATTACATCGGCCGGTATTACATTTGCTGGCGCTTCTTATCATGCGGCTTGTTTCTTATGTATGTATGAAAGAAGGAAAAGTTAATTTCGATTATTCGACTTTAAAAATTAGTTATTTCGCTTAAACGAACACTGTTTTCCATGTAATTTGATTTCTAAGACATGAAAGAAAAAACTATGAATAGGTTTGCGTTCATAACCTTTTGACGGAGAGCGCTAGATGTTTTTTTTGTTTTACTCATAATGCTTTAGACATGCCAATAAATCTTAATAATATTAGAAAGCAGGGTGAAAGTAAAGCAGCGTTCGTTGAAACATCATTTTTATTATCAATTTTCATGCCGAAATCAACCGATATAGTTTCTTCAACTATAATGATCTTGAAGGAAATTATCCTAACCTAAATTATGATCATTAAAAAATAAGTACTCTATTTTTTTCCAAAAGAAATCTCCAGTATTAATCGACAGTAATTGCGATTCTTCTCGAATCGGTAATGGAAGCGCGCCATTTTTTTAAATGTCTAGTTATAGGAATTTCAAGGCCAAATTAAATCATTTTTTCTTAAACTTCTAGGTGTAACATGCAAACAGCCAATATCGGCTCATTCGAAAATTTCAATGGTCGACGGTCAGCCTTGTTGTGCTAAATGCTATGAAGATTCACATGCAAAACGGTGTAGTCTTTGTCAGAAACCAATTATTGCCGATGTTGAATATCTTGAATTTGAAGATAAATATTGGCATAAAGAATGTTTTACATGTTCAAAATGCCAGGTATTAAATTGGGATTTATATTATTTTTGTTATGTTCACTAAATTTTCTATTTTTTTTACACACTGTAGAAATGTATCGCCGAAGAAAGTTTTTATCAAGATGGAAATTTAATTTTATGCAAAGATTGCATTTAATTATTTAAAAAAAGACAACAAAAAAGGAGAATATCGAAACTTTTAAATCAATTTATCTGTTTTCTAAAATTTCATGTGTGTGCATGTGCGTGCGTGTTTGCTTTCGAAATACTGCTATTGCTTATACTATTCGCCTTTCTTGATCGTACCCGACTACATTTTATTTTGGCAATTTTATGATGCTTTATTAGTCTTTTGTTTCTGTTTGTGGAAAACAAGATCGACTTATAGACTCTACCATTGTAGTGATTGAATCAAGTATTCTGCAAAAATCATGCGCTTTAAAATACATCCTGCTGTTATTCTTTTTCTATTCTTCAAAAATCTTATTTTTCGAATTGTAAATAAACTGCATTCTTCAATCATACACATATGTCATCAAATGAAAAATCGGTTGCCTGTCTGTCTGTTCTACATGTATTTAATAAAAAAGCGAAAATTCATTTTAGTATAAATGAATCGAACAACTGATGCATACATTTTTGTTGAGGACATCAGTAGGATATTGTATTCTTCAATGGCTGTTGAAGGAATCTGTTGTCAGCGTTTATATATTCAATTTGAAGGATGATGTCAGTCAATAAAATATTTTTTTTCATTAACAAACAGGCGTATGACAGCTCTGAGTTCTGTGCAACGGAAGCAACATGTATGATACAGTACTGGCAAATTCTTTGTTTCTTATGCGTGAGTCGAATGGGACTTTTGTCTTTTTTCCCTTCTAGCTCTAGTTGAAGAAGATAAAAATAAAACGTTTCCGAAGCTTATCTCATATAATATGGACAGATGACCTATATTTTCTTTTCACAAGGAATTAGCTGTTCGAATTGCTTAGACGAAGTCTGTTGCATACCAATCAACGAGTCGTAAATCATGTTATTTTCTATCTTAGATAACTGAAAGCAAAAACTTCCATATTTCAGTGCGCATTCGTATTAATAGGACAGGTCGATGATGAATCTTGAATTCTGTCATAGTTTGCTTTGTACGACGATCGAAAGGCAAGTCTAGTCAATGCGCTTGAGCGTAAATCGAATAGAAACATTTTAGCAATCGATTCACAGTCAACAATTTTCTGGAAACACGCTTTTATTCTTCGCTTCCTTTCCATTTTGATATAATTCAAGTATTCTTGCATTATAAATTAATCTATCATGCGTGCATAATCACCCATTATACAATTTCCAAACGTAAAATGGTATTCTCGCCATCATATAACCATTCAGAGTGAATATCAACACCAAAAAAAGAAAGAAATGCAAGCAGTTGAGAGGCTTCGAAAAAATATGCAATTTGTATTTTTATATCTGATTTTATTTCAAAGAAACCTTCTTTCTCTTGAATATTTGTTCATCAAGAAAAATGATTTTTCCACTCGAATCTTTGCTATACGCTAACAAATATCATTTAATATACTTTTGATTCTATCTGATTATTTCAAAACACGCACACTCAAATTATTTAAGAAAGAGGAAACGATTGTCAAATTCACCATAGAACAAAACAATACTAAGAATTGTAATTTTAAAGTCCATTGGTCATGCTTGTACTTGAATAAATATTTCCATTGTTGTTTATTGGTCCGTTCGTTTCTAAACACTTTGCTATTGATATATTTGGTACAAACCAATTTTCGACTAGACTATATGAAGCATCATGATCTGAATTCGACTTTTTTTCATATGTTACATTTGTATGTAGCAATTTTCCATGACATCCATTTAATAATAATTGCGCTAATTCGTCTCTTAACATTATTTGACGTTCAATAGGAATATAAAAATAATCATCACAATAACTAACAGCCAAGCCCATTTTTCTCGCTTGTTTAGCAAGGACAATACGTTGTAATTGATCGAATGGTTGACATGAAATAAGTTTATCGTCGACTGGAAATGTACATTGGCATGAAATATTATTTGGATCTGTATAACTTGAAATAATCTTTAAAAATTTCTTTCCAATAGGTTCAATATGAAATAAGGATATTAATTTTAATGGACCAATCAATGTTAATATTTTTCCACCTTGACTTAGACTTGATATTAATGTAAAATTTAAGCCGATTTCTAGCTGTTTCTTATGTTCATTGGTTGTATTTAAACGATTTTCTATTTCATCTACAAGTCGATCAATTTGATAATATTTTGCTTCTGAACAAAGTTGTTTTAATTCAGTAAAATTTTCTGGTAAAAGCAACTTTTTATCACGAAAATAATTTAATATATAACGAAAATATGTTCCATCGCGATCAATAAAATAATGGCCATTTTTATCTAACTGTGTTGTTGTTCGATTTGATATTATTAAAGATAATAATGATTGTGAATCAACATTGTCATTGATGGTTAAACATGTTGTTGAATAGATATGACCACCAATATTGAATGTAACAATATCATCCTTGAAGTTTTTCTTTTCGTCGTCGGCGCATTTGAATATGAGCGACGAGACAGATAAACTCCGGGGTGCAGGAACCGGCGGCGGTGGCGACGGCATCCTGAAAATATTCTGGAATATTGACATTCAGAGACTCTGAGAAAAGGAGAAGCGAAGAACGACAACTAGGTTTCTTTTCTTCCTCTTTTCTTTTCTTTTTTTGTTTTTTCTCTCTTGTTGTTGTCGTCTTCTTTTTCTGATAGTACTGCGAAAAGTCCCGTTGGTAGCAATTAGAGAAGGACGTAGTCTTTTTTTCTTTTCTTGCTCTCTTGAAAAAAGGCTGCTATCGTTATAGATTGATCATTATCAACATAATAGAACAGGAAAACAAATGAACAACATGAAAACAGAAAAGAATGGAAGAAGAAATATCTGTCGAACGTCTGCTTTCTTTTCCACTCTATTCAATTATTCGATCACTAGTAGTAAACGAAAGATATTACATCATAGAAAACTATTTGAAGTACGACGTTTGTTCTTTCCTTTTTTTGTTGTATCATTGAGTCTGTTGATCAAATGATACTTAGCAGCGAGAGGCACTAATATATATATATATATATATATAGATAGATAGATAGATAGTTTAGGAAACGCTCGATTCAAAGAATACATTGAAAAACTTGTATAATCGTTTATATGACAACGGCTTGATCGAATTACGAGAGAAACGAGTGAATCGTAAATAATGCTCGAATGCACAACTATATACATAATACACACTGACTTTTATTACTTTAGCTCTTCTTTTTTTTCCTCGTTCGCTTTTTTGATTTTTTTCTCCTCTTATTCTCTTTCGATCAACATACTCCTATAATTACTCTCTTGAACGACCTTGACAGTCGTCGAGACATGAGGAAAAGAAAAGTACATCATACTAATGAAACTTTTGATCATATAGATCTAATATGTGCGCGAGTTCAATAAGGATTCATAATCAAATACAACTAGTAATCATGAAGTTCTTCGGAATCAGTCAACAGTTTGATGCGGAGGAAAGAATAACCTTGCAGCTGTCGCAATTCTCCCCTACGCCATCGCCGCCGCCGCCGCTCCGTCTCTATCCCTGTGGTATCATATATACACAAGGCCGTATTGTAAAGGCTCGTCTTCACAAGCAAAAGAAGGAGAGATTGACAGAGAAAAAACGACGAGAGTTTTCCTTGGCGTAGTTTAGGATATTAGTCGAGACAAAGAAAAATCAACAGATGATAACAGAAAGGCTAGAGATAATCAATGCAGACAAAAAAAACTCTAACAGTCGTCTAAACAAGGACAAGAACAATTTAAAGGAATATTTTTTTTCAATAATTGTGATGTAGTCACTAACAAGAATCGAATAGAAGAACAGAAATATATTTATATACTTGTTGTTTCTTTATTCATTTCATTTCTTTTACAAGTATGTTGTTACGGTAAATAGCAGGTAATCTGAACTCGAGGTTAAATCTCTTCAATAAAAAAATACATGAAAACAAAAACATTCTATACTTTTTTCCTCTTACCTTTTTCTCTTTTTCTATACTATAAAATTAAATGAGTGTCCAATCTTGTTCGCTTATATATTGTATATACCAGCAAATCTTATCTCGCATATAAATATATATATATATATATACCATCTTTTTTTGTCATCAACAACTACCTTGTCTTGTAGAAGTATGCGTGCACTTAGATACATACATATTATAAATATGTATTGGAGGTCAAGGCAGAAGAAACCTCGTCGGTCTATGTACAACCTTGAGAATGATTAGTATGCATGTAGCATCAATAAATCTACATCTGTATATTGATAGTCAACGTTCAGTAACAGAGAAGACAAATATGTATTTATTTTAGTTTTTTAAGAATCATAACAGTACAACATGCTTTATGTAATTATTTACAAGTAAATCTATATGAGTAGTCTCATTTCAGCAAAATTGATCACTCTTGAAGGTTGATTCGATGGAGCTTTTTTTTTTTTACTATCGCTTCTTTTCTAATATTCTTCGTCTAGAATAATCAAATAGAAAGATAAATATTCATGATGTGCTTTTTTTTCTATCTACCTGTGATTTCTATGGTCCATTGTGGATATTGTTTCTTGAGAATCTCTACTGTTTTATCATGATCAGCTCGACCGAAACCCTAAATTGAAATTTATTTTTAATAAAATTCAAAAAAAAAAGAGGTTTACCATAGAATAGCCATAAACTGATATGATTCGTTTTTGAGGATTAACGCGAATACGGCCACCACCTTTACAATCTAATTTTAACTTCGCTTTATCAATTTGTTCTTCCATTATATCGAGAACATCAGCTAAATGAAAATAAGTCGGATTCTAATCGAATTTATACGTTGATTTTTCTCTCACCATGGAAACCACAGGCGGCATCACCACGAACAACAAGTTTTGATTGATTAAAAGTTGTTCCACGATCGCGAACTTCAATCAATATGTATTTAAAACAACCAGCTTCGCCAATATCAACATCAGGTACATCCGAAATCTCTCGGAATTTTTTACTCATTGATAAATCTATCCAAAATTGATGGAGAATATATTTTTCTTGAAAACGTTTTGCATATTGTAAAAGTTCGAGGCTACTACGCCGTTTTCTACAGCGCTCTTACGTTTCAGGTGACATTCAACAAGAAAAAAAACTATTCGTGCGGCGCAATAAACATTTATGCACCTTTGGTTTGCTTTTCTGTTTCTATAATACTGAGAAAAAATTCAGAGGTGCATCTTTTTATACACAAATACAACTCAATTAAGACTGAGATGTGCCCTTCAAGGCTGACATACACATCTATATGTTGTTAAAGACGAACAGGTATATTTTTTTCCGACGCAAATAAGTCGTTTTGTTACTTTTTATACATACATCAAGTGATGTACAGGTGATACAATAGAATGGACGATTCTCGAATGAATTAGTCCAAAGATCGATAGGTTAAAAAACAAGTACATATTAAATGTGATCAAGGGAAATCAGAAAGATTCTAATGAGTAAAGAAAAAAAAACCAAGGTCTCTAATTATACTGATATTTCAAAGTCATAGAATGACTATAAATATTTAGAACAAAACGTTCTTTATCGTTTTTCTATATTGAGTACATCTATTTTTACAGGAAAATAAACATGTACATTCTATCACAAAATTTTCTTTTATCAAAAAAACACACTTTGTTATTAAATGCGTCGTATAACGCTGAAAGCCGGCATTAGAATCTTGCAAATTTCGAACCATATCGATCTTGACCTATCTGTTTTATCATAGTAATATTCTTTAGCTACATATAGGCCCATGGCTCCGGCGCATCCAGTTGCCATTAATGTCGATCTCGTCATCATAACTATTCCGCTTTGTTTCCATGTTAAACTGCCACATAGAAATTCTCCCAGCGGCAACAAACAATAAAAACTTATTGGCGGAGCGTAAAAAAGTTCATTAAGAAATATAAAAAAATAGATAAATGTTGAGATCGAAGCATAAAATGTAAATGAAAGAAAGCAATGCACGTTACAATCGGCAATACAACGATTGACGAGAAAACAATGATGAAATCGATCAGAAAAATGAAGTAAACAAATAGGACATTTATGACTTGATATTAAAGACGATGGAAGAATAGAAGCAACAAGAAAAATTGCTAATTGATATTGAATGAAAATCCATGTTAAAACAAAATAAACATAAGGATTCAGCGATGTTATCGATGAAAGTAAATAAAATAAGCCATGACTATAGACTAGTAAAAACCAACGACCAATTCTACTGCATTGTAAGAAAAATTCAGGTGTTTTCGCCAGGCTTAAATACTAATCTGAAAAGAAAAAGATGTTCAATGAATTTGATTTTATCTTTTCAACAAAAAAAAAACAGCAACAACCTTCGCACAAAAAAAAACAAATCAAAACAAGATTTATTAAGCTAGTGCATCAACAAGTGCATCTTTTATTGTTTTATTTGTTGCTGTTGTTGTTGCGCCAGTCAGATTGTGTTGTCCCAATTTGAATACACTTTCGATCACACTGATTTCATGAGCTGTTGTATCCAATCCACAAAAACCTATCCAATCATTAGCTAATAGGCCAGCACCGATAACATCACTGCCACGATTAACTGTTCCAGCTACAAGTGGAACTTGTAATAAAGACGATAGTTCTTCTTGTTCTTGTACGGATGTTTTCGGATGTACAATTCCACCTTGATTTGTAAACACTGAGTAACTACCAACAAGAACACGATCAGCTATCGTCTGTCGGAAACATTCAACATTTAGTGTATCGGTTAAAATTTGTTCAGTTTCTTTATCTAAATCGGGATGAATTAATGCAACGTAATCATTACATGCAATAACATTTCCCAATGCCGATAAACGTTCTTCACAACGTCTTAAACGAACATTGTCTGGTAATGAATTACGAATATGTTGTAATTCTGAATCCGTGGTTGATGCTGGCACAAGAAGACCATGACGATTGCCAACCGTTAAACGACCAACAATTCGACAATCACCTAAATAAAATTAATTTGTTTGAATTAGGACAACAAAACAAAACGCATTTTTTTACCTATCGACGAATGTATAACGGGAATATGATCATGAAGTTCACTTTCGAATGTTGAATAAAAATTTTCTGATCCACCAATACCAACAAGACAATAAGCATTTGTTACGCGAGCAAAAACACCGATGTCATTACTACTTTCGAATTGTGCACGGACAGCCATGGCAAAAAGTTTTAATTAAAAAATGAAGATTACTCGCTAATCTACAAAGAATGAATAGAAATTTTAATTTTCCGATGACTTGTTTGTTTTATCATTCGAGTTTCAATTGTAGAAAAAAGAAGAACGCAATAAAGATATCCATTGTTTTCCCTCTCGAATAATGAAGTTATCCATCTTGATATATGAGCAGCAAAACAGTAAAAGTAGAAACAAAAAAAAAAGTGATATCTTCTTGTTAACTGAGTTCAAATTTTCCAAGAAGAGAAAAAAACAAATAATGACAAACAACGACAACAACAACAAACAGTAAATTCAATGAAATCGTTCTATTTTTATTTTTGTCATTCATCTAACGCCGTTGGTAAGTCGTTCGTCCAGTACCAGTTGTTGTTTTACGTGAACCACTATTACCAGTTCCACGTTTTTTAAGTGGTCCTTTAACAAAAGCCCAATCCACATGAAGTGTATGACCGAGTAAATCTTGTCCGTTAATTCCTTCTAAAGCTTCTTTTGCTTCTTTAAATGTTTCATACTCTACAAGTGCGTAGCCTTTAGCGTAGCCAGTTCTTCGGTCCAAATTTAAATGCATATTTTTAATAGTTCCATATTCACGAAATAAATCATACATATTATCTTCTTGTGCTTCTTCATGTACATTTGTTATAAATAAAATCCATCCTTCAACAGATCTAGCTGGACCCGGATTTCCACTATCGTCAGTTGTAACTGTATCATAATCGCCTGTTTGCATTGCTAAACGATCACTTTGTTCGTTGAAACCACGACCTTTTCGATGACGAGCATTTGATTTAACTTGATTGATAGCATCATCATCGTCGTGATCGCCAACTATGATATCATTGGGATTATCCATTGTTTCATCTTCATCTTGTACTTCGACTTCAACATCGGCATTACTCATTTTTTTGAGGAAACAGTTTACTTTATTACGAATGAAGTAATAAATTGAAATGTAAAGGAAACAAAATCAACAAATAAACAAAGAGGATGAACATGGCGAATAAGAGTAATGACGAATATAATTTTTTTATTTAAGAAAAACTCTTTTCATATTAAAAATTTAATTAATAAGAAAAAGAAACGTTGAAAAAATTCTTAAAGAAAAAAAAAGAGACAGAAAAATAACTACCGACATCTAGTCGACGATTGATTGGTCGTCTGCATTGAGTCGATTTCTCTCAAAAACTATTTTGATTTCAAATGTGGTACTTGGCAGCACTTTTAATCTCAATTCAAATAACTTTAATCTTTGCTCAATCTTCACCATTATTACTACTTGTTTCATTGGATGGTTTTCGTCATGATTATCCGAAAATTCACGGACCCTTAAAAAACTTTCGTCGATTAGAAGAACGTGGTGTTCATGCACAAAATATGATACCAAGTTTTGTTACAGCAACGTTTCCTAATCATTATACGTATGTTTATTTTGAATTTCAAGACATTTAATATAACATTTCATGTCGAGTTGAATTCTGTAGAAGAAGATTGTAATAAAAAGTTTTCATTGATCATTAATCTTTTCTAGACTGTAAATGTAAAACTTCTATGGTAAGTAGTATAATTGTGTTTCACTTGTTTTTCGTAAAAATCTATGTGTGCTTTAATATAGTTGTATACGCATTTATTGATGATATACTGATACTAACGGGGCGTAAATCACTTTAAAGTTGAGACTATGAATATAATTCAGACTGAAAATCGATTAGCTAGACTCCTGATTGGTAATAATTTATGCGATTTTTATCTTGGATACTGCTATTAGTATGGTAACGGGTCTCTATGAAGATGTGCATGGTGTAGTATCAAATCAAATGTTTGATCCGAAAACGAATGTCACGTTTGATTCATCCGGTAACATGACGAATGGTGATTGGTGGCCACATCGAACAATATGGTCTATTAATGAAAAACGAAGCGGCGCTCGATCCGGTGTTGTTGGTTGGCCACAAGAGCCAATTCGTATTTCCAAATTTCAACCCTTTAGTCGAAAAGTTCCTTTTCGAGATTTGATTGATCAAGTTCTACATTGGTTTAATGATCCAAACGAACCAATTAATTTTGGTTCTATTTATTTTTTTGAGCCAGATCTAACGGGTTCGTTTTATTCGATATTTTATTATAGAAAATAATCTGCTCGTATTCAGGTCATAAAACTGGACCCTATTCACAGAATATGACGAAAGCAGTCCGTGATTGTGATGAACATTTAGGTTATCTATTAGATAAAATAGATGCAAATGAAAACTTACGTAAAAATCTTCATTTAATTGTTGCATCTGATCATGGAATGGAACAAGTCAATGGTACCGATCACCCATTATATATTGAAGATTATATTGATACTAGAAAAGCTAAAGCATATGGCATACCACCAGCTATGAATATTTTTGTTGAATCAAGTAAAGTTCGTTTTAATTTCATAAAAAATAAAATGTTTACTCGGTTTCCAACTAGAAAATGATATTGATCTTGTTTTGAAAAATCTATCGAAAATTCCACATTCGCAAAGTTACAGAAGAAAAGATATACCTGAACGATATCATTATAAAAATAGTGAACGTATTGGCGATATATTACTTGTGTTCGAGCCCGGTTATGAAATTCTTCGTGATCCACGTTGTATGAATATACGTTCTTTTGTAATTTTTGTCTTGTTTTCTAACTGATTTAGATATAAAGATGGTGGAAAAAAATATGATTTGAGTCGCACTCATGGCAATCATGGATATGACAATCGACATGATTCTATGAAAGCAATATTTTATGCAACTGGACCACAACTAAAACAGAATTTTACATTAGACAATTCGTCGACATTGTACAATGTTGATCTATTTGGATTGATGTGTCTTCTATTGAATATTGATGAATGTCCGCCATCAAATGGATCTTTAGAAAATATTAAATCATTCTTAATCGATCCAATCAGAGTATCAAATATGAATAGACGTTTACAACGGACAACTACTGATTTTGTTATTTATTCCATCGATAAGACTTCTATGGATATAAGAGTGGGTATTTTATTTTTTCTTCTAGCATTGCTTGGTATTGTTTTAATTGTTATTATGGCGATTGTATGGTCGGTGACTTCACTGAGATCTATGTTCGTTATTCGTAATAGCTCATGTAACAATCCAGCAAAAAATATGCAACATAACCAACATGAATTCAGCCCAATTAATAGACACAATCTAACTTCGCAAGTTGATAATGCATAAGTCTAATTTCGAACTTATCTTTTCGTAGATTCGCAATATCGTATATTTGTGTTTTGTTTTATTTACTAATTTATTAATTTTATCTATCTATGTATTGAAGTAGCTAAGGAACAAAAATATTGATAAAATGATTTCGGCGATAGTCATTATTAATTTTCTAATCCAATTTAGATCATAAAAAAATCAAAATATGCGACATACGGCCAATATTTTTACATTGATCTTCATTATTTTTCTTTACTCAACTATTTATTGTTCATCCGTGCCGAATGAAAGTTTATCAGCTCCACTTTTACTATTAATATCATTCGATGGATTTCGTTGGAATTATCCCGATTTGTATCACTTACCTAATTTTAATTTATTGTCCAAACGAGGTGTACGCGTTAAATATATTCAGAATAATTTCGCTACTTTAACATTTCCTTTGCATTACTCCATCATTACTGGACTCTATGAAGAATCTCATGGTATTGTTGGTAATACGATTTTTGATCCAAAATTAAATGCTGTAACAACGCTTGATACAATGAATGATACTAGATGGTGGTAGGTATCTATTTGAAGGATGGATGTACATACACTCTATATCGTGTCATTTACTTTTTGAAGGTCGCAAAATTCATACTCTCAACCGATATGGACGAGTAATGAATTAGCAAATGATTCGTATCAACGACGATCTGGTGTCATCGCTTGGCCAAGTATTGGAACGCCAATCAATGGTCATCTTCCAGTTCGATATCAATTATTTAATTTAACTCGTAAATTTGATTCAATTCTCCAACAAATAATTGATTGGTTTCGTGAACCTGCTGAAAGTCGCATTAATCTTGGCGTTGTTTACTATCCTGAACCTGATATGACTGGTAAGAATAAACTTTTGCAATAATTATCATTTTGACTTTACTTTCCTTTTGTTCTAGGTCATCATCATGGTCCAATATCCGATGAAATGAATAAAACATTAAAAGAATGCGATGATTATGTTGGTCAACTATTAGCAATGATCGATATCGATGAATATCTAAAAAGAAATTTGAATGTTATTATTACATCTGATCACGGAATGGAATCAATAAGAAAAAATCGTACAATTATACTTGCAGATTATATTGATACAAAATTATGCTCAGCATATGGTAGTCGTTCGTCAGTGAATATATTTGTTCCTTTAGGTAAATTTTGATTATAAAAGTAAATCGAAAAATATTTTTGTTTTGATTAAGAATCCAATATTAATCGTATTTATGCGAATCTCTCAACTATTCCGAATTTTGAAGTTTATAAAAAATCTCAAATACCTGATGAATATCATTATAAATCAAATATACGCATTGGTGGTAAGTCGCGGTGACAACACTTTAACTTTATAGAAAATTGAAAGTTTATTCTATTCAGATATTTTATTCGTTGCTAAAGCTGGTTACGAAATAATTGCACCGGGAGATAATGCATCGATTGAGTTACTTGGTGATCATGGTTATGACGATCGTGTGGAATCAATGCATGGAATATTCTATGGGTTTGGCCCTGCCTTTCATGAAAATATGCAAGTAGAGCCATTTCACACTGTCGATATTTATCCGTTAATGTCTTATATACTTAAATTGAAAGAAAGAAAAACAAATGGTTCAATAGATAATGTTAAACATATTCTTCGACATCACATAAATAACGATTTATTTGATGAAATTAGTGTACTTCTTTCGAAAACGACATCGTATGTTACAAGTTGGGGATTTATAAGTAAGATAATTTAATAAAAGTTCAATGAGATCTAGTTCATTTTTTTATTTTAGCTGATGGCTGTGTGCTGTTGGTAATTTTAATTAGTATTGTTTATATAATAGTTGCGTTCCGTCACTCACGACAATTGATTTATGCTGAACCTCAATTTCCTATTCGTTATCGTTTATTAAGTAATGATGAAGGATCAAAAAATAATTTTTTTCCCGATGCCAGCGACAATGAAGAACTTGAATAGACATAAATAATTTGTTGTGATATATTTTTTTGTCTTGTTTTGAATTCCATATTGGATACTGGTGACCATTGTATTCTTCGAAAGATAAAATAATAATAATTTTTCTCTTTATCTATTTGTTCGAGTAAAGAGAGCGATATAGAAATGGGGATACTGCAATATTTTCAAAACTTTTAGAACTGTGTTCTAGATAAATTTTGAAATGAATGAAAAAATCTCTCCGAAAAATGATGATACAGAATTTCCACCTTCTCATTCAAAATATGTTACACATCGAGCAACATTCGGTCAGGTACGTGTCGATCGTTCTGCGAAATCAGCAGAACGTCAAGCAGTGGAATTATTATACAAAAATTATGATCCAGCTAATGAAGAAAATCAAAAATTTGATGCTCGAATATGGTCGCTGGTTGACGAAGATAGAAAAACAAATGAAAAAGATATTGATTTCTATGGTTTAATCAATGCACATTATAGAAATATTATTTTTGAAAATACACTATCATCGCCAAAAGAAGAACTCTCAGATAATTACATCGATCAATTAGCTTTTCCTGAATTAACAACTAAAGCACCGAAAATAAAATCAGCAAAAATTAAAAAGGAAACATTGAAAGAATTGAAAAGTGAAGAAATGAGTTTTTTTGATGAACAATATTTTGGTACATTGAAACAAATTGAACATCCAGATGAACAAACCTTACCAACGAAGAGAATTGAAATGCCACCTAAAGACGAATTGAATTATATTGATCAACTTGTTTTTCATTCGCCTACTTCGCTCGAAGAAGGAAATATACAAATTAATAAACATGTTTCTCAACCGTCGGAAAAGAAAACAAAGCCTCAAAAGGTAATCTCTGATAACCAAACGAATGCACGTCCAGATAAACTTCTTGATATAAACTTTCAATTTCGCATCGCTCCTTCTCCTACGCCACCGCAACCTGTAAAAAACCCTACACCCAACAATCTCAATGAAACACCTACGGATTCATACAATGCAAAGCTTGAATCCATTCGTAGCATAAAACCAAAAGATTACTTCGATCCACCGCGTCAATCATCTCTCGACATACAAAACAACAAAGATGTCGATTCAGCTAAAACAGCGGCTGCATCCGCTGGACATATTCGTGAACAATTAACAAAGAAAAGCAATGTTCGAGATAGTCTCGGCTATCGAACCTTTGAGAATCTTATGCCAAAATGGTGGACCATGACTAATGCAGAAATCGTCGATATACTAGTCAAACAAATCTGTTTCATACGACGTAAGAATTTATTTATTACAAAAAAAGTTCACTTTATTTTTTTGATTTAGACGGTATTCTTGCATTGGATAAACCCTATGGTCTTCCGACAATAGATAAGTAAATAGCATTGACAATTTCCCTCAATTTTTGAGTTCATTTTTAGGTGGGCCAGGAGTTCAAATATCTGTTGGTGAGTAAATTAGGCATGAATACATATTCTCGATTTGATGTTTATATTAGCTCATTATATACCACAAATAATCGAACGTTTAAATAATCCTGAAATCAAACAGCTTCATTTATTACATCGACTTGATAAACAATCAACTGGTGTTTTACTTATGGCTTAGTAAGAATATACTTTTTATCCATAACAGATTTCATTATAGATTTGATTTAGTACACCGGAAGCTGAACAGCGACTACGGCAACTTATGCAAGAACGAAAAGTTATTAAACAATATTTAACTATTGTTCGTGGAGTACCAAAACCATCGGAAGGTAAGAATTGATGATTACAAATTATTATAATTTTCTTTTCTTCATAGGTGAAATCACGATACCAATTGTTGAAAGAAATATTCGTGGAACATATAAAATGATGCTCTCACCTGACTATAACGAACTGACAAAATTAGTCATGCCTAAAGTTAAACGTAATCATATAGATAGTTCAGCAGCAATAACAAAATATCGTGTTATTGATTCGAATTATGGCGCTTCATTAGTAGAATGTCAACCAATCACAGGTAAATTCCATTTTTACACAAGGACGTAGGTGCACAAACACCCATTTCTTCAGTTGTCAAACATCAAATTCGTACTCATCTAGCTCATGCACTCGGAACACCTATATTAGGCGATCATAAATATTCTCATTATGCTAAATTAGCACCACAAGTATGTCGAAAATTTCTTTTTCAGCTAAAGTCGTCATTGTCTTTTCTTCATTCTGTAGAAACTACCATTTGTAACATTAAAACAATTAGGTGTACGTCAAGCAAAAGTCCGTACGATTCCATTGTGTTTACATTCATATTCAATCGCTATACCAAATTTTCTTCAGCATCAGCAAAATATATTTATTCGAGCTCGTCTATCACATCATTTACGTTATTTCATACAAGGTCTTCGACTACGAATGATTAAATAGATATTCTTGTTGTCTTCTTTTCTTTATTCTAATAAAAGAAGAAAAAAAAATCCGAGTCTAGATAATATTCATGACTGGTGCAACATCTAAATAAACGAAAAGAATTTTAATTTTCTCTTATATAATTTGAAAAAACTTACGTTCAAATTTAATTTTTTCTACTATATTTCGAGACTTGATATTTTCCTCGTGATTAGCAATCCAAATAAAATTGACATCATCAGCAGCTCCTTTCCATCCACGAGCTTTAATCAACGCTTCAAACTCATTGTCTAAACAAGAACAATAATTCACACATAATTAAAAAACCAACAGCAACCTACTACTGTAAAGACGACCTAATGCTGATTGTAATTCCTGTCGATTGATTGTTTGATATGTTCGATTTATTGTTTGGCAAATAACTGAAATCGGACAAGTTTGAAAGAGATAAAATATAAATTTTATTTACGAACAATCTCGAATACGATCTTCAAAGCCTGGAATTCTCACCGAGGCGCGTTCCAATTGTTCCTAAAAGATAAATATCGGTCCCGCATCTAGGAATCATTCGAAATTTACCCAAAAATCTTGAAACCGACACGATTCAAGTAATTCAGCGAATTGCAAAGTTTCCACAATACGTGGATTTTCTTGACACTAATAAAATAAAGTTACAGAAAAAACAATTTCTATTTTCTCTCGCAATACTTTTTGTGTGTCAAGTAAATATTTGCAGAGTAAAAAGTCTGGTTTCGGTAAATTAGTTAAAGCCAAAAGAAGAATATCTGCAACTTTATCAGCTTGAAAATAACTTGGATCGAATTGATACATTTTTAATAGAGCCATATTTGCATCAAAATCATAGAAGCGATTTTCAATTTGATATTGAACGTATTCTTCAAGCATTGGACGACAATTGGGATTGTATCTAAATGAATTTGAGGCGATTATTAAAAAAGAAATTTTATTTGAAAAATATATACCGTTCAATGCCTTTAAGTTTTTTTGCAACTTCTTCAGCACGTGTATTCGTGCGAGAATTACTAACCGATGGCATCGTTTTTTTTCTTCTAGATAAAGAACAATAATATCTGAAAATAAATCAAATCATCTGTTTATTCTGTACAAATATATTGGTTATTTTAAAAAAGATCGAGTTTTTTTGTTCGAATCTGTTCGCGTTTAGATTGAAGACCATTTTCAATTTGTTTTAATTTATTATATTGAATTTTTTTAGCTGTTAAACGTTGTTTGATACTGACAGCAACGGTTGAATCACGTCTAAAATGAGAAATGTTTTAGTTTAATTTGTCAAAAAATTTCTTTCCTACTAACCGAACTTCATTGTATTTTAATCGTTCTTCTAAATGACGAATTTCACGTTCTAAAACTCGAATTTCATCATTACGTCGGCCAATCTGTAGAAGAAAGTTTCGAAAAAAAATTATTTCCTTCGCCGCAAAAAATCTTACTTCTGTATGTAAAAGTAATGCTGTTTCATCAACAGTTGTTTTATTATCTTTAAATCGATCTAATGGTGATGGTGATGAATCTTGAGTGGCTAAAAACATAGAAATATAATTCTTTTATTCATGTAAATAAAAATTCAAACTTGATCTCATTTCTGATGTAAATATTTTATCGAGAAATGTAAAAACATCTGTTTGTTCAGGTAATTTTTTTTGTTTTTCCATTGTTGATTGATGTCGATGTTTTTTTATTTTAAATGCATCTGGTAATTTTTTCTTCCTTTTTAATTCAAGTACAGCGTCCAAAGATTTTCCTATGAAAAAAAAAATCAAGATAGATTAATTGAGAAAATTGTATTACCTTTTGGTAAAACGTTAGCTTCAATAGGATTGACTAAACCTTGATTATTGCGGCCTAGACCTTGCCCGGATTTATAGCCCATTTTTGCGAGTAATTTAGAACCGATGCCCTGTAAAAATATTACTATTCAAACGACTGAATCGATTCGATTACTTACTTTAGTATGTTTTTCCCAAACTCCTAAATTTCCTAATCTTGGTACATCTGTAGATGAGCTTGGCATATCTGCAATTGTGTTGATAACAGCATCATCTTCTTCGACATTTTCATTGTCATCATTTGTTTGAATTGTGTTCGAAGTATCTTAAAACGAAGGATTAAAATTCAAAACAACAGTTATTTTATTTTACTTGTCGTTATTAAGGATTCAAATGGAATAGCTTCCAAAGCATTAAAATGAGTAAAGCGTATTACACAAATATGAGTATCATTTTCAACGCTTTCAATAACACCTGGTTTCCATAAACCATCGGTACCTTGTTTACATATGACATTTTGGCCAACGGCAAGAGTACTTCAACGAAAAGAAAAATATTCTATTTAGATGTTAAGATCGGAAAGAAAAACAATCTATCTTACTCATAATTTGCTTCAATATATTCAAGAAGATCATCAACAGAAACAACAAAACCATGAGAATATCTAAATAAAAAAAGCAATTTAGAGTACAAATCAAACGAGCATATTTTTTATTCATACTTGCAATTATCATCAAAACGACAAGTATCATTCAGAAAATGTGAACACGGTTTAAAATCAATACGTGTAGGTTGACAAAACAAAACTCGAACCTAATTTTAATAAATAGATAAATGAGAAAAACGAAAATATGCGAATTCCTACTGTATTATCTTCTATAGATTCGATACCAAGTACAACGGCATTATGTCGTTGTAGGCCACTGATGGGACACTTGATTTTTACACTGCAATTGGTACCTTTAAAAGTGAAAAAAGCAATGCATTAGGTTAAAAGCAAAAGTAGTGTTTACGAACCAACAATTTCTTTTACAATAGAATTTTCTTCTTCGTCATCATCACTACTTTCAGAATCGGATGAAAGAGTGACACAAGGTGCAGATTCGGAGTCATCTAAACATAAATATTTAGATATAGGTAAACTAAAACGTTTATCTTTACCAATATTACTATTTGTTGGATTAAAAAGAGAAAGAGCTTCACGAAGATCGGCACGTAATTGTCTTAATTCTGAACTTGCAACACCTTCTGTTTCTTCTTGTTGAAGAATAGCATCTTCCACGTATTTTAACTAGAAATTCATAGAATTATTTTTCACTAATTATTACTTGAATGTGGCTTACTTGTGCTTGATATTCACGAATACATTCATCATCACCTGGTGAATCGGTCATACTAAATACGTATGGCAGAATCAGTGACGGGATTCAAACGATCTAATCCAAGTCACTAACTTACAAAATTTTACATTATTCTTCTTTAGAAAACTTTGTATATTGGTCCTGACGAGCAAATGGTAAGTGCGTGGGATAGATGTCACTAGATTTAATGGCTTCACTTCCCTAGTAGAACGAAACGATCTGTAAACGATACAAATACGACAGAAAGACGGCCGTTTACGGTGATGCGTTTTCATTCGAATATCCTTGTCTATGATGCATCAAATACTTTTTGGCTATGGGTCCGTATGGGACTGTGTTATTTTCCTTTACACCCACACCCTGTTCATATTCGACTAACTTAGGATTATAAAA